GCGATGTTCACCCACCGTTGTATCCTCAATTTTCAAATGCTTGCGACTCCGAAGCCAGGGCATCCTGCACGTACAAGGGTACGACTTCGCGCGCGTGTGAAGCAAGCTCCGTGGAGGTCATCCAGGCTGGTCATCGGGAAAGTACGAGCACACCGAGTGCTGTAGACACTTGGAATGCCTCTGTTTCCTGCACAACAAGCCTGGCGGCCTCATCCACATCATGGACGACCAGGCACCTCGCATGCCGAAGAAGAGCAGCCATACAATGGTTGAGGCGTTCACGAAGTGGTGGGGCAACCACTCTTCGTTCAAAGCAGGCTCCATTGACCGTACGGGCTTCCCGACGTTCACAGTCAACCACTTCACCGGCCCTGTCACCTATTCGTCGGAAAACTTCCTGGAATGCAATCTTGAGGCACTGAACCCTGACTTCGTCTCGCTCCTCCGAGGCACGAGCACCAGTGAAGGACCTTCGGCGGATGGTTCCGGATCATCGAACCCCTTCGTTCGCAGCCTGTACTCCGGCAAGGCGATCACGACACAGGCACACCCATGCGATGCGGACAATGTTGTACAACAGTGACGAGGGTGGTAGCGGCGGCGGCAAAATGACAGGTGGCAGCGGGACCAGTCGCGGTGGTGACGGCAAGCCAGTTGATGCTAAGTCTCGGGTTTCCGAGTCTTGAATCTCGAAAAAGGTACCCGTACCGGTCCCTTCCCCCTCCTCCATCTTAGTTTTTACACCAACAACAGGATCCATAGTGACCAACGAGGTCACCAAATTCCCATGTAATGGTGCGGAGGTAAGAGTTCCGGGTACTTCACAGAGTACACCGGTGGGAGTCCTATGCTTCGCAGCATCGTGCACATCGAGCCATCTATTGCTCAGTGTACCCGATGCTTGAGGTATGTAACGTACGTTTGATGTTTGCGATGTGTAGTGACTTGATTACTGTGCATATTATGGTATGATTACTTCGTATGCACCTCGCATCTCGTAGAACTCACTCGAACTTACGACAATATACTTAGTGCTTTCGAGCATTAACTCGAGCAGGTCTCAGCGCGAGCATTTAGAGCATCACGCAAATGTATATAAGGACGAAGAGTTGAACAAAGGAGGACACACTTTGCTGGCCAAACATCTCTCCCTCTCATCTCTCTCACTTCTTTCTCTCTCTAACTCGCCCTCTCGTTGATAACTACTGTAACCGTATAGTAGTTAGTAATCAACAACACTTACTCTCTCACGACCCTAGACGGACTGATCACCCGTCTCGACTGAAGTGTTACCTTGAGTGATGAACCCTAATAGCCAAACCTGTACAGGACAGTCCCCGTTGGACCTCGTCTTGTTACACGATGCGCCCGCAGTACTCGACAGTACATTGCATACGAGCAAGGGCACATCCTTGCACGTACAGTGGTCGGCATTGATGATTACGGGATGAGTATCGCCGCCATGTTGAGGTGGACGCGAGATGTCCGAGGTAGGAGTTGTCGAACACGACGAGATCAGTACATCCAGCGACTCGGGTGTACTGTATCTCGTTGACTGCTCGATAGCTTGCTCAGCAGTCATAAAGGAGGGCGTACCGCGCACACTTGAGGTTGGTTCCTGGTGCGTGCGGCGTGTGTAATACGACGTGGAAGTGCTCGACGTGTGCGCGTCGAGGTCGTAATTGCGCCTGCGTGGGTCATCGTCATCGAGATGGCCCGTAACCATCGACACCACATGCTCGTGCAGGTCGGTCTTGTCGGACCTGACGCGAGCCTGGCATGTCGCCAAGGTCGATGCGGGCAGTGATGTCGACGAGCTGATCGACGAGCTGATCGACGAGCTTCTGAACACGTCAATCACGTCATCGTCACGCATGTTGGCCTCGCTGTGTGCAGTGAGCGAGTGGCTCGTTGTACTCGACGATGATGTCTTGATAGAGTAGGAGGACGCTGTGTAGGTTGCGAGTCTCCCGGGTCGAAAAGAGACCGGAAGGAATCGATGGTGTCGGTAGAAACGACGGGCGGGGGCTGTTGGCAAGCGGATGGGAAGGGGATGTGACGATTCGGGCCCGGAGGGGACGTACGAGCTCGGATACTCGCAGGGGACACTGTAACGCGGTCGGAGGAGAGTGGTGGAGTCGTCCCACAACGCAGGGACTCGGAGTGAACGCGTAGAAACTCGTTGAAGCCGGATAAAACGCAGAGAGCCAGAAGTAAACGCGGTGCTCGTTGAAGGTGAACGCAGTGATCTATTCGCAACGCAGTAAACGCAGGACGCAGTCAGAAACGCAGGGAATCGCCGTTGAGCTCGCTCTCTACTCCTAGGTGGTAGGTAGGTAGGATCTCCCCCTCCCCGGTCCCCGGCTCCCTCCCTTATGTTCCCTCCGGCTTGCTCTCCCACGCCTCCGCCTCGCTGGCACTCCTCCCCGTACTTCCCCGTTCCCTCCGGTCCCTCTTAAGCCCCCTCCTTCCCTTCCTGTACCGTCTCCCGTCCAGCGCCATGCCCTCCGATGCCCCAGCCAACCCCTCCGCCATCGTCTACTCTACCCGCTTCTACCGTCTTCTTGCTCTCCTCCGGGATGAACGAGTCGTCGAGCCGCGTCTTGTCGCTGACAGTCCTTCCGAATGGTTGGCCTGGGCCCACGCCGCCCGCTGGATCGTCGTGGGTGATATTCATCTCGTATATTCTCCTTCCGGCGGGCTGACGCTCCTTCCGGTGCGTAGCGCATGCTCTTCGACTCCCGGGCGCGAGCTACTGCGCATGGCGACGTGTCCCTCCCTCTCATCCGCCGGTTCTCCGACGTCCAGGATCTGATCGACTACCTTGACCAGGTGTTCTCGACCATCGCGTCCGAGCACAGCGTCGTTGGCGAGCCGTACCCTGCTATCGCCTGGTCCGCCAACCGCGTCGCTGTTGAGCAGTCCGATGTCGAAGTGGGCCGTCCGTTGCTTCCGGTCCGGTACCTCGAGAGGCCCATGCAGCTCTCCCCCCTCCGGGCTTCCTCCGACAGCCTCGACGCGCTCATCTCCCAGCTCCAACGTTACGCTAGCGTTCAACGTGACGTGTCCGCCTCCTTCCAGTCCGAGGCTCAGCATACCCGCCGTATTCTCTCCGGCCTGGCGTCCAGTGTTGCCGGCATGCACGATCGTCTTTCGCGTGGCATGTACGTTCCGGACGCTGACTATTCCGGCATTCCGCGTCGCCTTCAGTTCCCTCCGGCGCGTACTAGTGACGATTTCGAGGATGCGGGTGTCGAAACCGAGACCGAGACTGATTTGATGGATGAGGGGGAGAGTGTGCGTGAGGAGTAGTTCGTTCCTGTACCCTCCGGTGCCGTCCAGGGCTGCCTCCGGTTGCCCTAATGAGTTGCTTTCCGGTTGTGCTGCCTAGGTAACCTATCATTCGACGTCCCTTCCGTGTGTAACGCCGTCCGTTGTCCTTTGTAGTCGTTTGCCTTATATCCGTTGGTTCCGGGCCTGCTCTGTGGGGCTTCCCCACAACGCACCAGTCATGCACATGCCTGGCTGCATGCCGACTGTGTCGCTTTGACGGAGCGTTGTCCCAGCTGGTCTGTGCGTCGGACGACCTGTGACCTGTCTGGCTGCTTAGTCTTCGACGAGGCTGGATAGCTTGAGGAAGCCAGTACATCCGGCAATGTGGATGTACTGTGCATCTTCTTGCATTGATGCTCGCACAGACCGATCTTACACTGTGTCGGAGCAGTGACGGATCTTGTTATTGACGAACCCATTGACGTGCTTCTGGGCGCGTCGCCGTGAACGTCACATCGAGGGCTGGCCTTACTTGCCGAGCACGTCATGACGGTGATGACGGACGTGCAGGTGGACGAGTCGATCGTGCATGATTGCACACCGACCGTGTCACTAGACATGGTCTCCAACGTCAAGGTCATGTCGTATACACTGAGCGAGGGGCTCCACGTCGAAGGTCATATCTTGACGATGGAGGTGGAGATGGACACATCGACCGTGCTTGATCGTGCGTCGACAGTGTCGCTGGGCGTAGGAGACTTCATGGACATGGCAGACGTGGGTGTGGCGATCAACGTGCTTCTCTGCACGTCGATCAGAGACCTCCGCATCGTACCTGCATGTCTCGTGTCATAAGACTCGAAAATAAACCCGTGGGGTGTCCCTTCCCCCTCCTCCGTCATTGAAGAAGTGAGATTGGTACTATGTACGTCGAGTGAGCTGTTGCTCAACGTACCCAGTATGGAATATGCAGCGAGCACGTTAGAGAGTGCATCGCGCATGTTATCAGGCTCATCAGCGGGTAGTACGTCGAGCCTCGAGCTCGGTGTACTCTCCTCGCGAGAAGCAGGTGTCGTAGTAGGATTGAAAGATGCGTCGGTCGTGCTGGGTAGCACACCGAACACGTCGTGCGTCGTGACGGCGCTGGGCTCGTTAACCAGGCCGTCGAACAGATTCAGCAGCTCCGTAAGCCTTAAGGTCGCCAACACTGGGTGCAGCGAGCTCGGTGTTGAACTTCCGACTTTCCAGTGTTATCTTATCTTATCAGTTACGTACATATATGGACTTGTGTTCTGCGATGTAGTATTACATACATTCTTTTGATGGACTCTGTCTGGACTCATCTTGTGACTCGCTCCAGACCGATCTACACTGTTCCAGACTTATTCTGGATCATTCCACTCCCTTCCGGCATGTTCCATGACCTTCCAGTACATTCCTTGATCACATGGACGCTTATGCATATCCCTATCTCTGGAGTTAAGGCTTACTCATTTCCCTAAAACTCGGACTTAGTGATTACTGATCTGCTTACTGATGTAGCATGTGATCAGTCCCAGACATGTATATATACTGGGGTGATTCCCCCCTAATGGATAACGATCTCTCCTCTCTTCTGCCTGCCTAGCATCAGAGTCTTCCCTCTGGGATAGGTCTGTTCACTCCACTCTACTGTCCTTCACTTCCACTGGCCTAACAAGCCCTTCTAAACCTCTTTCACTTCAACACTCGGTGCTCGTTGTACCATGCGTCGGTGTGGACACCGGACACGTCTGCATCAAGACGGAAGCTTGAGGGGTCGCGGCGAGCACGCTTGTGGATGTGTCGCGCACGCCCCGGAAGTCGGCCGTGAGCACATCGAGTGGAGGGCTCGACGTGCACAGAGCACGAAAGGGCATAGAGGAAGAATAGGACGGTCCGGCAGAACCAAGAAGTTCCCCAGGCGCATCACTATATGAGTTATGGATATGGTGGAGGGCGGCGAGCACAGACTTGCGTGCTTCGTGCACATCCACAAGAAAGTCCTGGGGGGACACATCGAGCGACGAGCTCGGCGTATCCGCTGCGTGCGGTGGCACAAGAAAAGGGGGAGACGGCCTGGTAGAACTCGGAGACTCTCCAGACGTGTTGTCTCGCGAAGTGGGAGCAGCAGGCACAATGGCCGTGCTGCTGCATGGGCCCAGCATCCCGTTCTTGACAACGGAGAGGCACGCAATGCACTCATTGGTCGTTGTGTTGCCTTCCGACGCGGGCACTGCGGCTGGTGACGTGTGTACTGGGTGCACGGTCGTGAGGCGCACCACGGAACCGTCACTCGCGCATGAGGGGTCGACGAGCGCGCCGGGTACGTTCGCCAGTACACCAGGCGGGGAGTTGCTCTCGTCCACAGTGTGTACATCGAGCTGTATGCTCGACGTACCCTCCGTGCGGCGGTTCATAGGAAGATGGGGCACGTCGGACGTGCAGCGATCGTCCGACGTGTTGCCATGCGAAACGTTGGGTACGACCATGAGGTCGTCCCGGAAGATGGAAACGCCGTCTTCGTGGCCAGCAGCACGTACCACGGGCTTCTTGCTCATTGGTACCTCTGCTGGCGCAGACAGTAGCAAGTAAACGGACACGTCAGACGCGCAGCGCTGTGTGTCCGCCGTGTTGCCGTGTGTAACAGCGGGCACAACACATGGGTCGTCCCGGAAAGAGGAATTGCCATCGTCGTGGCCAGCAGAGCGCACGACGAGCTTCGTGTTCGTCGATACGCCTGCTGGCACGGGCACTAGGAGCGGGAACGGCGAGGCAGGGACGGTCAGCGAGGGTGTACGGTCGCGTACCTGCGTTTTGCGAGCCTTCGTGCTCGTTTTTCTTGCTCGCCCCGCGCCCTCCCCCCTCCTCTCTCTTCCTCCCCTTCTCCTCTTCCTCCTTCCGCTTCCCTCGCGCCGCAGTCTCGACGTTGTGCGTGGTCTTGTTGCCCGACGCTGGACTTGCACGCGCGTCGTGCGAGTCCTAGGCCGCGTGGCCGTGTTGCGTGTCGCCAGGGCCGCAGGGATCCTGATTGAGGTCGCCAGATCCGACAGAGGATGTGAGAGGGTCAAATGGAGAAGCGCGGAAGCTAGGGAGAAGGGCAGGAGGGGAAGGACTCGTCGATCTTGGGTCGCCAGAGGGGTTGTCGCGTGCTGCTAGCTAAACAGTTGCTGGTGACTCAAGCTCGCGTGTCCTTTGGAATGTGACGCGAGCGTATTGCTCTGCGGTTGGGCGGTCGTGGTGGCTGCCCGAGTCGTGGTCATGGTCGAGCCGGTGGTGGCAGCTGGTGGCGGTCGAGAGAAGCGTGTTGGGCGCTAGCGCCGGGACTGCTCAGCGGCGCACGCTCGTGCGTGCAACACTGCCGGGCACGGTGTCGGGTGCAGTCTGCGCGTCGTGGACAGCACTGTCCTACGGTGAGCTTGCAAATGGTCGCGAGAGGAAAAGTGGTCGCTGTGCTTGAAGGCACGGAACCGGCCCCGGCGGCCCCGGGCCGGTCGCCGAAAGTTATATATATATATGAAAGTGTCGACCCCATGTTTGAAATATATATATTGAGTCGTGTTGTATATATGTTGAGTGTCGTTTGATTGATATAGTACTCGCTTTGTTATAGATACTAGTGCTCGATGTTTGATATATCTTGTTGACTTTGATATATATAGTGTTTATTTTTTCAGCAAACGGTACGCCATAATTACCGGGATCATCTTACTACTGACGACGTTCGAATCGATAGGAGACTGAATTATCTTGTCAACACTCCACCCATATCCCTCAAGGTCGCCCTGGGGGAAATGTTGAGAGGCGTCGGGCTCTACCAATGATGTCATGGGTATAGATACATCACTAGCGGGCAATGCTTACCTCGATGATTTGCCATACTCTCATGTTCTGTAGGTTCGGGCATATACTCCTCTCTACCACGGATTGAACTAGATTTTTCGGGGAGACGTTGACCGGGCATTTGACATAGATGTCTCCCAGGAGATCACTGTCTCGAAAGACGAAGATCCGATGAGTGTTGGGACTCGGTCGCTTGGACGTTGATGGGCATGGATGTCTGCATGGCCTGTAGCGCATGTTGTGCTCTCACCAGCCTGGCACTTATACGATTGGCCGGCTCCTTCCGGAATTCCAGACCCCCACGATACCCAGCTTCTGTTTACGTTGATAGCCGGGGAAGTCAATGATTCATCGATCACCTCACGGATCATATCATCAACAGCACGGTATTCAGTACCAGTAGCGGAGTGTAATATAATGTCAGTACGCACCACAACTACCCGCGTACCAAGCATCTTGACGCGATATGCAATCTTAGCTTGTACGAAGCCTCCAGCCCAGGCCCGGAGCCATACCATCTCCTGGATAGGCCGCAGGACATGCTGCGAAGACTCTGATCGCGAATCGCACGCAGGCGACGTGAATGTGTGCGCTTGGACAGGTGTCAGAGACATCTGTTGAGTAACTGAGGAACACACTGTATGGGTTTGCCTGTATTTTCGCTGGCTGCGAGCTGCATGTAAGCGCTACATCCAACTACTCTTGTCGACACAAGGCAAAGTTCCATACCACAACCTCTGGCAATCGGCATCCTAGATATGAAAGAGCTGAGTACGATGGGCGCTGTGAGGCGCTCCCTTCATCCCCTCAGACAGGTTGCTCAGCGAGCCCCTCCGTCTTGCTCTCGAGAGCCGATCTCATGCGTTAATTTAACTATTAAAGAGTGAGTGTGCAGTCCCGACCACATACATAGGATTACTGACTACATGGACCTGAAGAACACGATCAACGGATTCTTGACGCCTGAGAGGTCAATTCTTCCCATGATGGGAATGTTTGCAGTAATGATTGCCTCTCCGACGGATTCCGTACCGGGACGCCGTGCATCAGACCACGAGTCTTGGTCCAGTATCGTTTTCTTCATCTCATTCCAGGTCGCCCTCTCGGGGACGTCGAAAGGCAACGTGTTCTAGTAGAATGATCAATCGTACTGGACGTGCATGCAGGGAAAGGTAAGTACCTCGATGATTCGCCATATAGCCATTAGCTTGAGGTCCGGGTACACAGTCCTTGCGGTATCCGTCAGCAGTTGGACCAGGCCCCGCGGAGTCTGCTTAGCCAGAGCTTCAACGTATATGTCCCCGTGAACACATATCGTGCTACTTCCTCCTCTTGAAAGATGAACACCCGCTGGGCCTTGGGCGCCGTCACTGTCGCTTGCTTGCTGGCGGACTCACAGAAATTGGGCGTAGGGGATCGCATGGTTGATGTGAGGCACACGTTGCTCTCCTGCTGGCCAGGTGCCAGCAGGTAACTTACGGTACTTATACTATCGACCGGCTCCTTCCCTGCTTCCACAGCGAAACGCGGTGCATAGCGATTGGTTGACCACCGAAGGCGACTCATATCGACGTCTAGCCCCAGACCACTTACTGCTCCTAGCTTCTCGTTGCGTTGAGGGTCGCGGAAGCTACCAGTCACCTTATGGAGTGAGACGATCCACCGCAGCTCTTTGCCGCTAGTCATCGTCTGTCCACTGCGTTTCCTTGCCGGTATGCACTTCCAATCCACCTTTCGTCGCTGGAAGGTACGAAGGGAGCCGATCGCCGCCGACTACGGTCTCTTCACAGGTGCAGCCCGCTGCGCTCATGCAGTAGGACGAAAACCAATCGTAAAGTTCTGTTGTGGATGAGATGTTTTATGGCACTCCGGGTTAAGCTCTCGAGTCGCTGTAGCCTTACAGACAAATGAGCATACGAATATTGCCTGAACGCGTAAGAGGGGGTGAAGGAGGAGGGGGTCCATTCAGCTACCCGCCGATGACCCGCGTGCGTGTCAATCGACGTCCTGATAGTGACGGACCTTACTCAGAATGGACGATAGCATTGCAGGTGTGATCACTCACAATCAAGACGCCCGCAATACAACAACGAAGACGGATGGTATCGTCCTCGCGAACTCACATGCGGGGACGACTGTGCCGGGTAGGGTATGCGTCTAATAAGTCGCTAAGGTTCACCATGTGTCCGTGCGCTTCGTAGTGCATCACGTCTTGTCCTCGGATGACCGGATCTCGTCAATGGGCACCCTGACGAGGCGTTCACCAGATAAGCCTTCAGAGGCCTGGCCCGTTGCATCGTCCTGGTGCTGCTCACGAGCCGACACTAAAGGGTGACATCAGAGATGAACAAGCATGCCTCGGGCGCGTCAGGTCACTTACAGAACAATCCCAAGATCCTGAACATATTCGGCCATTGCTCCAGTACTTGGCCGCATACTGTGCACTTCCGTTAGCTCTAGCCTCGACGTGCACGCAGGACACCACTAACCTTTCCCTGCATCGGCCATCACATCGAAGTCGTCACCCAGTTCGTCTATCCGCTTGACAAACTGCATGCTTGCACGTTCGAGGGCTGCCACCGCTTCGTATTCTTTCTTTTTCTCGAGAAGGCGCGCCTGTGCCGCGGCATTCATTGCAGGGTTCTGCACGGTGGATTGCCGCGACGATGCGGCTGTCGATTGTCGCATTCTGTGAGGAGAGAGTGAGGAGGATGAGCCGGAGGTGGTGGCGGCGAGAAGCTGGAGAGACGCGTCCTGGGAAACGCGGTCGCGTGGCCGGCGCGACCACGAGGCGTGACCAACCGTTCTTGTCACCGTCCCATCACCCTCGTCGTCCGTCGACCTCTCGCTGCCGTTGTCCGACCTCCCGGCGACGGGCCAGCGCCTCTGCTCACTGCCGAGCATGGATACCTCTCCCAACCTGCCGATACCCCGCCTCCGACTCACGAGGCACTCCCCACCGAGTCGCGCCGATACCCTCAACACGCCGACCGCTGGCCCCCCGCGTACTTCGCCAGAGAACCTGCGCGCACAAATGTACGACGAGGAGGATGCAGACGCAACCCCGCGCATGCCCGCCGCCCGCATCGCGGACTCACCACAAGCCACAATCGCGCCTGGCCTCCCTCTTGATACCCCCGCCGCCCGCCTGCGTATGGCCCTCGCCCGCGTACCCAATAACAATACGTCCCCGCCACGAGCATCTACATCGCGTATCCCTGAACCTCGGACACCTTCCGAGCCCGATTCTGACCTCGACCCGCCGTATTCCATCACTGCAACACCCAGCATCGCGCGCGAGAGCCTCAGGGAGCTCTTCTCGAGCGCACTGCGTCCGGTCGGAAATACCCCTCAAAAGTCCAAAGGACGCGCAAGACGAAACAGCGTCGGCCCTGCGAGTGAGGTCGACCCGAGTCCCCGCATTGAGCGCGTCGAGCGGGAGAGGGCCGGAAACAAGGGCAAGCGGAAAAGCATGAGCGACGAGGAGGCCGACCGTGAGTGCCGCGATGGTGACAGTCGTGATCTCGGGACTGACAGCATTCGTGAAGATCCGTCGAGACGGTCTGAGGAATCTACCCAATCGTCGCACTCACGGGCTGCGCGGTGGACCGCTCTGAATGCGGTCCTCTCCGACACACATTCCAGCACGTTGCCGCCTACACCTCCACCGGAACGGATGGTAACGGACATGACGATGCCTCCGAGCGATACCTCGCAAGATACTGCGACACTGCTCCGTGAGGACAACAGGCCAGAGTACGAAGCGACGCCCCCTCATGCGATGCGAACAATGCACATGTCTTCCCAGTTGAACGGAGAGTCCAACCTCCTGGATGGTGACTCTGAGATGCGTCGGGCCCTCGGTGGGATGGATAGTTACGAGGGAGACTCGCTCCCGAACGGTCATGCTCCTCCTTTCCCTCCACGGTCGAGGTTCACCTCGCCTCCCCCTACTCGACCGACTTCGTGGAGCTCTCACATGAGGGCTGGTCCATCGTCTCCGAACGGACCGAATGCGCACACAGATCCAGTTTCACCCGGTCGGCCACTCTCATGGAGTGCACATTCGAGGGCGGACCCGGTCTCGCCTAGCCGACCGTTGTCGTGGAGCTCTCACTCAAAATCGCATTCCGCACACAAACTGCAAATGCCATTGAGTAGGCGAGGAAGCGAAGAGCTTGAAAACTCGAGTATGTCTTTCCTCAGACTGAAAACGCAAGTTGTTAACTCTTTTTTTTTCGGTAGCGTCGTCTCGGGGTTCTTTCGCAAGTTCCTCGTCTCAGTCCATTGGGGATTGTCAGTGGCATCGTCTCCTTCTCTCGATGCACGTCGCTGACAATGACATAGACAAGGATCGACAAGACGACGTTCAGCGTGACCGTCTTCGGGAGCGCGAGCGCTTATGGAATCATCCGCAACCGAAATCGCCTGCTCACCCTCAGCATCTCGGTAGGTCCACCACGCTCACTAGCCTATTCCATAGTAACGAAACAATGGTACGAAGCCAATGGGCGCGACAGTCCAGCACACACGCACACGCTCTCGCGTAAAGGGAGTGCGGCGTCTCTTACCAGTTTACAGAGCACGGATGACGGGCGATCGAGCAGAGCCAGCTCGAGCTCAGTGATGTCCCAAGCTGAGCGTCCGTCTATTCTACTCACATGTCGTCGTTAGCTCATGTCCAAGCTTGCAGACCATGAACGGACGAAAGAACTGGGGCAGGATCGTCAGAAAGAGCGTGAACACGGATGGAACAAGCCAAAACACACGCCTCCCAAGACGCTCAATCGCTCGTCCTCCAGCCTCGGCCTCCGTCCGCACGAGCGCACGCGGACGCTGTCGAGCGTGGTCGCACTCAGTCCGCCGAGACCCGACTCTGCAGAGAGCTTCCTCTCCCCCAACACGCTCACGCCCGGGCAGCCTCGACGCAGTCTGTCACGGCAGTCATCCGCGAGTTCCTTACGCGGTTCCGCTTCGGGACACAGCCGAGCAGCCTCCCCTGCAGGATCCATCTCGGGCGCGGAAGGCGAACCGGAGGTCGTGCATGAGAGGGAGCGGAACTGGAACTCGCCGCGGCCGAAATGGAACCCCCATCAGGGCACGAGCAGAGCCTCGAGCCCGGTGCCCCCCGCCATATCGGCCTCTGGATCGAAAGCGCTGAGTCCTAGGGAGCGCAAGGACAGCTCCGCGTCGGTCTCGCACGCATCTGCGAGGCAGCGAACCGAGAGCTTGCGGAGCAGCCCTGCACCTGCGGCGACCGGGCACGCGAGGCCAAGAACGCACAGCTCGATATCGTTTGATTCGAAAGGAAAGGCCCCTGTGAAGCCCAAGTCTCCTGCTCACTCATTAGGCGTGCCGAGTAAGTCGCCCGGGCACTCCTCTCGCTCGCCGTCGCCTGTGCGGCCTGCGCATGATGAGAGCGAGGGCAGCGACTTCAAGCCCCAGACGCCTGGCTTCCGCTCGAAGTTCGGATGGTCGTTCCCTGTGAATCGCACTCAGCTGCCGCCGCTCGAGCTGGACACTGAGGCAGACTCGCCGGAGAAGCCGCGTCCGTCTGCTTCTGCATCGACGTCGCGGTTGTCCCTCAAGAGCCCAGTCTCGAGCCATATACCACGCCCGTCGAGTGCCCTGGGCGATGCCGCTGCACCTGCGAAGAAGCGAGGACACCGACGGAGTCTCACTGAGTTCAGTCAACCTGTAGGACCTGCCCGCCTGCCGCGTCCGCTGACGATGAGGAGGAGATCAGCATCGAGGTTGACCACGGGTCTGACTCTGAGCCTGAGGATGAGAACGCGGAGTCGTCGTTCTTCCCGAGTTTCCACAGTGGTTCGCAGATGGACCCTGTCTTCGGTGCGTCAGACTGTAGAGCATCAATCCTGACGATAACTAAACATGTCGCATTTACAGCCAGCGACGAGGACAGTCCACCTGCTACGAGTACACCGACAGCACGACCCATCCGTCTCCCTGAGTTTGGCTCGCCGTCACCGTCCCCGTCCGAAGCCCCCGCTCCTGCACCTGCCGCCCCGCGCCACAACGACACGAACGGCCACGCCAGCGACGCCCCCCGCAAAGCGACACGGCCGGATTCGTCTCCCGCGACGCCGGCCGATGCCACCCCCGCCCCCGTCTTCTCGCTCCAGACCCCGCCGCGGCGATCGCCGGGGAATGGCAGCTCCGTGAGCTCCTCCAAGTCAGAGTTCCAGACGCCGCCGCCGCCGCGGGGCATGCCCGACCTCCCCGACCCACCGTCCTTCGCCACCGACGATGCCGACGGCGACGGCGACGAGGAGAACGACAACACGCCCGTGATGACGAGCGCCCCGGGAACCTGACGATGATGAAGACGCCGCGTCCGCCGGGCGCGTGGGCCGCCACTCCGGACGTCCGGCGTGCTGCGGGCGGGAAGGCAGCGGGCGACGACGCGGGCGCGTCGAGCGTGCTCGTCAACACGCCTGAGGGACAGGCGAAGGTGGACGTCGTCGCGACGCCGGGTGCGCCGCCCGACGCTGCCACACCGAACACGACGGCGACGTGGCCGCGCACGCCCGCGCCGCCGGGCGCGTGGCTGCAGACCCCGGGCGGCCTGCGTCGGTGCGGCGGCGGAGCATCCTGAAGGTGCGCTTTGACGTCGAGAGCGAGACGACGGTGTCGGACGTCGGCGAGCCTGCCGGGGATGCGAAGAGGCCTGCGCTCCCGGCGGAGTGGAACCCGAACGCGGCGGCGGACTCGTCTGCGGAGGGCGCCCTCGCTATGCCGCCCGTCGACGTCCGCGGCGACGGCGAGGACAGGAAGGCGGCGAGGGCGGAGACGCCGCCACCGCACGCAAGACCGGACTCTGCGGGAGCGCGCCCGTTCCGCTCGCCGGGGAGTGTCAGCGTGAGGATCGTGGATGCGTTTGGGCGGGAGACGACGGCCGAGAAGGAGGAGGCGCAGAGGCCAGCGCAGGACGTTCCGACGCGACCCAAGACCCCGAGCGGAAGACACAACAGTCCGCCCCTGCCACCCCGCGCAGCCGGAGTGCGGTGAGGATCGTCGACGCGATGGGGCGCGAGGTCGAGGAGCCCGCGCCGGAGGCGTCTGGCTCGCGTGACGTCCGACGCGGGCTGGACACCGAGCTGGCGGAGGCGTCGCTGTCGGTCGTGGAGGACGAGGGGTCGTCTGTGTTTTCTGTGGACATGGCGACGCCGCCGACGCACAACGAGGCGCTCGCGCTGGTGCGGGAGCAGGTGGGGAACATGAAGAAGGAGGCGCGTCAGGCGGAGAAGTACGTGTGCTGTCTCTCGTGGGCATGGCCGTATTGACTGACGGGTACAGGGACAGGTCGTGCCGGGAGCGCGCGGTGGACGACGGGCGGGCGCGGACGCTGGAGGACGCGTCGAGCAAGGCGCGGAGCATGCGGCGGACGATCTCGCAGACGCTGCAGCGGGTGGAGGACGCGGCGGAGAGCGTGCGGACGAGTCGGTACGCGCCGCTGCGCGAGAGCATGCGCCGAAGCACGAGTCGGTTCCTGGTGCGTAGACCCTCCCTGCGGTTCCTTGTGGCGATGGTGGTGCTGATTGGAGGCAGCCTTCCGCGATGTCGGAGACGGGGGTCAAGCTGTCGTGGAGCCGCGGTACCTGGCTGTTCTGGGCCTTTGTGCTTATTCAGCTCGGATTCTGTCTGGTCATGTACCGGTATGTCTTGACGCCTTTGTGACACGAGCGTGTGGTGACATGTGTTGCGCAGATTATCTAACATGCGGGCTCGTCGACTGTTCCTGACGACGTACTACGACCCGTTCTACGCGGACGTCTACCTCTTCACGCGCACGCACCCGTCCGCGTCGAACCCGTCCGCGATCCCGCCGCACGCGAGCTGGTACGAGGTGCCTGCGATGCTCGCGCGCGGGGGCTGGGGCTGGCAGGGCGCGGTGCAGGAAGTCTGGAGCGGGGCGATGTGCGCTCTTTCGCTACGGCCGTGCGAACCGGGTGCGTCGGAGGTGTGGAACAACGCCGCGCACGGTCACACTCACTGGCCGCCGGCATGAGGCACGCCGGTGTCGCCACATGCGCACATTTGCCTCCTCTGCGCTGTTCTCAACTCCGCCCCGAGGACGCGCTTGGCCAGCTGGGGCCTTGGCGAGATGGCATCTCGCGCACCCGCCGTTAAGTTAAGCAGTTCGATTATTGCCTGTTTTGGATCGTGGATAGCTTATGGAAGTTGGATATGGTAGAGTACATTCATGTTGTAGGCCTTACTGGGACTCTGGCAATTGAAATGCGCTAGGCACGGCCGCGTGTCGCGGCGTGGCGCCACTCAAAGATCTGCTCACATCTCAGCGCGTGCATGGAGGTTGTTCGGGACTCGTCATGCGCTCACGCTCACAATTCCAGGAATCGTCAAGCTTCGCTCAAGCCACTTCCATGAGGTCAGGCTCCTCGCGACTCCTCACGATATCTGACCACGATGTGAGGCGCAGTGTGGACGAGGGGCTGGGTTCGTACCGTTCTTTGCTGAATGAAGAGCTGATCGCGAGGAGGCCAGAAGGCCCCGCGCTGAGAGCCATCAAGCAGACCAGACGCCGGCATGAATCCATGTGCTCGCTCCACAGCTTCTACGCTCCCATACGCGACGAAGCCCTTCTTCGCCGGGAATCGTGTGCTGCATGCTGTGCGACACAGCGTCGCCGGCGTGCGGCGGGCTTCCCTGCACCGTGCGCGGGGTGGTGAGGCTGCGAAGAAGGTGGGACGGCCATGTTGACGTAAGGCTGATGGAGACCACGGGCTACAGCTCGGCAGACAGGCCCACATGCACCAACCCATCTCCCCGTCATCCTCTCCTTGACATCCTTATCGAGCGCCAGGCCACATTCACTTAAGAATCGACCTCCCGCCCTCGTCCCGCCCACCCAGTCCCCCGCTGCAGCCATGCGCGTAGAACCGACGGAAACCCGCCCCTCTACTCTCTCGACCTCGCCGAGGAGCGCATCGGCGATGGCGCAGGCCTCGCCCACCGCCATCCCTACCCCGCACCCGAGACACCCGCCATCGACCGGTTCGCGGAGGAAAAGGCCTACCCGGGCTCCGCCGACTCCAGCGAAGACGTCGAGAAGAGCAGCGGCGACGTCCCCGGCGTCGAGGAGGTGCCCTACGGCGACAACGGCAAGGAGAAGGTCCTCGAGACCGCAGAGGACTTTGCCAAGATCCTCATCAGCCTCGACGACGACCCCACCATGCCCATCCACACCTTCCGCATGTGGTTCACGGGCGTCGGCCTCGCCGTCTTCGCGTCCGTCCTCGGCATGCTCTTCGTGCGTATATGCGCGACATACCGATCCTGCTGCTTGCTCATGCAACTCTGTAGCAATTCCGCCCCCAGGTGCTCAACGTCTCGCCGCTCTTCCTGCAGCTCATCGCGTACATGATCGGCCGCCTCTTCGAGGTCGTCATCCCCGGACCTGGCAGCAAATACCACACCGGCAGCGCTTTCTGGAACTGGCTCAACCCCGGCCCATTCAGTAAGTCCCTCGCGCCGCCCAATGGAACCAACACTCACGCGCCACAGACCTGAAGGAACACGTCGCGACGCAGATCATGGCCAACACCGCTGCGACCGCAGCAACGGCGTGCTTCGTGTTCGCGTCGGACGATCTCTTCTACAACATCACGATCAACCCCGGCAACGCCATCTTCACCGTCCTCGCGAGCCAGCTCATCGGCTACGGCTTCGCGGGCATGTTCCGCTCCTTCCTCGTCTACCCGACCGTCATGCTCTACCCCCAGAACCTGATCTACGTCAACCTCTTCGACGTCCTCCACCGTAGCAAGGGCGAGATGCTCCAGGGCAAACGGTCAGTTCGTGCGCGTGTCTGAGTAGGCCGAACCAAGCTCACTTTGCGGTGTAGTCTGCGTTTCTTCTGGTACGTCACCGGCGCGGTCTTCGTCTACGAGTGGTTCCCGGAGGTAAGCGCCCGCCCTCCGCACCTCCTCGCGCCCCGAGTCTGACGCCGCCCCGCAGTACATCGCGCCCCTGCTCGGGTCGTTCAACATCGTCTGCCTCGCGTCGCGCAACAGCGACTGGGTCTCGTACATCTTCGGCGGCGCGGAGGCGAACGAGGGCATGGGCCTGCTCGGGTTCGGCGTCGACTGGGCGAACATCACCAGCAAGCCGTTCTACTACCCGCTCTCGACCCAGATCTCGAATTATGTGGGTGGGCGATCAACTACATACTCTTGCCCGCGGTCTTTGCGGCGAACGTGTGGAAGAGCCAGAACTTCCCGTTCATCTCCCAGAACCTGTTCTGTGAGTGCGACTTTGCGGCGTCGTGGCGCGGGCGCGCGCACGCGCCGTGACACTGACAGCGATGATTTGCGGCGCGGTTGACTGACGGGCGTTTGGCTGTTTGTGTCCAGTTGAGAACGGGACCATCTACAATCAAAACCTGATCCTGAACGCGTACGTCTGCACTGTGGGCAGGTGTGGTCCCTGCGTGGCTCACAAGTTTTCCACCAGCGATCAGTCCTTGAACAAGACCGCCCTCGCGATCTACGGCCAGCCCTGGCAGAGCGGGTCGACCGTCGTACGTGTCTCGCCTCACTTGGGGGCGACCGCACGGGGACTGACCGTTGACGTGACACGTCCCGCCGGCAGATCTACAACCTGGGCATCAACCTGTCCATCGGCGCGACGATCGTGCACATCGCGCTCTGGCACGGCAGGGACATCTACGACGCGTTCGTCGCGCAGTTGTGCGTACCGCCCGCCTCCGGATCTGCGTAGTGCTGACCCAACCACTCCAGCATCAAGAAGGTGCCCATCGAGGACATCCACTACAAGAAGATGGCCGTCTACAAGGAGGTCCCGCTGTGGTGGTACGCCGCGATCACCGTCGGCGCCTTCATCACCGCCAGTGCGTGTCCCCCGCTCATCCGCTTCCCCGCTCCCCAACCTGACGTCCGCTCGCGCAGTGGTGTGCTGCTACACGGAGAAGTCGGGCCTGCCGTGGTGGGCGCTGATCGTCGCGCTGATATTTGCGATCATCATCTGCCGTTCTACGGCGCGATGTACGCCATCTCCGCGGTGCAGCTCGTCGTGCAGAACCTCTTCCAGATCCTCGGCGCGGCGCTCGTCCCGGGCTCGTCCCAGGCGAACATGGTGCGTCCGCCCGCTGCTCCACGAATGTGGCGCGGGACTGACCGCGCCTTCCGCGCCGGCGTGTGGGGCTGCAGTATTTTGAGCTGTATTCGAGCCAGGCGATCTTGCAGGCGAGCTCGATGCTGAGCGATCTGAAGCTTGGACAGTACACGAAGCGTAGGTCGCAGTCCGTCAGATGTGCCCGGACGTGCTCTTCACGGTTTGCTTTCTGCAGTTCCCCCGAGGGCGACTTCTCGGTGCAGATGGCCGGTACGGTCGTCGGTGCGCTGCTCAACTGTGCGTGTGCTCCCTTGCTTCACGTGTTGAACTCCGTCGTTCTGACGTGACGTTCCGTAGACGTCATCATGCAAGACGTCGTGAACCAAAAACGCACGATCCTGGTGTGTGTGCTCGTTGAGTGTATGAGCGTTCTATGCTGATGACGATGCGCAGCTCGACAACCAAGGCAGTCGTGTATGGAGTGGCCAGCAAGTGCAGTCTTACAACGCGAACGGTACGTCAGCCGTCTTCGCGTCCCGCTCGCTCCCCTCACACGCCCGTGCCATAGCTGTCCTCTGGGGAGCCCTCGGCAAGGAGATCTACGGCCCCAGCGGGCCCTATTCATCGTCCCCCTCGGCCTCGTCATCGGCCTCGGGCTCCCGGTCATCCCCTGGCTGCTCTACAAGAAGTACAAGTGGTCGTGGCTCCCGCTGATCAACACCGCCGTGCTCGCGTACAACATCGGCGACCTCGCGGGCGGGACGAACGGGTACATCAACACGTGGATGGCCATCGGCCTCACGTCCCACTTCTACATCCGGCGCTACCACGCGGGGTGGTTCAGGAAGTATAACGTGCGTCGGGCGTTCCCTCTGCGTTGCGCGGATGTGCGGTGTTGACGGACGGGTTCGTTTGCAGTACCTGCTCGGCGCGGCCGTTGACGGCGGCTCGCAGATCTTCGTGTTCATCTTCTCGGTACGTGCTCCATCTTTGATAGCTCCTCTTCGAGGGTGCTGATGAAACTCGGTGCTGTAGTTCGCTCTGGGAGGAGCTGGCGGTGTCACGGTGAACTTCCCGACGTGGGCTCTGAATCCCACAGGCAATGCGGTACGTCCTTGCGAGGCCATCTCATATACTGCTTTCTGTGCTGACACCGCCGTGTTTGTCTTCCGCAGGATTACTGTAAAGTGACTGGGCAGGAAGGCTAATACTCTCCTGCGGACTTTCGGAAGTCTACAGTATCGTCGTGGCCATGTGTACCACGAACTGTATGGACTCTGTAGTCTCATACCAAGACCTCCACACGGCGCTAGTGTGGAGGGAGGGGCTTGTGTCGAACCTAATGGACTCTGCATGCTAACGTTAGTCGAGTACGCTCCGGGCCTGCACGGGCGGGCTCGCGGTGGCGCGTGTATAATAGTATGTATACTGTACTTGTACTGGTCGGTTGTGCAGGTAATGCAGGTAATTTCTTGTGGCCTCAGTAAAGGGGCCCTCTGGAGGCTCGTCTCCGTACACCAGTGGCGGGGGCGTCGTTCATTGTTGTCTGAAAGCAATGAACCCTTACAGATCTGCTCAGCGTGAAGTCGGTCTGGAGGGGGCGCCGGCGTGTCTCGAAGCACAGCACTTGGCTGTTACATATCCGACATAATGACAGAAACCAGCGACAGAGCCTCAGAAAGGGGCTGCAGAGTGCAATCACAGGTACTATACTACGTCTTGGCAGCACCTGTATGCTTCTTCTGCTCCTTCAGCGCAGCGATCCTCTGCGCGACGTCAGTACATTGGCATATCGACCACGACTAGACGCAAGACATACCTGTTTTCTCTCTTCCTTCCGCCTCGCCATCTCCGCGCCTTCTCCTCCTTCGTCATCGATGCCGTACTGTTGGCCTGCGCCTTATCCGGCGCGGGACTCGCTGTTCTTTCAGATGGCGTCGGCGATCGTGCGTATGAGGAGACGGTGGAGGCTCGGTGAGCAGGCGGCGGCGAGCGTGTAGTCGCTGACGCTGAAATCTTTGTAACAGAGGTAGGCTTGGGCTGATGTATCACTATCGTCGATTGCGTGGGGGCCGGCGATGTGAGTCCCCAGTCGTCGCTGGGCGAGAAAGCGCCTGGCGGGACATCGCTGTCGAAGCTCAGATCTACCACCGGCGCGCGCACCGGTGCACTCTCGAAAGTACCTACCACGACGTCGCGGGTTAGTCGGGCTGTGCGCGACAGTGAAGAAAGCACGCAGCATGCACTCACTCCAATCGTCCTGATCGGCATTGACGTCCATCAGGTCATCGCTCCCCCACGGATTCCCTCCAGCGTTCACCGTATCCTCGCTCTCAGCCTCCGCGGCGGCCTCCATCGCCCAGTCAGACAAGCTTGAACTCGTGGGGACCTTGCTCGCCCCGAGATGCATGCCCTTCGATTTCGTGAAGGAAGTACCGACTACGCTGGTTGGGCGCGGGACGGCTGGTGAGGAGAGCGTCGGACCGAAAGGAGCAGTGGGTCGCCCGAGTGTACCTGCGGAGCCGCTGAGGCTGTTCGTGGGCTGGGATGACAGTGAGGCGGGAGGGGGGGCTGATGTGGGACGAGACGGTCCTGCACCGTCGATGACACTTGAGAGGTCACCCGCTGCGAGCTGTGAACACATCGTTAGAGCACGCATGAACTGAGGTTCCAAGGAACGCAGACCTTCTTCCCGATGGACGAGATTGCCCATCCGGCGAGTGCACCCGCAGCCCCCGCCGCGCTGTTCACGAGGCCATTCGAGCCGGGAGACGTCGGCGGGAGGTTGAAGCCCGGCATAGCGTCGTTCTCTGCGATTGCCGTCTCGGGCATCGCCGCGGCGTGCTCCTCGAGCTTCTTCACGAAGAGCTCGACCGCCTTGAACGCCTGGTCGCGGACGAGCTTCTCCTTGTCGATCATCGCGAACGCCATGTTCGGGATCACCTTCGTCGCGAGCTCCTCGGTCTCGAAGCAGTCCGCGGTCGCCATGAACGCCATCACCCCCGCGACCCGGCAGTGCACGAACGGGTCCTTGAGCGCGCGCGTGAACGCGGGCACGAGCACCTTGCGCTTGGTATTGTACCCGAGCGTGGGGCCGAGGCGGCCGATGAGGATGCAGGTGTTTGTCCTGATGGACGCTTCGGGGTCTCCTTGCATCTTCGCGAGGTATCGGAGGAGGTCGTTATTAAGGATGCGGTCGTTGAACTTGTCGGAGAGGAGGATGATCGACTTGACGGTCGCCTCGCGGATGAGTCCGACCGTGTCTGAGAAGCCGGTTTGCTGAGGACGGCGAGGTCACTAAGCGTATAGGAATGGGCTCATGGGTGAGGGAACGTACCAAAGGCGGCCAGATTTTGTCGACGACCGTCTTCTTGTCGAGTTTGTCGGCGTACTCTGGAAGATGCTCAAGCAGTGCGAGGCGCGTGCCACGGTCAGGACTTGCGAATAGCTTGACGAGATGTACGAGAATGACGGAGGAGTAGTCTTGTGCTGCCACAACCTTTCCCATCTGCAGTACTAAAGGGAGGATAGCGGGTGCTGATGCACCGCCGAACTGCAGAGCGGAGACAAGCGAAGGCAACACTTTGTACGACACAAACTCAGATGGAAAAGACGACGAGGATTCTTTGAGTGTCCTGATTTGACCTACATAAGTTCAGGTGCGGAGGCGCAGCATACCACTTACTTGAGCAGTGATGCCTTGTCGGCCTCACTTCCCAAACTGAAGTTGTCCAAACCCGCGCATACCTTGACGAGGCGGTTGTTAGCGAAGAAACCCGAGCTTTCACCTGTGACCTCCGCCATGCCGAGCTCGAGGAAGTTCTTGGGTGTGAGACGCGCTTTCGGATTTGGATTCAGGAGTCGCTTGTAGCATCCAAACAATGATTGAGGTATAGCTCCCCGCGAAGCAGCGGTAGGTGGAGGATGTGGCGGCTGAGCGGTCGCAGGCGGAGGTTGGGTTGGGTTGAAAGTAGAGTGAATGAGGAGCCCTAGTGTATAGGCATCCGCGGCGGCTGGGTTCTGTCTGAGAGGCATTCGTAAGATCTAGCGAGCAAGGAGAACACGCTCATTTACTCTTTCAGTACGGACCAGCCGCCTTTCTTCACTTCTGGAGGTGCGCACGCATTCGCGTCAGGCAGCAAGCTACCCATGGTCTACAGGCGAAAGAGATATATTCATTTCGGTACACCCAAGCATCAGCTGCGTACTACGCACATAGAGAACTGCCGCATCATCTTTAGGACTACTCAACAATTCGAAGCCTCCCAACTTCCATTCCCCAGACGCAGAGATGAAGATGGAGTCCACACGGATGTTTCCATGTGTGGACGCCGCCGAGTCATTTACAAACGCGAAAGCCACCTGGTGATCGTCTGTGGGCATGTGCAGTAGTAGTGATATGCAAGAAGACGGACCGAGACGCGGTGAAGTCCCCAGAGAAGCCAGTCTTCGCGTTCTTGTGCAGCCTTGGAGGAGTACTCGTTGATGGCAGGCGCGAGTGGTCGGACACGTTCGGTCATAACGTGAATCGTAGAGTCTGTCTCTACCACATCCATGAACCTAAGGACGTCCGGATGTCGGATGGTGCGCAGCTTTCGCAGCGCGTTCTTGGCGAGTGGGAACACATTACGCTTGCCTGGTTGATTTGCATCGAACTCGAAGATTGACACGGGGGAACTATCGTCCTAAAAGCGGCCAAGCAAGCATGAATTGATGAAGGGTACTACATCTGTAAAAACGTACACGCTTCGTGCCTTCATATAATGTCCAGATTGAACGACCGTCGTACGCGGTGACCCTTGCGCCTGTCGAGAATGGGAGTGTGAGGCCAGACTTCTGTACCAACGACGAAACAGCAGCGGAGCCCAGTGTCCTCAGGTAGTCCATGGGGAAGGTGGGCCAGGATGGCTGGTGGAAGGGAGCTCGGAGGACTGAAGTCGACCAAGTCCAGCTCGCCACGCCACCGCCGTTGCGGCCACGTGCACGAGAGGAGATATTTTATTTAACTCCCGATCGGGAACAATAGATCGCGTGAGTTGACGTCGCGGACTGGGACGCTGGTGGACGACCTTGTCCTCCATCCACCCCCACTCCCTCTCGCTGGGCCCCGCGGACTCCACCTCTTAGCCCCCTCTTAGTGTAGCAACCCGACGGAAACGCGTCAGCGTCTCCTCGCAGATCCCGCGGGGCTCAAGCACACATTCTCAGCCTAGATCGCGCACAGCGCGCGACTCGAACATGGAAGCCCACACCAATGGCAACGCGTCTGCTCTTCCAAATGGCTCTACAATCACGAATGGCTTCCACGATTTGCCTGTGGAGGAGCTTGAGCGGGAGCTCCCTGTCGTATACGATGGTCAGGTACCACTCGGGGAACTGGTCTCAAGGGTAGTGCAGGCGATCTATGCAGAATTGTCCGAACTAGCAGAAACGTGAGTAGTATGACAGACAGTACATGCATTAGGATCATCGATGCCTTTTCAGACTACCGAACATGTCGGACGCTGCACGGAAGCGGACCCTCGCCGACTGGGTCGTTAAGACGAAGAAGCAAGTCGTTAAGCTCTATGCAATTGTGAAATGGTCGCGGGATGCGGGGGTCGTCCAGAAAGCCATGGTACTTATGTGTGGCGACGCACACCCACTATACTGTCATTCTGATGTTCCTTTCTCAGAATATAACCGCATTCTTGATGGACCAAAATCGCCAATTCGAGGACGCGATACATGGTCTTAAGTACGCTAAGGACAGCTTGGATCCGGCGCGGTGCGTATATGTGAGCGCTGTACTAGGCCGTAGCGCTATAACTGCCCCGTTCCAGATTGCGCAATCACGACTTGTTGACTTCCCTCGACGTCCTGACCACTGGGTCGTATCGACGCCTTCCTTCCGCTATCCAGGTCAACTTCATGTCCGTCGCTTCAGTGTCGCTATGGCTGCTCATGTTTCCGGCTACAGAAAGTCGTTGTGCCGCCCACCCCGCTGACCGACGATCAAGTCGCGAAAACCCTCGGTGACGTCGAGGACGTGATCCGTCTCCGACTCAAGATGTTTGAGGTCGTCCCTATCGAGATGTCTAAATATCGAATTGGTATTGACACACTGCATATGGAGACGACGGTTACTAACTTCACGGTGTCTTGCAGCTGATGGCCGGGTTTACTTCACGGTTCCCAGGTTATTCGAGGTCTCGCTTTGTCTACGAGGCGCCGAGAAGGACGCCGGTTGGTTCTTCGTAAACGTGGAATTCCTGCTCAACGTCGGTGGTGACCCGACCAGTGTGCAAGGTAGCTTCGCGATATTCGCAACAGAGGCCAACATGCTGACGGCATCTGCAGAATTCCCGCGCAAACCATCAGGATGGCTGAAAAGACACATCACAGACGAGGCAGATGCGCGTCTGGCATTTTATCTACCATTGCCTGCAGATCAGGCCCTACCACCTGTGGCTGAAGTGCCACCACGACCACAATTGCCTGAAGGCGTTGCGGATGCGCCGCTCGTCCGAGTCTTCAACTTCCTGCGTACGTACTGGAATGGCATCTTTGTGTCATGTGCTCATCTGTCGCAGAGATGATGTCTATGTCGTATATGCTCGAGATCCTCTGCTACCAGGTGAGTTGATCCGCCGCCAGTGGTACGTACAGTCTGAGTTGAGACACAATCAGGCAGAAAGGTTACGCGCGCTCGGATGGGGTGAGTACATGAGGGTCCAGATGTCCAAGGACCGCAAAACTCTAACAATAACATATTGGACGTAAGTGTCCGTATTGCACATAGACCTGAGTACCCAAAATTGACTCATTTGTAGTCGTCTTCCGCCCAAGGACCCAACCCCGAGTCAAAGGCGGGCGAATATCCCCCTGTTTGGTGGGAAGGTAACAATCTCAATAGCGCGTGCCCACACGACGCCGATAAATAAAGCGAACCGGTCACCGAAAGCTCGTATACTTGCAGAATTGCAGGAGAAGGCGAAGCTGGGGGCGGGGCGACCATCGGATGAGGTCGAACCGCACGAATTGCAGGTCAAGTGGGAGCCCGAACAGGGCGCCCTTGGCACCATGATTCCCCCGCAAGAATTCCATCTTGACAAAAGTGAATTGTCGATCGTACGTGCTATGGATACCAGGTCCCGTTTTAGTTCAATCTCAAGGACTTCCTCGCAGGATTCGGACAACCTCGATGTCGAGGCGTTGCTGCGGAAAGTGGCTACGATCCATGTGGGCGCTGTTCTCCGAGTCGTTCAGCGGCGTCTGCAGCACGACCCGCCGACGCGTGCTATGTTGGCACGCCTGGGGAAGTCTCGTTGGCTATGGACGGTCAGTTCTTGATATGCTATCCATCCCAACGATACTCAAATGCAATGCAGATGACATTCAGACTCTTCGGGCACATTTCTGTGCGGATGAGGTCGTCGTGATGACGATTGACACCAGGACTGGTCGCTAAGTCTTAGGGATACAGGCGACCTTGCTGCCGCAGGCAGGGACGCCGATACACCGCTATAACTGACAGACTAAACGAGAATCCAACGATGCTATACGACGCATTTGTGAGGCTTAAGCTCGCGTTAGTAGATCTTCATGTCCTTTGAATCCTGATATGCTCACGGATTACGGGCAGACTATCATCGACCTCGCCGAGCAGAAGGCAAACTATCTCGGTCTTCAGAGTTACCGTCTCCGGAACTTCGCCCCAACAGGTCAGTCGTCCGGTTGCTGAAACACCGCGTCCCGTGCTCACAGGGTGCCCAGAAATACAAAAACTCGGTCGGATGGCGCGTGGCATGCTCTATATCGAGCTGGCCAAGTTCCCGGACCACTTCCTCGTGCTCGTCGTGACGGACGAGGATTGGCGCTATGCTCTCATCTCCGTCGAGGTGCTGCAGAATACGCCATGCCATGATATGGTCATGAAAGACATTGGGTGGCTCGACGTGAGGCGGATACATGGCGAGGAAATCGTCGTGTCGCCGCATCCCCCGCACGCTGCGGATCCAGCAATCGGACAAAAGCGGAAGCGTGAGTCAACGGACGATGGCTCAGCGTCGCAACCAGTGGACGAGTTTGTGCCTCGGTATGAGAATTTGTGAACAGGATGGATCATACCCCTGACATCTTTCGTTCGTAGCTATTGCTTAGACGCACAGGTCCTCCGAGAACTATACGCTTATTGCTGGTAAGGAATTGATGCCTCGTTACCCATTCATCTACTGAGGTGTGCATTGCAGTGCACGAGTCGCGTTCTACAAGATCGAGCAGCAATTCAAGACGCGAAACATCCCCTATACAACTGTCGCCTGCACGGATGTTGCGCACACGCCGGAACTCGCACACCTTCAGTCAACCCTGTCAAGATCGGTTCCACTACTCTGTGTCCAGTCCTCGGACATATTGTCCGGAGCACCTGCCGCTGAGGCAGCCATGCCGAATATCCGGGTCATACCACTCAACTGGTGGAATGACGAGAAGCAAGCGCAGGTGAAATCCACGCGTGTGATACTTTTGACAACGCTCTGATCGAGATTCGTGCGTAGGTCGTGACTTGCGTGAAACTCAAGTACGTCCAACAACCCGTCGGCAAGCGCGCAGGTAGCAGCAACGTCATCCGACCATCTAAGCGGATCATATACGATACAACGGAAGCGATAGTGTCCTTCCTCTCGGAAGACGTCGACAAGTGTGTCGATGAGTTCCTAGAGGAATGGGCACGCGTTTCCAAGGTCGTCGTGATCGCACGAGAAGGTAGGTTGCTGTGCGTTTTGTAACCCGGTGACATCACTCACTCCGTGTACAGTCGCGCAGATGGCCACCGAGAGGCATTGGTCAGACGTCCGCTTGCTATCGTTCGACTTGCAGACCGTCGAATTCGCGTATGCGGCCGACTACACCATCTCTATCACGTGTACGGACCAGCTCTCACCGACTGGCGGGTCGTATGACCTGCAATTCTCTCGCATCAGCGATGGCAAGGCCGGAGATGCGGATATGGACGACCTGTACAATCCCCACGAAGACCTGAGCCTTTCCTACGCGACGTTCTCCGACATGGCCGACTAGCACCGTCATTGCAGAAATTGGTCCGGCTGTTGAGAGACTCGTTGTCCGTCGTCGTCGAGCTGGAGGGAATAAGGCAGGCAGTTGCGCAGACGTCAGAGAACGCTGACGTGTTCCCGAAAGCCGCTGGGTGGTTCCGGATTCTGTACGGAGACTTCAGGTGAATATCGTGCATCCGATCTAGGAAACACTGCTGACGGCTCGTATGTCTAGGCATGCACTGGACTTTCGGATAATGACGGGCGGTCGAGTTGTCATCCTCGACGCCTCGCATTCTCTCTTTTCGGCAGAGGACTCGCCTCCGCGAAACCGATTGCCTGCCAGCGGGCGGAACCCCTCTAATGCATCTGCACCGCCGCCGAGTGACCCATCGGACAGCCATCTTCTCCTCCAGGCGATCCCCGATTTCCGACGGATTGCCATGGAAGTCGTGAAAGATGCTGCCTCAAGAGGCTGTACTGCACGCGTCGCGCCAATCGACATTGGTATCATCTGTGACTCGGCCGCTGTAAAATTCGTGGCCAGAACGCTGCATGACCGCGTCCTGCAACGGCTGAAGCAGGGATAGGGTGGTTTTGTGGTCGTGCTCATCTCATCGTCGTTGTCTTGTTGTAGCAGATACCTACGTGAGTACCCTGTATACGATGTTCGGCGTGCGTGTGCTGATTAACCTATGCAGTGTAGCATTAGTTTATCTCCGTGGAATGGCACCAGAATGCACAGCCGCGTTTACACACGATGAATGACATAGGACTGTTGTCAGGCTCTGACGCTGTGTCGATGCAGTGCGGTCAACCACCGTAGAGACTGGTGCACCTACACGCTCTCGGAGTGCTGAACGTGGCTTGGACCGACGGCCTGGTAAGCATTGTCTGCCTGCATGAGGATCAGAGCAGTCGTCATGGACCAAGCTTCGATTGGGGCTCCTGTCCTGAGTCAATGTATATGGCGCGACCGAAGACTGCTATGCTCAAGGCGCATCACACCGAGACCTTCCTGAGCTTCTGTCACTACAGGTATTGGGATGACGTGCAATTATGAAAGAAGCTGCTTCGTCATGCAAAGTGTTTGCTTATTAGCTTGAACGCTCGAGCCCTATGCTCAGGAAGGACATGCGGCGGCACTGCCACAGACAGCACTCTACCGCGTTCCTTCTCGCTTTGATCTGGTAGCTGAGCCTTGTCAATGACCATGGGTTTGGGCCAGAGGTCCGTGTCGCAAATGAATGTATACTGTCTCACATATTCCTCACTTGATTGCGCGCACCGACCAAGGCCCGTTCGAGTTCACAAATTGTGAGCCTGACTGCTGTTGAAGCGACAGAGAAGCGCTGAGATGGCCGGCACCGGACGGCACGGAGGCAAAGCCTCGTGGGATCTCGTGGGCGGCGGGCGCCTACGCGTCGCTGGGATCGTCGAGGTCGCGGTTGTGGCGTCCAATTCAGGCATGCGGACCCACAATGCAAGACAGCACCCAAACAGCCCATGCATTTCAACCACTCGCCCGGCCCACTCCCGCTCACTCTCTCCCCCGTCCCTTCTGCCCTCCCGACGCATCCACCCCGTCCGCTTGCCGCGTCGGACGACGACGACGCCCTCAAGCTAACACACGCCCACCCCCCAGTCCCTTCAATAGCCACTCCAGCAATCCATGACGGGACCGTCACGAACAAACGCGAAGGCCAGGCCAGGCCCGATGGGTCCCCGACCTCCCCGCCCACCCAATGCGTGGATCCTCTACAGAAGCGACAAGCTGCGCGAGCTCACCGCACATCGCGACCCAAGCGCTCCCAAGCGTCTGCAAGCTGACATTTCGCGCGAAATCGGTCTCATGTGGAAATCCGAGAACCCAGAAGTCAAGCACGAGTACGAACGCATCGCCGATATCAAGAAACAAGAGCATTCGCAGATGTTCCCCGGGTACAAGTTCCAACCCGTGAAGAAGGAGGACAAGGCGAAACGCAGGGAAGAGGAGAAGGCTGAGAAGGCGAGAGTGAAGGAGGAGCTGAAGAAGGCCAAGGCGCGTCATGTACCGTACGTTCAGCAGGATCTCCTCGTCCCGGGGCCGCCGCCCCAGCTCCCGCAACCGTCTTTTGTGCATCCCAACTACCCCTACTGCCCCTTGGGGCCCTCTCCACCGCTCTCAGCCGCGTCGTCGCCGATGTGCACGCCCAGTCCCTTGTCTGTCGCTGGCGACTTCCCGGAGGACGACGACGCGCAGGACGTGAAGATGTCCTTCCCGGCATGACGTCCGTCATGTTGCCGTCGGCGGAGAAACGGCCACGGGCTGGGAAAGGAAAGGAACCTGCGTACGATCCACGCATGCCCCCGCCTCCCGTACCAGGCAAAGTGCAGCCTGCGCCGGCGCCGCTCACGCCCGAGAGCATCTCCCGCCCTCGGCCTCGAGCTCGCAGACGGTTGAGTTACCCATGGTGGACGCGTCGTCTGCGTCTACGTCCGCGCCCGCGGATGCTCCGAGCATCGTATATCTGCAGCAGACTCTGGATCCGCGCTGCGGATCTGGAGGGAGAAGACTTTGCGATGGACGTATCGAATGACGCCGGTCCGTCGAACATGGACCTCGACTATGGGTTCATGAACTCCATGAACTCGAACCCTTTGGAGCTGATGACATGGAATCGGTACGTGTTTCTTTGTCCGTCAGACGCGTCGTGGCCTTCACTGATCGACGCGTGCGCCATAGGACATGATGCAATTCAACATGCATCTGTCGGACCTTTCAGGGTGGACTGGCTCCAACAACAGGCCCTGGACGACGCCTTCATCGGCGCAAACGCCAATGCTACGGGGGAGCCGGGCGTGTACGAACTTGCGCCAGTCCAGATGGCGGAGCTCAACGTGTTCCCGCCGCCGGGCGCGAACCTCGAGATCGGCGTCATGACCGGGCCACTGCGCACCGCCGCACCCGAGGAAGTCTCCGTGTTCGCGGAGCTGCTCGATGGGCTCGACTGGACGAACATGCCTGGTGGAACGTTCTTTGGGTCCTTGCAAACGAAGGTCCCGACGGGGAGGCAGGAGGAAGCGGAGACGGGATGGATATGGATATTGGGTTCGACGCGAACCCGATGCAGGAGCAGCCGCGGAGCGTTACGCAGAACGACCTTCTCCAACAGTTCTTCAATCTGAACCAGCTGGCTGACGGGGACGACGACAGTCAAGATGGCGACCCGTCCACATCTTCCGCTCAGCTGCAGACAGCTGTGACCGCCGCGCCTGCCCCAGTCCCTGCTCGATCCACACCTCCGCCAACTTCTGCGCCGTCAGGTACTGGATACACCCGCCGTCCGGGGCAGCCAACTTCACAAAACGGCGCGTAGCCGGAAGCTGGAAAGCTTCGCCTCGGGCATGAGGACCACGAATCATTTCACGAAGACGAACGACTGGATGAAAACGAACGACATGCCGTCGCTTGCTTGGGCTAATATTGTGAGTTGTACTTTGTTCTGTCTTTTTGTGCGAACACTCAAGGACGCCTGCTTGCAGATCAACTTATACATTCATCGTTCGCGCGCAACTACACGTCCACACCTCTCCTCTTTCTCAACCGCAATCTGTCTCAATCTCACGTGGACTCTTATTTCTCACCCCCCTTGCTCCATCACCTCGTCGCGCTGCGCTACTTGCTCTGCTTTGTGTCCATTTCTCTTTTGTTTGGTGTTTGGCTTCCTGTTGTTTGGGTGCCTCTTGGGCGCCAATTGTTTCCCCAAGCATGTCTGGCGTCGTTTGCTTCTCCGGCGTTATGGCCATTGTTCACTTATTAGTATCTGCATCTGACGTCGCTCGCATATCATCTTCCGTTGCGTTCTAATCCCCCCCATCTCCGTTTCATCTCGATCCGAACCCTCGGTTTCCCATTTTCCACCTTCTAGCATCCCTCGTCGAAAAGAGCCTGGCTGAGCCCGACTTGGTCTCGCGTTTCCGTCGCAGTTTCTTTTGCTGTCCCGTTGCGCTGTACGATCACAGTTATACGTCTCCCTTCCTGTCTATCGTGCTGACTTCCGTATAATCGCCGTTATCTGTACCAATAGATCTACCGTCGCACTGCTCTCGCGCTCGTCGCACGCCTGTACATACTACCTCATCGGAAGTCAATCCATGGCTCGCGTTCCCGGTTCCTTGGCCCGCCCGGTGTACGAGTGTCCTCGGCGGCGTGGAAGACGTTCGATGGGAAGACACGCGTCGTACACGTGATCGCGTCAAGATCGCGCGTTGTGCAAGCGCCGGCCATTGTCCGCCCCGTTTGGCGGAGAGGCGCTGGGGGAGAGCGCGGGCGGGGCATTGTCCTCGACGGGGCGGTGCTCGCGACCGTCCTTCTTGATCTTCTCGTGTGGTCCCCTCGATGCCTCGTTCCTCCCGTGTCCCCCACCTGCCTCGCTCGATGGCTCTGCCGTAAGGTTCGTACCTGTTTTTTTGTCTCGCTGGGTGGAATCTCCGAGCGGTGCACTGGCCGATTCCTCGCGGACCAGTGGCTCAATCGCGGCCGGCCGCAGATGCATTTCACGATGCCACTCGTGGAATGCCAGTGTCACCCACCCGCAGTGTTGCGGTGGGTGGAGATCGGATCCCTTGAATGCAGCGAGCATAGTGACACTCAGCCTTTAGGCCGGCTCGATACGCGTCTTCCCTGGTCGGTAAAGTATGCCCAAGATTTAAACAAGGTAGGAGGCTCGATGTAGCGTATACTGAGTGAGTGGCTAGATAGGCTATCGGTATCCTCTGGTTCATCGGCCAGCCACTTTCGATCGCGAATTCTGCGAGCAGGCATACAAATTGGATGTGACATGCCGTGGATGTCAGACGTTTCTTCCATGTACTCTCGAGGGTCGCTCGACGAATTGTGGATGTGCACGGATCGTCATGATCGCGCGCAACTCCTCCCGATTTGCATAGCCGGACGTTGGGATTGCCCAATGGCCCGTAATCAAATACCTTCTCTTGCATATGATACCCCGCAGTGCTCAATTGTACTGACGTCCGCGCTTGAATCGACCAGACTGCCGTCCTGCCGTTTCTTACACATAACAAGGAGTAACCTGGTGTGACGACCGCGATGACAATGGCCGAATACCTATTGACTTCATGGCTCTGACGAACACAATTCTTTAGCAGGCTTATTGACCGTCATATTTGGGAGACGCGTCCACGCTTCCTTCGCATGGTTGCATCGTGCCGATCCCCATAAATAATGGTACAACTGGCCATACATCTCCGTCCCACATCCAACATACCGCCATTCACCGCTCGTCCACCGCTAGCCCCAACACCTGCCACTTCCCCTGCACGTCCTCGTACGCACGCCGGATGACCTCCGCATGCGCCTGCGACCGCGCGCGGAACGCTGCCGGGAATATCTTCGGCACCGGGATGAAGCCCTCGGTCCACGTCGCCGGCTCGTCGTCCGGGTTCGGGAGCGCGCCGGACGGGCAGGATAAGTCGAATGCCCAGAGGAGCCGCGAGAGGACGATGAAGAGCGACGCCTCGGCGACGTAGCTGCCCTGGCAGAAGCGCCGGCCCCAGCCGAAGGCGTAGCTGAAGACATCGTTCGTGGGCGTCAGAGGCGCGACGGTGAGTCAAAGGAGAAGTACGTACTGGTCCCGATCTTGCGAGGTCGGCCCGCTCGCCCAGCAGGTGGGCTTACCGGGCGTGTACCATCGCTCGGGACGGAAAGCGAGCGGGTCAGGGTATCGCGAGGGGTCCATGTGGATCGCCCAGATGTTGCCGATCACAGCAGTCCCTTTGGGGATGAAGTATCCCCCGTAGACGTCGTCTGCATCTGCGCGGTGGGCCACGCCTGGTCGAGTTGAGCGCAGGACACGGGGAAGGGTAAGTTCGGTACGGACGCACCCATGATCGTCGGAGGCCTGCGCCGGAGCGTCTCCTTGATACAGGCGACCACCCACGGCAGCCTCTCCTCGTCCTCCCAACTCGGCAACCGCCCCTGCGCGACGGGAACGACCTCGTCGAGCTCCGCACGCGCACGCTCGAGCGCACTGGGGTTATGGAGCATGAAGAGGATGAACGTCTCGATCGTCGCCGCGGTTGTGTCCGAGCCCGCCTCGAGCATCGACCCCGCCGTGTACGCGACTAGCTTGTCGCGCATCCAGCCAGAGGCACTGGTTTCTGAGACGGGCGCGTTGGATGTAGAGGCGACGCCCCGCCCGGGGAGGTCTTCGAGTCCAGCGTCGGCGCGTGCACGGAGGTAAGCGGGAACGAAGCCAGCAAGGGCGATCCCAGACTTGAAGGTCGCGCGGCACTCGTCGAGGAGCCGGCCCCAGAGATCCATCTCCCTGTGCGAGATTGCTCAGTCCCATACTGCGTGAAGGAAACGGGTATAGATGGGGCTGACCAGCGATGCATCTTGCGCACTTCGACCCGCCAGGGCGCAAGGATGTCTGGGAGCCACCGCAAGAACGAGAACCCGTCTGCCCTGGGTCGACCGATTGCGATTCAGGTAAGGCTTTACTACATTTGCATGGGCATCTTACATGTAAACGCCCGGTTGAGATACGTTCGTGAAATTGCTCATGACATTGTAGATGCGGTGGCTATGCGCCGTTAGTGATAGGATCCGGGGCGCGCGTGCACGACGGTGACGGACTCACAGGTAGGGATGGCCGATGAGCCTGTGGACCCGCTGGCCGTATGTCAAGTTCAGCACCACTCCTGTTGTCTACAAGCATGAAGGCATAGTGAGCTTTCCTCCGCGATGCCGCTCAACAATTGGCTTGCGCACATATCGCCTGATGACCGCGAACCAATGCTCTCAGGGACCTCGCCGTTCGGACCCTGCACATGCGTCTCCGCGACGCTCTGATCGCCATGCACGAGCAGGTCGTGCGCCAGCACGCGCGACTCAAACTCTTGCATCTTGCGCAGCTGGCGCGACGGGCCGGGGCCGATAGCGGACTGGAGTGCCCGCCGGACGACCTGTCACACCACCGACGCGTTAGCTGATTAGTCTGAAGAACGCGCGTGACACGCACGCACCCGCCAGGTGTGCCCGTAGCCCATGAGGACCATGCGCTGCCCGTCGCTGAGGATGTCCATCGCGACATGCGGACTTGCGCGCCCAGAGTAGACCGTGCCGCGGTTGACGAAGAGCTCGTCGGCCGCCTCTGCAGTGTTGAGGACGACGAGCTCTGTGAGGCCCATGCGGACGCGGAAGACGGGACCGTACTCGCGGGCCCATTTGAGAAACTGTGGGAGCGTGTGAGCGAAACCTGGAGGGGATGGCTTGCTGTGGAGGGGTACGACGTACCTGGAGATGAGGAGGAGGACGTTTACTTGGAGGAGGTTGCCGAGGACGGGATGCCGGGAGGCCTGGTGGGCACGGTAAGCCACGAAACTGCGCGCCTCGAGATTGAGTGACGTAGAGCAAGACACTGAGCAGTAAGATGCCCAGGACGACTATGCAGTCCAGGGCAGTGATATTGTGAACCAGTATGTCCCTCATAGTGGCGGAACCGACGAGCCGTGCAGCTGCGCAAGGCGTATATAGGGAAATCGTGGATTTTGGAAGAGGCAGGCCTTGTGCCGAAAGAGCATGACTTGCCTGTGTCTGCTTGGAGCTCGAGAAGACGGAGAAGGGTCAGTTGACGAGTACTTCTTCCCACTGAAGACACAACGATGCCCGTTGCTCCCATCTGCGTAGGCATGAAATAAGAACGATCAGAATGTATGATGGAATGCGCTTTTGCGTGATATGGATGTAACTGCAAGCAGAGACACGCTTCATGGACACTGGGAGTCGGAAGACGCAGAGCGGGCGTCTGTGCGATGTACGTGTCCGATCTAGATCGACGCGTCCACGACGTCCACAGTCAGATCGAGCGCTCGGTCTCCTCCGTACGTCCATCGTCTTCACCTCCACCATGGCCAGCGCATCCCCAGAGCTGCCTCCCTCGGGGGCTACATCCACGCCGTCCGCGAGTCGTGCAAGACTGCGCGACAGTGGGCCAACATCTCCGTGAGTCACGTCCTCCACTCCCGCCATGCACCCACACTCGCCCCACAGATCCCCGACGCCGCCATCCAGCGCTCCTCCGCTCGCCGGCCTTCGCGCGACCTTCCCCCGCCTCCGCACCACCCACGGCTACGCCCTCCCGCTCGCCTTCCCCTCCCCCGCCGCCGAGCTCAACCTCCTCGCCGCCCTCTCCCTCCTCAACTTCGGCTCCGGCTACCGCGCCCCGCTCCACGCCGCCGCGGCCCGCGGCGCGTTCGACACCGTCCGCGCGCTCGTCTTCGGGATGCACATCTCCGAGGGCGCGGGCGGCGGATATTTGAGCGCGCGCGGGATGCAGGCGGCCAGTGCGCAGGACGTCGCGGAGCTCATGGGCGTGGCGGGCAAGCTGCATGTCGAGCGGGCGCACGAGAGCATACCCGGGCTGACCGTGGGCGAGCTGGGCGGCCCGGTGTGGGAGCTGGTGAGCCTGGTGACCGCAGTGTTGAACGAGACGGGGGCGGTGCTCGTTGAGGGAGGGTATCCGGACCTGGGCGCGTTCGTGCTCGAGGCGTTGAAGGCGGGGAGCAAGGCGAAGGACCCGGAGAGGGCGTGCGACGTCGTGCTCGAGCGGGTGAGTGCGGGCGCGCGTGCGCGTTGGTGGGTGTGGGCTGACGGAACGCGTAGCTCGTACGCGGGATACCTGCCTTCCGGGACATGGCAACCGCCCAGGGCCATCGTGCGTGCCCTTCGTTTGCCACCTCACGAGTGTACGCTGAACGGGTGGACAGATATATATTGCTTCAAAAAGGCTCTCCTGACGATACACTCCATCGCACGACGGTTCGGCGGCGCAGGAGGCCACTCTTCATCCTCGATCCCCGTCCCGCCCGGGACAGACAACCTCCCCATCTTCGTCGACAACGTCATCCCCTCGTTGCTCGTCCACCTCGGCGTGATCGACCTGTCGACGTCGACACCCTCCCTAGGGCTCACCGGCCTCTTCCCTGGCGCTGGAAGTCCAGAAAAGCTCGAAACGCTGTTAGCGGAGGCAGCGGCGCCGACGGACCGACCGAAGGAGATCCCTGAGGAGGGCCCGGTGCTTACGACGGAGCAGGCGTATGTCTTGCGCGCCGCCGCGGTCGATGCCTGTGAGAGGATGGTGCAGGTTGCGAAGGGGCTGGACACTGGTGGGCGAGAGGACCTGGGGTGGATGGGGGAGGTGACGGCGCCGGAGGTGGATGCGTGGTTGTGGGCGGTCGCAAAGGACAGGGCGGACTATAGGCGGTTGACGCGGTTTGTGCTTAGGGACACGCCATATTTCTGAGATGTTTCCTAGCCAGGGAGCGCAGTCTCCCGTGCACTGCGTCGTACGAACGTTCGTGGGTCTTCAAAGGTTCATCATGAACCTACCTTGAACGGATAGATGAATGGCACTGCAGTGCGCAAGATGCGCCGCCTCCAGGGTCTTTACGGATGGCAGACAGTTGAAAGTTGGGAAAGACAGGACACGGAGGACCAATGATGCGGGTGCCTTACCGGGAGCCAGCAGTGGGCGAAGCCATCCTCCATTTGGGAGTTTGTTTCGTTGCGCGCAGGAGGTTCTTCATTTAAAGATCTAGAAGGTGATCCGGACGAGCATCGGCCGGCGTGCGTGCGTTGGATGCGAGGGCAGATGAGAACTGTCCAATGGCGACAAGGGGCCAATCAGAATGTCTCCGCGATGTTGTTGCGCATGCCGGAGACGTAATGCAGAGATACGGGGCAGTTACCATGGCAGACACGGCGGGGGCGACGAGAGAGGTGGTGGTGGTGGGCGGGAGAGAGTCGAGGACCGGGGTGGAGGGAGCACGTGCACGATGAGGGCATGCGTCGGGGACGTCGAGGACGGGGCGGGAGACGGTGGCCATCGATCTCTGCGACGACCATCAGCCATCTGCCGACGATCTGCAGGCTGCCGCTCCTGCTGCTGAGCGGCGCGCAGCTGTGTTTCCTGGACGACTGCTGCTGGCGAACCTCATAACAGGCTCGCCAGGCCTCTCTCACGTCCACTCTCCTCCGCTGCCCCGATTCCACGCGTCCAGACAACCATGCACAGCGTGCAGTCGCCCGACACGGACGTCTTCTCCACGCCGCCGTCGACGCCCGGCGTGCAGGACCTGCCGCCGTCGCTGCGCCGCCGCACGAGCAGGCCGAGCAACCTGCGCATCCAGCACGACGCCCCCGACTGGGCCCCCAACGTCGTCCTCGACCAGGACTCGCCCGACCTCAAGCGCACCCACCCCTCCCCCCGGCCGTACGCAAACGGCTCCCACTCGCCTGCCCCTCCTGCCTCCCTGGGAACAGGCCTGGCCCAGTCGCTGACACACCCGCTCTCTGCCGCACCCACTGCGAGTCCCTCCCTCGACCCGTCCGGGCGCCCGCACCCTGCCCATGCCCCCCATCATCTCGCTGCGTCCCCCCACCCCACCTCCCCCTACTTCGTCCACTCCCAGCTCCAGGGCGTGTCCATCCAGGACTTCCTCCACGCAAAAAAGTGCAAGGCCATTCATGACGCGCGCATGGAGCACACCCGCCCAGCCTCCAGCGCAGACTCCGACCCCTTCTCTGCCCGCAGCTCCGACTTTGACCTCGAGGACGACTACGATGCCGGCAGCCTCACCCGTCAGCTCGCGGAGACCGCCGTCGGCGTCCGCGAGATGAGCAAGCAGCTCGGTGAGTCTCCTTCTCCCCGTGTCCTCGCGCTTGGTTGGTAGTGGACGCCCGGTCTGTTGTGCTACACTCCCGGATGCTACGCATGTACGATCCCGAAGATCGCGGCATGCGTGGTCGTCGCTATGTGCGCGTCATGGCAGCTCGTCGTCCGCGATCGCTAGAGCGGATGCCCCGAGCAATCCATTTCCGGTGTGTGAGGACTGCACACGCTTGACCGTCTACATTGCGACGAGCATGTTCAATGGCTCGGCTCTTGGACGGCCGCAATAATCTCCGTCGTCCGTCCCACACAGAAGCCTCCAACTCTAAACATGGCACGGGCGTGTTCGTAGTGAGCCAGAGATAGATCTGGTAGGCTCCACGCAACCTCCCTAGCTACACGGTCCATGGAAGCAGAAGCTCTTCCTCTGCTCCGGGGGCTTCGCTCCTCATTGCCGCGCCATATTGGTCTCCCGCCGTTGCAATGGCTAACCCCGCCCACAGGCCGCACCCGCGTGCACTCGCACATCCACAGTGTCCTCATCGTCACCAAGGCGCGCGACAACCGGCTCATCCAGCTCACGCGCGAGCTCGCGCTCTTCCTCATGCTCAAGCCGACCCACTCCGGACGCGGCCTGGTCGTCTACGTTGACGCGCAGCTCAAGGCCTCCCGCAGGTTCGACGCCGCCGGCATCGAGCGCGACCACCCCGAGCTCTTCGTACCCTTCCCACGCCGCCGCGAGTCCGGCTCGAGCACCCACTCCGCCGCGTCGGGGATGTCGCGCGAGGAGAACGGGCACGCGCATCCCGTCGGCGAGGGCCAGCTCCGGTACTGGACCGCGGACATGTGTAGCCGGAGCCCGCACCTGTTTGACTTTGTCGTCACGGTGCGTCCTTCTTTCCCGCATCCTCCGACCAGAGTGAGTCCTGACCGGTGCCGTCCCACAGCTCGGCGGCGACGGGACCGTGCTCTTCACGTCGTGGCTCTTCCAGCGGATCGTCCCGCCCGTGCTCCCGTTCGCGCTCGGCTCGCTCGGCTTCCTGACCAACTTCGACTTCGCGGACTACGCCGCGGTCATGGACGCCACGCTCGACAACGGCATCCGCGTCAACCTCCGCATGCGCTTCACGTGCACCGTCTACCGCGCGGTCAAGCCCGAGGACGAGCGCACGACGCGGCGCGCAGTCAAGAAGGCGACACGGGCGAGATCCTGATGAAGAATCTCGAGAAGGGCGGCTGGGAGGCGCTCGAGAGCGGGTGTGCGCCCGCGTTTGATCCCCTGGGCACGGGCAAGGTCGGCAAGGATAGGGAAATCATGTGCTTTACGACGAGGCCGGTGGAGAGCTTCGAGGTGCTGAACGACCTGGTCGTCGATCGGGGGCCGAGTCCGTATGTGAGCCTGCTGGAGCTGTTTGGTGAGTCGGCTTGCTCGAAGTCGTCGTACACTTGCTGACCCCTTGTCTTTTAGGTGACGAGCACCATCTGACGACTGTACAAGCTGACGGGCTCACAATATCGACACCCACGGGGTCGACGGCGTACTCAGTACGTGTCTCATTCGTGCTTGAAGGAGACGGCGATTCATTCATATACTCTGCTACAGTTATCCGCGGGCGGATCACTAGTACATCCCGAAATCCCGGCCATCCTAATCACACCCATTTGCCCACATACGTTATCGTTCCGACCCATGCTCCTCCCGGATAGCATGGAACTCCGCATCTGCGTCCCGTTCAACTCGCGAAGCACTGCGTGGGCGTCCTTCGATGGCCGGGGCCGCGTCGAATTGAAGCGTGCGCATCCTTCTCTTCCTGATTATCTGTTTTTCCTCACGGTCCGTCGTAGAGGGCGACCACATCAAGGTGACCGCGTCTAAGTACCCGTTCCCGACCGTCTGTGCGGACACGCAGTCGACGGATTGGTTCAACTCGATCTCGCGCACGCTCAAGTGGAACGAGCGCGAGCGCCAGAAGTCGTTCGTCGTCGTCGAGGAGGGCCCCGCGCACAAGAAGGACAAGAAACGGCGCCTCTCGGAGGCGTCCGAGAACGGCGAGCCCGTCCGTGGCGACCACCCAGAAGAGCAAGGTGGTGAGGACGAAGAGGAGGACGAAGATGAAGAGGAGGAGGACGAGACGTTCGACATCGACGACCTCTCGTCGACGGAGTCGTCCCCACCCCGCGTCGTCTCCAAGCTCGAAGAGAACCTCCTCCAGCCCGACGAGGCGAGGATCGGCAAGGAGAAGGTCGTCGAGCAGGCCAACGGCGGCGACCAAGCGCACGCGGACGTGCAGTCCACGGCGGAGGACGTCGCCCGTCTGCTCACCGCGAACAACCCCTTCCTCCAGATCCCGCACGGGCGCTCGGGCGTGCAGTCCGGCATCGAGACCCCGGATAGGTTCACCGGTCCCCACCCCCATCCACCACGCGTGTCGCCTCGCCATGTGCAGTTCGCGCAATCGAACGACTCGTCGAGCGGATCGCTCGCGTCGCTCGACACACGTCACCCTGCAGCAACAGCAGCACCGGCCCCACCGTTCCGGCGGGAGCTCAGAGAAGAGGGCGGCCGGAGCCAGACGAGGCGGACGGGGACGTCGCGCAGTCGAACGCCGAGGACGCGAGAGTCTGAGCTTGAGGCGCAGAAGACGCCGAGGGGCTTCGACGAGGCGAGGATACGGAGAACGATGTCTCGGAGCCGGTCGAGGGACGTCCCGCGCGAGGCGCATGTCCGGCGAGCGTTTGCGGTGTGGGGCCAAGACGAAAGCGATAGTGCGGCGAGCGACAGCGACACATAGCGAGTCGCGAAGGGTTTGACGGCTTGGTAGCATCGGTGGATCCATGGACCGGAAGTTCACGTAGATTGACACGATAATATGGTCTCATCATACATTTGACTCACGACGCATTCATACATGCAAATAGATCAGGATGCTCGATTGACGGCTCGGTCGTTTTGGCTGCGACTTGTATTTTACACAGAGGGTTGTTCGTTAGCACATTGAAAGCTAGTTCTCAACGCGCGGACGTTCCTGAAATGAGACGATGGGCCCGCTGGCACATGCAGTCTCACGCCCCCTAACGTCTTAAGTATGTAGCAAGTAACTGAAATGATACAGCATCCGCGCCTCAGTCTCATGCTCACTGCAGCTCAGTACAAGCCATCTGGCTCAGCAACACGGTGACCGTGCAACAACTTCTTGAACCTTCTCCTCGGAGCTCCATCTCGCTGCATCTTGGTCCTGGGTCGTTTCTTTCACAGTATTCGTCGAGACTATGCTTTGATCGAAGCTCATATCGTCTTAAAGGCGAGGTATGCTATTGCTCGCTGTTCACGCCGGGCCGAAGGTGCTCTGCCAGCCATACTGTCATTGAGGCCCGGCCGGAGGCCGCTCATGCTGCGTAAGTAAGGTCCGAGTCATATTCTTCTCCGACTTCGCGCGCTTCGTGCTGAAGACTTCGAGGATGCCTAGAATGCGAATCGCCGTGTCTATACACGCGACGCACTGGCAGTGCACTCGGTCCTTTCTTCTCGAAGCCAACCTCAATCTCATACGTTCGCCGCTCGGGCCTGAGACTGAAGAGTGAGTCAGCTGCCCCCAACATATGAAACTCTAAAGTGTCCAGCTCGTATCGACGAGAGCGACGAACCCGGGAGCATGGCACGACTGCAGATGACGGGGTCCTCGTGTCGGCAGCATGGCTCCAAGGTGTATGATATTAGGACGGCTGCGAGGTCCAGCTGCTCTGTCAGCTTGCTTTGCGGCCCTCAGAACGAAGATCCCAGGCTGCTAGTCTCCGCTGTGCGGCATTCGGTCCCACCACGATGAGCATCGTCCCTTTCGTCTTGCAGCTCACGTCACTGTGGCAGGCCGTCACAGGCGACGGTAGCGCTCCCAGGAAAAAGCAGCAAGAGTTCCTTGACGCATGCAAGAAATACTCCGGTCGGCACATTTCCGAGATGACCCACACGCTTCCTATTGTTGGCCACGTTAAGGGTGCGTCCACAGGCCGTCTATCTTCAGTTGCTAATCATGGGCGAGTTCCAGGTGTAGTTCATTTGGCATTGGGCGACACGGAAACGATCTCTCGCTCAGAAGATGCCCCGACTCGTACTTTGATGGTATTGGGCTCCGGCGCGCTAACCGCAGGCACCGGAGATGTAGCGGTGCCCATTCTGGGCGGTGTCGCAACAGGAAACATCGCTGACTCGAATATCGCTATCACAGGTGCGAAGACTAGCACAATTTGATTTGACGTACTCATTGCCATGCCCGTCGTGTAGGTAGTATAGATGCACGACATCAGATATACAATCCTCAAGGTGACCTCGGCGCAGTGTCTGAACACGCGTCTGACTGGCGCGGAGGAGTGTTCGATATAGTTGCTCTCGGCGTTGGCGATGTGGTACTGAGCGTCAATGGAGCTCTAGCGAAGGCGACATCCAGGACAACCAAGGTGAGCGTTGTAGCTATACTGTTCCTCATAAGCCCACCGTCTTCTGGCAGGTGTTCCGTGTCGAGGGCGAAGGAGTCTTCCTGACAGAACGAGGTATGGCCCAATACAGCGCGAACAACTGTATCTTCCCCGGGCCAGGAGGCAGCACCATCGAAAGCCCCAACATCGTAGCGACGATAGTGCGTTCCAAGGACAGATCGCAAAATATCGTGTTTAGGCGACCATCAAAACTCTACATGAACATCGGCGACACATCTCACTCTGACAAATACTACGAACAGAAACTCTTTCAATACGACGAGGCCGTCGAACAGCTGAGACATAATACGGGCACGGATACTCTTGGTGAGAGTGTTCTCGACATCCGCTTCTGAGTACACTCACCATTAATATTGCTTCCCTCATAGTCTCACATCCCGCAGCACGCAGATTTACGTTGCAGTCATTCCGCATCCTCACGAATGACGCCAAATGCATGTTTCGCTACATTCCAGAGAATTCGGATGGCAATATCAATCTCAGGTCTTCCGACATCCGGCGAATCGATATCACCAGGACGTCTGCGTCGTTCGAATGCTCCCAGCCGATATACGTACCGGTCATCGCAAACGCAATTCCTGACACATACAGTGAAGAGCTTCCGACCTGGCTGCATCATATGCCGACGCGCCTTTCAGAGCTCATGAGAGACGACCAGGTCAGGAACAAAAGCACGAACTCGTATTTACCAGCGATCACTGACTCGGACGCTCGTACTTGGTGTAACATCTAGATCACCTACGGCTGTGTTAGGACATTCGTCGTTTTCGCGCCTCAATTCAGCAGAAGATCCCTGAGAGCGGACATAGCGCTGACGATCACCGACCAGGAGCTCAAGCGGCTAGAACACGCCCCCGTGTCACTATCAACCCTGAGCCCTGACGGTGTCGATAGCATCAAGGTCCGGCAAGAGCCTGTCCGTCGTCTGTGCCAATCCCGACAAGTCAAGTGCGGCCGTAGGGTCCTCGGGGACGTTGACCACGGGCGGCACACAGAGTACCTCGCCGAACTGAGTGATGGTTCGACCTTCTGGGTCCCATCGTGCAACGTCGCAGAGGACCTCAAGCAGGAGTTCTGGAAAGTCATGACCACGGGAGCAAAAGAGGTTGCGGAGTTCGTCAATTCAGACCCGTCTACAGGCAAGGTAACTGTGAAGCGGCCTGACGGGACGACAGAGATTGTACAGCAAACACAGATATTCTGGCAGGAGGAGTCCGAGCCGACAAGGTTGACCGATATGGAGCTCGAGGCGCTCCTGCACCATGGTCATTTCGGTCTCGACGTCACCGAGTTTGTACCGTGCACGGCGTCCATCAACACGGATTGGGCAAAGGTTGAAGTCCTGAGCAAGGGCGCAGCGATTATGAAGGACACGGCCGCCTCGAAGGCCGGCGAGTACGATGGTATACGTTTTGACGTACGTTCGATATCGTTGTCAAAACCATTCGGTGGACAATTTGTCTCGCGGACAATCCCGTACGGGTTTCTCTGTCGCGCGCTTTTTGCGTACATCGTCATATTGAATTTTGCCGACAGATTCTTCATTGCTAGTAATAGCACCACATTCGACATCAAGGTCACTCACGGCTACTGCAGAACGGCGACAACAAGGGGTGATGGAAACGTCGTGCTCAACCTTCATGACGTGCGTGTGCTACCTCCATTCAACCTAGTATACCTGAGCTTCATTTTGGTCGTAGGAGCGTTTTGAAAGCGGCGCTGATCCACATGATACTGACCACAACCTGAGCGAGTTCCATATCCGTGAGGTCACTCTCGTGCTGCAGTATACCCGTTCTGACGATCTGCGCTCTGTAGGACCTATCATCACCTGTAAGGACGATGGTAAAGTAGTTTAGTCAGCGCCTTAGTCAGCGACCCGGAGTCCGCCGAAGGACCGTTTTATAGCTGACGCGCCCCGTTGCTCTCGTCGTCTTTTCCCCATCGTTGTACACCGCTCGCCCCTGCAATATACAGGCTTTGGCTAGCTCAGTACGGCGTCCGAGAAGACCTACACCCCTTATATCTTTTTGAGCTACCGACCTCGTTAAATCGAGGAGCCCCCTTACTCTCTCGCTTCACTCTCTCGCTTCCTTCTGCTTCACTCAACTCTCGCGCCATCCATCTACCCCCAATCTATGTCGACAACAACAACAAAGACCAAAACCAAAAGACGGACTCAACAGACTACTACTAGTCGACCCGTCACCCGCGCATCGAGCCGAGCTACGATGTATGCTCAGGGCAATATCCGGGACGTCGACGAGCGTCGTCCCGAGGACCAGGGCCCCGGTGAGCAAATGCCACCTCGCTCACCTATCCCTGACGGTTCTGTTCGCAGAACCTCTTCGCCTCAGCACGTCGAGCAAGAGCTCGAGCACGAGCGCACACCACCCGCGGGCGCACCATCTCCTGCGCCCTCAGCTCGCTCCGAAACACGGCGCACGTCGGAGACCAGCATCCGTGACATGTGCCAAGACTTTTTCGACATGATCAACGACCGTCTCGAAGATTCGGACGAGGTCATCCGAAATGCGGCGAATTTCGCCAACACTGCCTTGCGTGATGTCATGGCAGCTCAGCAACGAGCGGCCGAGACTCGCAACCTCACGCGGACGATGTTCCTGGACATCCGTAGACAACTGGACCGTCTTGGGTACGGACCAGCCGAAGAGGAAGACGAGGTACGTGATGATGATCACAGACGCCATGCCTCTCCGCATTCTGTTGACAGCAGGCAACCATCGCCGCATATCCGCGATGACGACTACGTCGAGACCATGTCCCTCGACACTATGTTCGCGCCGAGGCGACCGAATGAATCCGACGCTCAATACGCCAACCGGGCCCGACGTCGGGATCAATTTCTGGACCGCCAAGGAATGGAGCAACGCCGACACGAACGTGAAGCTCGCATCGCGCAGACCTGGCGCGAGGCTGCGGAACGACACGGAGGTGATCCGTACGCCAATCAGCAGGCCTACGCGCCGTACCCGGGTCCTCATGATGACGATGACGACCCGGGGGACGACTACGACGGTGACCCGCGCCAACCGTCGCCGCGAGACCCTAGGCCACCCCGAGATCATCCAGATGTGGATGGTCAACGAGGTGGAGCCGCTCCGCCGCCACCTCCGCCACCTGGCGGACCACCCGATGGCGACGATGGAAGCAATGGGTCGGACGATCGCGACGACGAGCAAGACCCTCAAGATGACGAGCAGGACGCGCGCGAGCCCCCGCGCCGAGATGAACGTCGCTTCACCCGTAGTCCCACATACTTAGCTGACCGACGTGTACCTTTGTACGATACACGCACTGGCAATAGACGAGTCCGTGACCCCTACGATCCGGACTACGATGACACTTTCAGAGCTGAAGGCCTTCGTATGATACGAAGGCTAGTCCGCGAAAAACTGTCTGAAAGCATGCCTGACAGCAATGCGCTCAAGAATATTAAGAACATACCCACACCCTCGCAGTACGATGGTACTGACGACTACGAGCAGTTCGAAAACTGGCTCAAGAACTTACTTCGCTGGATGAGTCTCTTCCGTCTAGGTGGACCGACACTCGACAAAGAACGCTTGTATATACTTGGCCAGTTCTTGAAGGGAAAGGCTGCCGACTGGTATAATGATACCATCGATGCTCCTACCACGAACGGAAGGCCTTGGACGTTCCTTGAGGCACTCTGTGGTCTATTCGATAGATTCTTACATCATGCGACTGCCAGCACAGCAGCCGACAAGTTCTACGCTGCTAAATACACTAAAGAAGGTGGTATTAACAGCCTCTGGGACTATCTCACGAAGTATGCGGCCCGTATGCCCATACCACCTGACGACTACACGTTCGCACGCGTGTTCACGGAGGCGCTTCCCAGCGACATCGGCGTGCCGCTGTTCCAGGCCAAAAACGTATCCGTCGAGTCGACTCCTCTACAGCGACTCCGACGTCTTGCTCTGCAGCAAGAACACAACAATAAGCAAGTTGCGGCCTACCGTTCAAAACACGCTGCGCGGGTTGCGACAACTATACCCAATACTGCAAGCAACCCTTCGACGCGAAGCACTGACCGTCGTGTCGAGTCGAACCATCGCGATAGCCGAGGGCATAGTAGTGGCCAACAGGGCACTCGTAAGTTCATTCGTTTCGTTCGTCGCTCTGACCTCTTGGCTGCTGCAGCTCGCGGCGGAGGTGCGCCGCTGATTCGTCCTAAGGGACTGCAACAATCCTCTCAGCCGACCTCAAACATCCGTGGTGGTGTTGCACCTGCTTCGGGCAACCGTTCGTCAGGCCAGCAGGGTGCGTCGCACCAGTCTCATTCTCACGCACATGGCACTTCGCAGCACTCACGCAAGTGCTTCAACTGTGGAGAAGAGGGACACTTCTCAAAAGACTGTCCCCATCCACCACGCACAAACTTCCGTGCGGCGCGTATCGTCGATGATCGCGACGATCCCGATGTAAACGAGTCGGAACGTCCGCCCGACAATCCTGTCGAGGCGCCCGAAGTGTCGCCGGATGCGACGCCGGAGGCTCCTTCGCCTGCGGTTGAGGCAGCAAGTGCTGATAACCAAGACGAAGTACTCGCCCAATTAGAGGACGAGTACCTCGCCATGGATGGATCACAGTATGATCCTGACGAGTACATCACGATGGAGGATGCACTCGAGGATGACGACAATGTCGTATACTACGGCTCAATGCGTCGCATCGAGGTTTCACAGGTCGATAATGACTTGGTGGAGCACACCGAAACCTCACACGGAGACCATACGTCATATGGGCTTCGTGTCTTCCATATTCCTCGCGATGTTAGCATGCAGGACAGTGTCTTCGAGCTCGAGTGGCGCCGCGCGCTTAGTAATGGTGCTGACAACATCGACCTCGAGTCGATAGACAACGTTGCAGTGCGCGAGATCCTGCGTCGAGGCCCATCAATTGAAGCCGTCTCTGAACGCAGTGGTATAAGCTATGAACACATAGCCGAGGACTTCGTGGGACCTGCACCAGTGGACGCTGCAGTTGCCACTGGGTCAGGCGAGCCCGACGCCATGTCGATCTCTTCTGACGACTCGATACCATCTCTTGAAGAGATACCCGAGTCTGATCATGTTGTCCCGGACTTCACTGACGAAGAGACGTATGCTCTCGCGCTTACAGGCCGCTTGCGCACGCTGTGCCGCGAACTCCTTTGGACACGATACGAGCTGCTGCGCAGCCTCGAGCGCTACCGGCCAAGCGCAGAAGATCGCGAGCGCATTTGCAATCGACTGGACAACCAAAACTGGTTGGTAGGTTCCATGAACATACCAGATTTATCTTACGACTATCTAGACGATCCCTCGTTTGGCACGACCATTGCACTTGCCGAACAAGTGCTCAGAGAAGATGCAGACATGCATGACCCACCTCCGCCATACCCGGCATTACGAGCAATGCTGGCTCGTACTGGACGCATTCCCGACGCGCCCAACTCGAGTGTACAGCCCCTCGCAACACGTGCAACCGTGCGACGCGCTGTAACAGGTCGTCGACCTGACTTAACTCGGTATGACCAAACATGCCTTACCGCTTACCTGACAATCAACGGATTGCAGGCCTTAGTACTCCTCGACTCCGGAAGTACTACTGACTCCATAAGCCCCGACTTCGTGCGAGTCGCTGGTATCGAAGCTTTTGAACTCGAAAACCCGGCGATCCTTCAACTTGGCTGTGTCGGAAGCCGTTCACGCATCAACTACGGCGCGAACGTACCCGTGATCTGGGGTCAATTCAAAGGTGAGGTCTACTTCGATGTTGTGAATCTTGACCGCTACGATGCAGTGCTCGGCACACCGTTCATGCGGAAGTTCGGTGTATGCCTTGACTTCGCGAAGTCGGCAATCTGCATCGGAGACATTGCGATACCCGCATTGCTTCCGCGGGAGGAGGAGGACGCCGCAAATAGACGGCGACGTACCTTCCCTTCTCGCCGGAGTGTCACAAATACATCGCAGCAGACGCCTGCTCCGTCTGCGCCCCCGCCTAATCCCTCATATTGACTAGCCGAGATGGACAGTAGTGCGTCACCCGACCCACTACAAACCGTCTCGTTCCACCGTATTACTGCTAATGAGTCAACTCCAGTTGCAGACGAAGCGCGCATCACACAGATCCGCGAGCAATTCATGACGAAATACGCTGAACTCTTCGGTCCAGTACCACCTGGACTACCCCCGGTACGAGAGGTCAATCACACTATACCCCTAGTTGATGACCGAAAACGGTACACTTACTATCTACCTAAGTGCCCAGACTCTCTCAAGCCCAAATTGCTCGAGAAGATACAGCTCTACACCGCCAATGGCTGGTGGAAAGAGTGCCAGACAGAGCAAGCAGCACCAATGCTCTGCCTCGCGAAGAAAGACGGCGGACTACGCACCGTCGCAGACGTTCGCCAGCGCAATGCGAACACCATCAAGGATGTAACGCCTTTTCCGGATCAAGACCAGATCCGGAATGACGTTGCCCGCGCTCGATACCGCTCGAAGATCGACATGTCAAACGCCTATGAACAGGTGTTAGTAGAACCGAAGGACGTCCACAAGACCGCCTTCGCGACGATCTATGGTACGTTCTACAGCCTTGTTATGCAACAAGGGGATGCGAACGCCCCGTCTACGTTCCAACGCCTCATGACATCGATCTTCCGCGATGCCATAGGGATATTTGTCCATGTTTATCTGGACGATATTTTTGTCTTTTCAGACACTCTCGAAGACCACGAGAGACACCTTGAATGGGTTTTCAAGAGGCTTCGTGAAAATCGACTGTACCTCAGTGTCAACAAATGCGCATTATTTGCGAGACGAGTTGACTGCCTCGGACACATCATTGACGAGAAAGGACTCCATGCAGATACTGACAAAATGGCCCGAGTTCGCAACTGGCCTGTACCTCGGAACTACCATGAAGTACAGCGCTTTCTCGGCCTTGTGCAGTATCTCGCTCACTTCATGCCTAACCTCGCAGCATACACAGGTCCAATTTCGAGCATCACACGAAATGGCCAGTCATTCGACTGGCGACCTATTCATCAAAAGTGCTTTGACGAAATCAAGGCACTCGCGTGTAAGACACCCATCCTACGACCAATCGATCCTAGGAATTCCGACCCCATTTGGGTCATTACTGATGCATCTACATCAGGAGTCGGTGCTGTATATGGCCAGGGCCCTCAGTGGGACAACTGCCGCCCGGCTGGCTTCATGTCGAAGAAGTTCACGTCCGCGCAGCACGCGTACTTCACTTACGAGATGGAGGCCCTAGGCGTCCTCGAAGCACTCCTTAAATGGGAAGACAAACTGATCGGACGACATTTCAAGATCGTCACTGACCATCGCGCGCTCGTCTTCATACAAGACAAGCGGAAGCTCGCGCCACGACTCAAGCGTTGGACGGAATACCTCAGTCGTTTTGACTTTGAGATTGTGTACGTCCAAGGCTCCAAGAACCTTGTCGCTGATTCATTCTCTCGCTACTTCTCTAGTGAGGGCGCCGACGTGTTACACGAGCCACAGGACTATGTCTCCGCGGACATAAGGATCGATCCCTACGGTGAGACACTTTCTGATGCTCGACTCGCAGAGATCCGAGCTCAGCGTGTTGTTGAACACGTCGAGCCTCGAGTTCGCGAAGCCGAGGAGCTTGCGGCTCACTACCCGCAAGGCCCTGATGCGTCCGACTCGGACGCAGACTCATCATCCGTTCAGGACGACCCAACCGCAATTGATTCCACAATTGCCGGACCACCGCTCGACACGGTTGTCCAGCAAACCCTCGACCTGCAAGATACCGTGCGATCTGGCTATGCCAATGATCGTTTATTCAAGGCCATTATGGACCACCCCGAGGATCACCGTATGTTCCTCGTACATGACGAGTTGCTTTGGTACAAGCCACACCCAGAAACTGAGGTATTATGCATACCTTGTTGGAACATGAGGTCAGGGACGAGCTCGCAAGCTCGGCCGCGATAGTACCTGGCCGAAAATGGATTAGGGAAGGGTATATATACAGGGGTTTTCGATGTACATACCTCACGCGATTGCCCTTCGGGCATCGTCCGCGCCCGGGACACTTGCGCCCGTCGACCGTCGTTCCGCTTGTTCTCACACAATCGCGTCAGCCCACCTGGGGGTTTACTACCAGAAGGCTCTGGGGGCAGCCGAAAGCCCGCCGCTCGCTGCGTTGCCGTACCTCGCGCGTATGCTGTCGCTCGCCGATACTCTGCTGGCCGTTGCCATGCCACAGACTCCCGCCGTCGCCGTCGACCCACCTGCCTAGACGAGGCTGAAGTCGTCTACCCGCCGTTGAATGTTTGAACGCCACACGCGCGCCACCGCCGCCGCACGTCGTACGATCGACCTGTCGAACCGAACCGCCCGGGACAGGGCCGAAGCTGTCCACCGCTGCACCGCCAAACCGTTGTCTTGCCCGCCGCCGAGGGTACCGTCGTCGAACCGCCGAACTGTTGAACTGTCAAACTGCCCGCCGAGGGTACCGAACCACCTGCCGAGGGCACCGCCGAACCGTCTGTCGAGGACACCGTTGATCGAACCGCCGCCGTTGCTGGAGATGTTGAAGAGTTGCCGGATTTGGACAAGGATTGCGCCGCCGTACGTGTACGCCTTACCTTCGCACCTAAGGGTCGCCCGTCGGAGCTCGCATGAGCATGGACTATCGGCCGGATGTCGGAGTGTTGGAATGGGTGTCGGAGCTGGATGACTGCGCCGAGAGGATGAGGATTTGAAATTGGGGGAGTGCTGGATGTTGAACTGCGGGGAGTGCGCGCGAGCACTCGCTTGCTTCGCTCGGGGGAGTGTGTTGGAACATGAGGTCAGGGACGAGCTCGCAAGCTCGGCCGCGATAGTTCCTGGCCGAAAATGGATAAGGGAAGGGTATATATACAGGGGTTTTCGATGTACATACCTCACGCGATTGCCCTTCGGGCATCGTCCGCGCCCGGGACACTCGCGCCCGTCGACCGTCGTTCCGCTTGTTCTCACATACCTCGAGTCAAGGTACGTCGTCGACTACTACCTGAAATTATCCTCGACGAGGCGCATACTGCGCTCGGGCATCTGGGTACCCGACGGACGTCGGACTACGTCCGGCGATGGTACTGGTGGCCCAACATTGGCAAGGACATAGCCGCATTTTGCGCGAGCTGTAGCACCTGTCAGATGTCCAAATTTTCGCGCCAGAAGCCCACTGGACTGCTACATAGCATGCCTATCCCATTGCGACCTTGGCAGTCTGTTGGGATGGATTTCGTCGGCCCATTCCCCTCATCACGAGGCTTGGATTACCTATGGGTAATTATATGCCGACTGACTTCACACCTGCATCTGATTATATAGTGTTTTCTAAAGGGGGTACAGGTTGGGATAGGGTCCGGGTAGCACCACTTTTGCCTACAGAATGTTGGGTTTTACCCTCCAAACAGGTACCAAACCCGATGAAACAGGGGAAAAACAGCGCAGATTCGACGTATTGGAGTAACATGGGTTTGGGTACGGATTTTTTGCCCCAAGATATCCCGACTTTACAGCGATCTATGGTCCGACACGACCCAACATACATAATATTCATGTACAGCGAGCAGACATCTCCGACATCACTGCGACGAGAGCCCTGTGTCCGACAGTGCTACATCGTTCATGATTGATGTAGCCGACAGTGCTGTATCGTTCATGAACGATGTAGCCGACAGTGCTGTATCGCTCATAAACGATGAAGCCGGCAGTTGTAGGATGCATCGTTTACGAACGATGTAACACTGTCGCATACATCTGCAGCTATGCAGATGTATGCGACAGTGTTACATCGTTTGTGAACGATGCATCCTACAACTGTCGGATGCATCGTTCATTAACGATACAGCACCGCCGGCTACAATCGCTGCAGATGTATGCGACAGGTCGGATGCATCGTTCATGAACGATACAGCACCGCCGGCTACAATCGCTGCAGATGTATGCGACAGGTCGGATGCATCGTTCATGAACGATACAGCACCGCCGGCTACAATCGCTGCAGATGTATGCGACAGGTCGGATGCATCGTTCATGATCGATGCCTCCGACAGCACTGCAGTTGTATACGACAGTGTTACGTCGTTCGTGAACGATTTATCCTACAGTGCTACATCGTTCATGGACGATAAAGCCGATAGTGCTGTATCTTTCATGAACGATTCATCCGCAAGTACTGCGTCGTGGTAACCATGTAATAGGGTTAGGGTCCACACAGGGAAAATGGTTGTCTTGAATTCCCTCCCACAATGGGACTTGTCGCAGTGTGTCTGAGGTGGACCACATCGTTCGCAATCGATGCGCCCATTAACATTAGAGTGTCAATAGCTACCATGATTCACCTCAGCTACCAATCGACAGAAACAGTTGAGATATCCAGTCCCATCTCTATTACCGTAGCTTGTGTCGTGACGTCTGACAGTAGTTATTACAGAAACCCATGATGGAGTCGGTTGAGGCTTGCTGAACGCTTGTCATTCGTAAAGACATACCCTCGTCGCAGCATCCATTCAGTCAAGATGTACTGTTCTGGTGAACCCACTGCCAGGTTCCGCATTCAATGGCGTCAACTTGTAAGATCATGCATAGAAACAAACTCCAGTAGTCGTTTTTAAGGCTTCAGGAAAGGCACGTCGGTTGTATCAAACTCTATGTCTTTTTTGTCGCTGATGTATAGGCCATCGGACGCACCTTGTGATTCTCTCAAAATGATGGCCGGTGTGTCAGCGACCTTGCGTCATCATCCACCCATCGGTATGCCGACACAATCACAGGAATCAATTGGAGATCACTGGATGCGAGCCTCGAGGTGCAGCAGGATCTGTCGGACCAACGTCCGGTTTCCCCCGTCGTTGACTTTTAACGACAGTGTGATTGCAACCAGGTCCATATCACTTCACCCCCCACTCTCTCCGAGCTGCTGCCATGGTTGGACCTTGCACTGTCGACTTTGTTCTGGGCATCATGTCCTTACTGGCACCCCCAGGCAATCTATCTCCCCGTCCCCGTCATGAGATCGTGACGGGCAGCCGACTGTTCACCGATCTCCCTCCAGATCCAGAGGCGTGGGATGCCGACACTCTGCAACGCCTCGAAAACACGCTATGGGCACTCTTCGATAGTCCCTTGAACGTGCCAGCCTTTGAGCTGTTCGTTCGCTGCCAAATCCTCGTAAGTCGGGACCTCCGACGATTGTGTCTATCGCAAGACTAAACCATCCGACACACAGACACCCCGATGGATGCGGTCGCTCATGCGTTCGGGACAGCAAAAGAACTTTCCGGTCCTTCTGCTTGCTATGTTTCAGTGGATCACCTACGACCCGGCGGCCATTCCCTGCGACACTCACGATATCACAACATTCTTGATGTCGCACAAGGGATTAAAGCCAGAGGTTATCGACCTGAAAGCCAACCCTCAAGTATATATGCGAGGCCTCGTCAATATCACTCTCCGTTGGATGTGTACGGTGTCCTCTGCATACCTGCGGTGTTGTACTGACATGTATGTTGGCTTTCAGTGAACTCCCGCTTGGCGTGTACGTATCTACGTGTGAATGTCCGTCCCACTTTGCTAATGCGACAATAGCTTTGCCTCGCCTGGGCCGGGTTAAAGACTTGTACACGAGCTTAGGTTCACTTGCTCACATCCGACGTTTTATAGAGGACATTGAGACTGGTATGTGCCCAGATTGTTTTCGAGGTATTCATAACACCTTCAAAACTTATGCTTCCTAGATGACGAGGAGGATAGCGAAACAGATAGTAGCGACGAGATTATGGGCTGAGCGACAATGTCTGTGACTGGTAGCCATGTATCCCCGCCGAAATGTGGTATTTACGTATTTGAGCAGCAGGAAGGTTTGTGCGCTTGTCAACGTTGGATCTGTCCGACTGTCGCCGCACTATCTGTCGGATTGGCATGTGTCGTTTAGAGAGTGTGTCGCCGTAATCGTTATACCTTCAGGAAATCTCAGTAGTTGCTCATAAATCGTGGATCTTCTAAGTCGTTGAAACATAGACAGGGGGGCCCACGGTCTGAAAGCCCCCGACGACGGCCGAGATGTCGGGGAGCTTGAGTAATCATTAACTAATCAGCATGCGGATACGATCATTCGTATCCAGGTTAAATCGGAGCACCCGAGGGTCGGGTCGGAGCCCGTTTCAAAGAACTGTCGGGACAAGATCCGATGGCCCCATCCATGTGTTTTAACGACGAAGAATTCCTGACGACGTCCACATTCATTCCCCCTACATTCTTCGTCCTGGTGTCATGGTTGGCATTTGTGACATATCCCAGCTTCGCTACCTCATCTTTAACTTGACCCCCCGTGGACGCCAATCGCCCCGTTTCCGCAACGACGTCCTGTTAAGCGGCAGTCTGTTCACCGACCCCCCTCCAGCTCCAGAGGCGTGGGATGCGGACGCTCTTCAATGCCTCGAAAGCACACTGTGGGCTGCTTTCAACAGTCCACTGGACTTCCTCAACTTCGAGTTGTTGGTCCGCTGCCACATCCTCGTAAGTCGGAGGTCCGACGATTCTGTCTATCGCAAGACTGAACCGTCCGACACGCAGACACCCCGATGGATGCGGTCGCTCATGCGATCGGAACAGAAAGAAAGCTTCCCTGTCCTGCTGCTTGCCATGTTTCAGTGGATCACCTACGACCCCGCCATTCCCCGCGACACTCACGACATCATGGCATTCTTGATGTCGCACAAGGGACTCAAGCCAGAGGTCATCGCTCCGAACGCTGACCACGTCATATGCCGCCGGGCCGGTGCTGCCATTACTCTGCGCTGGATGTGTACGCTGCCTTAATTTCCATTCTCATGGCTTCGTACTAACATCTGGCGGGATCTCAGTGAATTCACGCCTGGCATGTACGCACCTCCGTCCAAAATTTCGTGCTCACTTGCTAATTCCGTATCAGCATTACCTGACCCAGTCCAGCTTACAGACCTGTACATGCCCTCAGCCATGGAAACGATCGCTCAGATCCGACGTTACGTAGAGGACATGACGTTGGGTATGTCCACGGACAGTGTTCCTCATGATATCCTGAAGCTTACGATGTGTAGACGACGACGAGGACAGCGACATAAACAATGTCGGCGAGTTGATTGACTGAAAGAAATGGGTGGATGAGCTTGCAGTAGTAAACCTTCAAGTCTAAATACCTGGCGCGCTTCTGTCGATGTCGAATTCGCCCCACTTTCCATCTACAATCCGTTGTGTCGGTATGCATCGTTCAAAGACGATACAGCAATTCATCACCATGTCGTTTCACATTCGTAGTACCACCCCGACATACCCTGGAGGATTCCGACACTGAGAGGGGCCACCAGGTGCCCTCCGTTGCCTTAGGCGACACTCCGACGTAGCGCAGCCGCCCGGTCTATCAATTCGACCGCAGATTTTGGGTTGAATCAAGTGACACGCTCTTCCTGAAGGCTCGGGTAACTTACCTGTCATGAAGGTAGACCATGTGATTTTGGAGTGGAACTGTGCCTGAGCACGCCATTTGGTGGTGACGCGTATCTGTCGGAGCGCTGTCCGGCGCGTATCAAGCCTGGATGGAACTAATCAGTGTCGCAAGGTCGGACAATGCGTCATGAGAGTCATTCTCATGTTGAATGGCCATTGTATTCAGCTATGTCGCACAGAACATACATCGCACGACACGCAAACATGACACGTCGGAGTGGAATGAGGAACATCAGAATCATTTGATTGAGTGGATATTGTGTGTGACTTCTCCCGTCAAGACTTTCGATCGTGATCGATCGGGGATCTTTTGATTCAGTAAGCCTCTGATACGTGGATATATGACCGCCTCCACCCTCTGCAGTGAAAACGCACACCTTGGAAGATTGTGTGCTTGTATCAAAGTAGTGTGATTTATTTGCCAGGATCACATTGTTTTATCTACATAGCGAGGGCTTTTTAAGTACCGCACAAGCAGTGAGATCGCATTACAGATTCGTTTCGGATGTGACTGCTCCCGGTCAAGGGAATTTCTAGATCGCTTCTGCACCCGGCCAGTAGTCACATGCCTCAGCCCGGTTCTTGGTAACACTGCCTGCCTCCTGTGTGGCAGGCATGTCCGACAATCACTGGCGTCGTTCCTCTGTTGCACCACGACACTATCTCTTGACGCCGAACTGCCCCCAGCCCCACTGCCCCCCTACTCGCTGCCCCTCACAATGCCTTCTGCCCGTGGCAAAGCCAAAGACACCAGCGAGCGGTCGCGCACCAACAAGCGCGGCAAAAAAGCGCAGAATGCGACAGCGAAGGGAGCACGAAACGTCGCGGGTGGCACTGAGATTCCGCAGGACAGCCGCGCGCGAGACAAGGACATTAGCGAGGAGGAAAGCAAACTCTGGGACTCGATGACCGTTCGTAATTGCTGCTCTCCATCGATTCCATGTTTTCTGAGGGATATTACCTAGACCGAGTGGGACGAAATCAGCCCGGCGAGGCGGCTCGAGTTGGATAGGAGGGCACGCGATGCGTTTCTGGGGACGATGAAGTTCGACATCATCGAGACGAAGACGGATGCTATCGTTCCCCGCTTCGGCATGTACAACGATCGGCCCCTCGACAGGGGAGCCATGTCCCGGCTGAAGGCGAACATCACGAACCGTCACGCTCATGGTTTCCAAACCGACTCTCACCTGATATTCGCCGTGGCCACGCGCGACCTCATTCGCGATCCAGCCCCTGTCGGGAGTGAGCTTCTCGGGTCGGACCTTCCGGAATTCGACCTCCAAGACAGCGTGGAGCCTCGGTCGGTACTCGCGCTTGCTGGACAACACCATATCGGACCGCAAACGAGCTGTACGCGAAATGGAGAAAGGAGCTCAGAGAGCGACGTGGAATGGCGACAGAGGATGACGATGGGTGTCCATAGCGGCATCAGAGGGAGCGAAGTCGTCGAGTGATGATGTCGATCTAGACACCATGGATGATCTCGAACGTCGGATGGAGGAGGTACGATGGTGGGGTGTGCGATTGTACGACCTCAGTAAGCCCGCTATGTTAAGCTGTCCTCATGTCTTCTGACAAATGTCGCCACCGCTACAGAGAAGATTCAGTCGGATGAAGAGCTTGCGGATCATCTGTCGCGCAACGAGTCCAAGGTTCAACACTCGGAGACGGAGGAAGAGTCGCTGGTCCAGAAGTTGAACCGAATCCGCAGCATCCTAGCAGACCTCGGAATGGCAGAGTTCATGAAGAAGCACCAGTCGCTCACCTTGTCGAAGCTGAAGCTGAATATCAACTCGTCGATGTCACGGATCATCATGAACGTCTACATGCTCCTCATGGTCCTCTCGATGACGCGACATGGGTCGCACTTTAGGGCTCAGCCGGAGTTCCGAGTGTCGTGGCTGAAGAACCTCAGCGATGCTCACGGGACGGTACGTATCTGACGCCTATACGAGATCCGTGGCCTCATACAGATCTTCATGTCGCAGCTGCTTTCATGGATCTTCATACGACAGTCTGAACGCATGGCTTTGGTCGACTGCGTCTACACCGGGAGATCTGAGCAGAGAGCCGACGCGACAGATGAGGCATCTCGCGCCGACAACCCCAGCAATGCCGAGAACGTCGGCGACATCGAGGTCGTTCGTGGCGACGCCTGGCCCTCTTTCCAGACAATGAGGAGTGCGTTGGGTACGTCCAAGTCGGTTGCCCCTTACCCCTACACTGCCGAGGAGCTGGCGATACTCGCTCGCAACTTTTCCCTGGGTGAACGACGATTCCAGGGCATATTCCACGACGACGCGATCATGGAAGCCCTCGACGATGCGTATGTAGACGCGTTCCGAGGTGTCGACAACATGTTTATGATGCTTGGAATCGACATGCCCGAGTATTGTTCCGCACTCGCCACCTACCGCATCGCCGTTGTGGCCCTCCTCCGCGAACACTTCCCCGTCGAGGACGCCGAGTTAACCAAGTCCTATCGAGTGCCCAAGGAGCAGCGCAGGCTTTCCATAGCGACTCGAAACTACGACCAGCTGCTCTCTCGGGTGCTCTACAGTTTGTCGGAACGCGATGACGGCGGAAACTTGAAGCCCTTACCATTCCTCACGATCAGCGTCTTCCGGGACCTCCACAGGGCATTCAGCCAGACACCTTTGGCTTTCAAAGAGGTATGTCGCTCACCGGATATGTCACACCGACTCCCTCGCGGACTGCGGCATCGTTTGCGATCGATGTGTACCTCCCGACTATTATCGGAAGCTTTGCTCGTATCGTTCGCGAACGATGCCGGCCCAGCGCCTCGCCGCTGTCTGGCCTGACTTTAATTCACGATGTGTTGTCCCGACGGAATGCTGATGCGCTGCCTGTGTCGCAGGTTGCTGGTTGGTTCGAGGGGCTCCATTGGTACTACCGCGGCTCGAACGCCGCAACGCAAGACTTCAACGACGCGACCAATGCCATCTTCATTGCTGCGAACAGATGGAGGGCGGAAGAATTGAACGCAGCCCAGCATCATACTATCCTGGATAGGGTATGTCATCCACATCCATAACGCAGTATGACAATGTAAGCGCTCACGTCTTTGGTCTTTCTAGATTGCCGACGTATTCATATTGGGAAAGGCGCACCTCATGCCTGACCTCGAGCACAGCATGTCGGACATCACCATCCATAGGCCGACAAACAAGCAGGCGCTCAAGGCGATCGTCGCGTCGGGGGCTGTGTATAAGAACAAACAGCTCATTCTGCCTAAATCCGACTCTGTTGTCGTTAATCCGGCGGCGCTGAGGTTCTGGAACGGCATGGGTGGGCTGTACTCAATCACAACTCATCATAATGCGTTGCTACTCAAGGTCGGGGTTAAGCCCCTCCCGAGGAATGGGTATCCGACGGAGTATCCAGCCAATCCTTTGGGATACCGACTCATTCGCAGTGGCACCTCTAGAGACATCCTCCGAACGGCAACTAGCATGAAGGAAGTCAGGAGCTACGAGTGGCTGTACGCTGCGGCGGTTGTTGAGGATTCCATCATTCGCACCTATCGCACGAGCAAAGTCTTGGGCATCTTGCCCAGCAATCTACGGTTTCTCTTGCGAGAGGCGATGAATATCTACAGCCACGTCGGACAGCCTGACGACGACGACGATCCGTTTGCGACTATGGGGACCTATTTTGCGTTCTGGGACCAGCCCACGGAGCCTGACGACTTCGTAATGAATGAGGAGATCTGGCATAGCGTGACCATCGAGGACATCGTGGAGAAAGTCGGATTGCTGCAGGTAGCGTCCAGCATGCAGCTGGAGCGAAAGCAGCTGTGCGACCTGGTTGCCACGCTCGAGGCCAGCCCCCTTGGAAAGTATCGTGTACCGGATACTGGGAACCCAAAGCGGACTGCACCGCTGTCGAGGGAGTGGTCGTTAGCTATGGATGCAATAGTACAGGTGCGCCACGACACGTCCCCTCACAATGATATGATGACGACGTACTCTTCGTCGGTCGACAGGCAGCCATTCAGACATGCACCAGACGACGTCTCTGGAAGGAAGGAGAATCAGAGAGTTTGCCCTTCGACAGAACAACGGTAGATTACGAGATGCCATCGCTCGTGTCGGAGGTTCACACCCACAGAAAAAGCGTCGGGCCTATATTCAGAGTAAGCCTTCCTCATTCTCGTGACGACCGTCTGGCTCATTTCAGGTGTAGCTTCATGGTGTGCTAGTGATCGATGACGAGGAGGAGAAAGCAAAGGCCAAAAAGAAGTCGGAGGCGTCAGGATCGACTAGCAAGAGAGAGGAGAAGTCCGCGACAAAGCCTACTGTCGCACCAGCGCAGGGATCCAAGTCGACGCTAAGCCCAGTGGCGACAACTCGAAGCCTGAGCCGATGAAGGGAAAGCGCAAGTCGGGGCCTCCCAAGTCGCGTGCCATCATCTTGGACAGTGACGAGGACGCTCCCTATGAACTGGATCCAGAGGTCGACGACACCTTCGACAACGCACTTGCGACGCAGACCTTCATACCCACTCCAGATGACGATGAAATCATGAGCATCCCAGACAGTGAGCATGTTGAAGTACTAGAGGTGAGCGATTTCCCTCTACACTATTGGCAGCTCCACTGACGGACTGCATACCAGACACCGGCGAATGCGCCACAGGCACCCCGTCATGTCGAGACCCGTCCGACAAAGCCACAGCCCCAGGCCGATCTCCCAGTGACGCCTCCACGACGTGAGAACACGTCGGCAGGTGAGTACCATTCCGCTGAGTGCTCATGGGCTTCACGTTACGTGTATCGTTTGCGAACGATGTGTCACCTTTCATACATTTTGTGCGATCCGATTCTCCGACATTACTTACACTGCGCACGATGCCTCTGGTGGCGCTTTCTGCCCATTACTGACTCCGTTGTTACTACAGCGGGACCTCGAGACAAGTCTTCCGGATTTCAGCCACGTAAGATGACGGGTTCATCGGGAACGTTTACGGTGTTGGAGCCAGGCAAGCCAGGTGCTCATTATTATTGCTGGTCTCATCCTTTGGATTTGGTGCGATCGGAGAATGTGGCGTGCATGAACGTACGCGTTGCAGGACTCTACGACTTTGATGCGCCGTCTACTGAGGAGCCTCCCAGTGCGGCTGCCATTGCACGGGTGCTACAGAGCGTGAAGGCGAGGATAATTCCTGTTGAGGGACACCGCCGTGAGCGAGTCCGTCGTACCATGGAATTGCGCATAAGGCTCACGCTTTCTGCTGTATAATCTCCGCGACAGAAACTAAGCTGATGCCTGACCGTCTGTTTGCAGCTCGAAGGCTGCGGAGCCAGAGACGATCGATCTAGACGCTACGACCGACGATGAGCCACCGCGGCCAGTGGAAAGAAAGGTCGTGAAGAACATGAAGCCCAAGGCTGACCTCTCTGCTAATGCCGATGCGAAGCCCTCTGCAGGAGGAGGCAAGAAGGCCCGCGACAGAGTACCTCCTCCAGCGCTGCGTCCGCCACCGCGACTCAGGCGTCGACATCATCGACCGGTCTGTTTTCACGTGATGACGCCGTTTAGCCCGGATAGCTTACACCCTTCAGTAGTTCCCGCCAAACGTCAATCCAATGCGGCGGATGCAGACGGTCGGGCCGAGAAGAAGGCCAAGGTGGCGGCCCCAGCGCCCCCAGGAAGTCGGCCGACACATCGAAGGCGAAGAACGCTGGTTCGGCTTCCAAGAAACCGAGCGCGAAGAAAACACAGGTATGTGGTCGCTTCCATCCATGCCGCCTTCGAAGCTAACCGAGATCAAGGCAAAAGTCTTCAGGATGATTCGGAGGACGAGGATGAATACGGTGCCAAGAAGTTCAATCCCATCGTCAAGGGCGCGACGAAGCCGTCTGGAAGCCGTCCGCGTCCATCAGAGACAAGTGGGCAGAACCTCAAGATGGTTTCAGATGCATAAAGTGCGATGGTGGGAGTAGCACCGGTCGGATCATGTTAGGCCCTGCGTAAATACATTCGTTCATGCAATCTCAATACCTGCCGGCGACGGCACCAGGTCCAGAGCGTCTCGGAAGTCATTGGGATGAAATGATGAGAGTATTTCTGGATGATTGGAGCAAGGCACTATCAGAAGAGCATATGCAGGCCGATGGTTCTACGATCCGTCGCGACGCGACAAGAAGATTTCCATCACTCCGACGTCGGATTTGTCGGACCATGTCGCGATATAACCTAACCTGTACCGTTAGCGTACAGTTAGGTTCCCCCCTCTCTCTTCCAGACCATCTCCTTCTCCTCTTGTTGCCGTTCAGCCGTCGGGGACATCATGTTTGAAGACGATCCCGTTGGTCTACACGACGAGCAAGTCATCCCTTACTTTTGATGTCTCGGCGGTGTACTTATGGATTCCGACAAACACAGCGAGGAGGACGTCGATGACAGGAGTGAGCCTCTGTCTCCCAGCGAGGTGCTCACCGCGTTGGTGGATGCTCCAGATGTGTACGTCCAAGCGGTTGTTTCGTCTGCGAGACACTACGACTAACGTCTCCACGTTCCAGCGTCGTTGCGGAGCAGCACATCAATCGCACTCTCAACGGAACCGAGGGGCCCTTCGACCTCGCCGATGTTCCCGACGCCATCAGCGCTGAGTCCAACATTCAGCAGAGCGACATCTACAACACCATGTTCCAAGGCAACGACCCGATGGACAAGCTTACCGACTGGGAGCACCTCCCGCAAAAGAACCTTCGTCTGTCGGACCTGCGCAGGATCTACGAAACAGGGAACGCCGAACGTGCGATGAGCCTCCTGAGCAAACGCATCAACCTGACGATCGACGACCACTATACCATCGACGCTCGCAGCGAGGACCTCCTGTGGAACATCAGTCAGCATGCTTTGGACTTCTTCGCAGCGTCGTCGCTTTACCCCGGGCTCGACGCTGGCATTCCGAACGTGCTCATCGACCACAATTGGATGGGTAAGATTGATCTGCTGAAGACGTTCTTCGCGTTCAAGGCGAAGTACTTCGACCCTGGCTTCAACTTGCACGGCCGGATGCTGTATATCGGACGCGTCGGTACGCAGGATCTGTGGCTTGCGTTGCGTCCCCGAGAGCACTTCGAGGTCGATCCGACTGTCGAGGACGAGAGGCTCGAGGCGCTGGAGCGCAAATACGGGAAGAACGGCCTGGACACGCGCCTTCTTCCGCATCACGCGGAGATCATGATCCTATTCCTCTGCAAAATGCTGTCGCTCATCAACACCAAGGACATCACCGTTTCGAGGGACTACGGCGACAGCAACGCCCGCAGAGACCCCACAAGCTACACGCAAGGGCGTGTACGAACGCTTGTGAGTGTCGTTCAGCGGCCATACGTCGTCCACAGATACTGACTACGTTTCGCTCCACCCTATCTCGCGCACATGTCGCTCACCGTCTCACGTCACTCCTGCATTGATCGCGAACGATGTGGCCTCTACGCCGCCAGCCTGCACCTCACCATCGACCTCAATCTCGAAGAGTTCAGGGAGCTTTCTGGGCTCATTCACGACAACTGGGCGCGTTGGGTCGATTGCGCGCCCAAGGCGTGGAAGAAGGACGGGTTTATCACCGAGCACGAGCCATCTCTATCGTTTGTCGCTACGGCCAGAACGTCGCGCTCGCACGCGACAACATGCAGGCGACGGAGGAGTTGAACTGGCTTCGCGACCGCGACTACACCAAGATTCGGTATGTCGCATTCGCGATAGCATCTCACATTGAGTACGCAATACACTTTATTATGTGCTGTATCAACCTGACATCCGCCACCAGGTGCAGCGAGGTTGACGAATGGGTACCCCGCCCTGTCCGCGACGTCGGGCGAGGGCCCCCCTGTACCTATCCCATAACCCCCGTGACCGCGCGCTCGTGACCGACCTTGACAACCTTCCTCTTCGCGACGACGAGGGACGCGAGATCAGAGTTTACGACTCGCGAGGCATGCGTGTCCCTCGCTTCCAGGTCGCTGACCCTCAGCGGTTGAAGAAGTGCGACGTCAAGATGAACCTTCGCACGGCGAACGACATGTTCCAGCCTGCGTACGGCGACACCCTCCGCATGGAGGACTACGATGTACGTAGACGCGGTAACAGGCGGAGACGTGGTGCGCCCCGTCGTGGTGGTGACGACGACGACGACGACGACGACGACGACGACGACGACGACGACAACCCGTTTGCACCAGCCGATGTCGACTCGGACGACGAGGAGAATGATCGTCGCCGATGGCAGGACGTCGAGGGCATCTTTCGTGGAGCCGGGGCCAGTGCGCCTGTCGTGTCGGTGTATCCCCAGGCGTTCATTCGCCACATTGGTAACATCCAGGCCACCGCGACTCCGACATCGCTCGATCCCTTCGTCGACGCGATCAATCGCAAGGCCCGCCTGGACCTCAGTCGCAGTCACCTCGAACAGGACGATGTCGCGCCCGGCCCTGCCTCGCCGGCCCTGCCAGTCGGAGCTCAAGCATTGATATCGGTAGCGATGGACTCCCACCGCCTCTTGACCTTGGCAATCGAGACGTCGTGGAACCCAATGATGACGACGAGAATCGCGGCGGCGACGACGATGACGACACCGACTTTTCGGAACACAACCCAACCACCGTCGCTATTCAGCCCATCTCCTTCCAAGCATACGGTCTTATCTCGCATCGCGTTCGCCCGAGTGCCGGACAGCATGAGACTACGCACGGTATCTGTGGTATGGCGCTCGCTGGAGCGTACGCAGCCAAGGGCCCGACTCGTCGCGTGTTTCAAAACATCTACAACAAGGTCGCCAACGGCATGCCGCACGACCGCTACAATAGCAGGATCCTTGAGGCCAACGCTCCTCGCGCGCTGCGATTTGAGTCGGTGTACCAAGTTGACATGCATGCGTTTGCGGAGTCGAAGCGAAACGGACGGTGAGTGTCGACAGCTTCCTCATGTCGCTACTTTGCTGAATGCGTAGCACACAGCGACCTCTATCGCGACATCCTCTACGTCCTCGCGACTGCGGTGAAGCACCCGTCCGTCTTTGAAGAGCTGCAGTCTCACCTCGTCGTATTCAAGGGAGAGGTCAGTCGACTATTTGCTAACCGACGGCTGAAGGAACGTGCTGACAATCCATGTCCTCAGGTCTCACCTGCGTACACGGCGTGGACGACGTATGGGGTGACTTCAATCATCGAGAAGATTTGGGATATGAACAAGGAGAAGGTGGAGGCAGTCATCGCAGACATGGAGGGCATTCATCTCGACAGTGACCTTCCCTCCCCGGCTGACGTCGAGATCATGGCGCTCTGGGAGCGTATTCTCGCCTACGCTCACACCGGAAACGCGAAGGTTCTTGTCCCTGCGCTGATGCGTCGGGCACAAATACTGCGGGCTCTGCTCTCGAACGGCCTCCCGACTGTCGATCAGGGCGTCATGAAGATCATCCCAAACCGTGGGGCTCCGGTAGTCATCCAACCGAGGCACTGGCCGATGAAGGCCGGAACCCTGGAGCCTGCGAACGCGTCGCGCAGGGCCCAGATATTGACATACGGTGAACCGCACTTTAACGTGAGTGTCGATTTTCTGTCTGCGCCATAGCGAGGCTGTCTTTCCGAGACTTTCCTGCGCTCTTTAAGGCGCTGCGACGCTGCGTGCTGCGTTTCGCTGCCTTCTCGCTTATCCTTGCATCGATCATGAACGATGGTGCTCTCCATTTGTGTCGCACGGAAACGTAGACATGCACACGCTGACCATTCCTCATCTTAGATGGTATTCACCCGTCTCCGCATCGCGCTGGCATCGTTTCACCTCGCCGACAATCGGTACACGACGCTCACTGGTCCGATGCGACACGCGGTCATCATCGCGGAGATCTTCTTCCGGCTGTATCTGGACGACGTCAAGCAGATGGTCGTCCGTGCGGTAAGGCCAACCTGTCGATCATCACCCGCCAGCGTGAAGCCTCCCAGTCGACGCTTGGTGGCGGTCTCGACGACATCACGGAGGAGGAGCATCGGACGCGCCTGAAGGCGCTCGACAAATGGAAAGCGTCGCCCATGCCTCTGACGTACAAGACGGCGACGATATCTGCGCTACTCCTCCGGGCGATCACCGACGACGCCTCTCGTATCGGCGACGGACTCCCTAACCCGACAAACCAGCAGATGAGCCTCCGCGAGTTTGTCGTTGGTCTTTATCGCATGGGCAAGCCGACGAACCCCGACAAACTGGCATCTCCGATGACCTCTGGGGATCTGCGTCGAGCGTTCTGAGGGTCGCTATCGCAGCAATGATCGCGCATGCTCCGCGGGAGTGGTCCGAAGACACGACGAGCTCCGCGCTGAAGCGGACGCGCCAGGAGGAGCTCGAGACCTGGGTGTGCAAGGCCCTCGCACGTGCAATCGAAGAGCTGCAGATACACTTTGTCCCCGCGAAGACTGCCGGAGCAGCAGGGCGACCGAGCCGCTGGGCTTCTGCATATTCGTGGGAGTCGCTGGGCAAGCCTGACGGCGGTAACGAGCGGTTCAAGGCCACCGACGTCACTATAGGCCTCTCTACCGCGCAGAAGAACAACCGGTCTGCTTTGGAGGCTACGCGTCGCGCATCTCATCAGCACGCCCGCACGCCCTGGTCGGCCTGCTCGCTCACTATCCAGAACTACGGCGACTTCCTAACCGGGAGATCCTCCCCGACGAGTTCAACATCTCGGAGTCTATTCTTACCTTCAGCACTGACCCGGAGGACGATTATGTGTCGAAACATATCGCTGGGTGCGTCGCAACTGGTCGCCGAGCAACCCTATCCACCGCCTTGCGCTCTTTGCCGGCTTCATGGTGTCGAAGATCCTTCCCAAGGTGTTCCACGACCTCGGTGAGGATGCGGCTGTCATGACCGGGATGTCGGCCGCCGACACGATGCGTATCCTGCGGAACTTGACCTGGGTCGCGAAGGACGGAAAGTCGGCCGATGGGGCGGGCGGCAGGATGTCCGCGCGGAGAGGAACGTCGGACGGGCCTCGGTACCTTGTTCAGTTTGTGGTGACTATGCTCGGCCTCATCGAACGCGACGCGCCCCTCCGCAAGCGCATCGACCAGTACGGTCTCTCGGCACGCCCTGGACCAAGAAGCACGGTCAGAAGGCGATCGGACATCTGCTTTACATACGCCTTGGGCTTGCGAGCTTCGACGGCGGTCGGAAGGCGTTCAAGAGCGCACGATACCTCCAGGACTGGCGCTTTCACGACAACGCGACGTTGATCAAGATGTGGGACACGTACAAGAAGCTGCTCGTTACCTACCCCTACGGACCTTCGACGTCGCTATGAACATGGTCGGGGCGAAGATGGCCCTCGAGCTTGCGGGGGAGGGGAAGAAGCTCTGCACGGCTCGTCCGGGCGTCGCCGCTGAGATGAAGATCGGCTACGACACCGTCCCTGGTGAGGACGACGAGGAGTTCGACTGGGGAAACGGCCCCCGAATTATTTCAGCGGGGAGTACGGAAGCGACGGCACCAGGACGCGTTCGCGGACGATGGATTTGAGGCGGGCCCTTCCAATGTCGTCAGGCGTCGCTAGTCTGTATATGCAGTGCGATTGTCGGTGCTATACCTCCGTGATACGTCTGACCGTATATTTCTGTAACTACCTACCACACGTTCAATTGATATGACGAGATCCAATGATCCACTCACTCCCACATGTCGCATGTCCTGTATCGTTTGCAATCGATGCGGTACAGTGTTCACGTGTCAGAACCGTCGCGGTGCTCACAGTATTAGCACATGAGTTGCGAAGTATGAGTATGTCTGGAACTATACAAATATGACACGGATGAGATTCTCCCAAGGATACAGCCTACGTCTGATGTGGGCTGCGTCATCTCTTGCCAACGTCTGACCCATTCATAGATGCAATGTCAAACTGTCATCGACTTGCCTCCCAAATGGGGCGGTTTGACGTGCCAATGAACATTATGCCTGTCTATATTCACAGCTCGTGCACATTACGTCTTGTCCTACTCTGTAACCGGCATGGAAAGCACATATGCGCATCGATGTTGTCTCTCTATGGTTCTTTCTTTCGCTTCAACTTCCGACAACCTCCGGGAGCACACCAAGCACAGAGAGCGGCGTCATATCAACGTAGCCTGACACTCAGGGCCGCTTTAAAATGAGTGTTTCCATTAAGTTCGCGACGTGCACACGCGCGATACAACAAGACGCGAAGCGGGAATTCCTTTTCCGACAATGCAGTCGAGGCTGGTCGTTGTAAACACATTCACTGTCGTCGCCAGCAGCTAGCGGCAATCTCATCTTCGAAACTGTTACTGCGTCTGTGATACGATTGGCTATACTAAACTATGTAGATTGCACTTGTGCCACGTCAAATGAGTCGCTCGATAGTCTAGACGACAGGACTCCACAGGATTACGACAAATGTCGCACACCGATCGACAGATTCATTGGCTTCGCGAGAGTACCAAAGTTAGCGAACGATGGCAACGAAATGGATCTCCGAGTGCATGACTTACGGTAATCACAGCCCATGGCGAGTCACTGCGCCCGCCTTCAAGTCGCACGACGAGCCACTGATGAGCCTCGCGACGGGAGATTGCGACTCGGGCCCGCTTCTCGTTCTCGGCGATACAGTCGGGCGGCGGACTCGCGACGCCCTTTCCGCTTGTGAGCTTTCTGGATCCTCCGCAGCCGCACTCTGTTTTCGGCTATGTCGGTCGAGTAGAAGGACTCCACTCGTTCCAGCTTGACTATCTCGTCAGCGACGTTGGCCCACTCCTCTTCGGTTAGCGACTGATGTTTGCGGCGCAATCCGTCGATCTTCTCAATAGTTCCCCGCGCATCTCCTGATACAGTCCGATGAGCTTCTCCACGACGTCGGCATCACCGTGTTCGCCTTCGATGCCTGTCGCCCATGTTATTAGTATGTCCACTTTGGCAGGATAAGTACGCGCTCCAACACGCGCACTTCCGAATTCAGCCTCACCATCCGTGCGCTCGGTGCCATCCTCATGGCCACGCCTCGACTGATAACCCACAGCACTGGAATTGGCCACCACCCACCATCGCGATCCAGGCCAGCGACTGTCTCCGCCCTCGAGCAGCTCAGGCCAATTGATCTCCACCCATTTTCGCGCATCGTCGGAGGTTACCTCGCTCTCCACAAGCCCGGCAAACTGCTTGAGTCGGCGAGTGATCCACGCTGGCTGTGGAAAACACCCCAAAGCGATTCCATGGTGGGTCCCATACACGTCCTACTCTCTTTGAATGAGACCCCAGATGATATTAGGTAGCGAGTCACGTACCAGTACCTCCCTCAGACGTTCAACGATGGTCACACAGATCTTGTCGTGCCTAGCCTCCTGACCTTCCGCCAAGCGAAAGTAGCACTCAATCATTGCGATCGAGGAGTCATCACTCGACATTTTGCTTGCGATCGGCGCCATCGCAATCGGAGGGGCGAGATAAACCTGAGTGGGAATGGTGGGAGGTGACGGAGGGTGGAAGGGCCACGTATCCACCGAGTACATCCCCGCGCCGTGTGTGCCTCGTGACCATCGGCAAACTCGCGTAGTGTGTGTCACCCCATCAGACAACTGTCACAGTATCACGAACTGCACAGACGCCCCAACTGTACGCGCGTTCTCTGAGAAACACGTATTCGCTTCCGGTGTGCCGTATCGATTATAAACGATGCGAGCATACAATCTTTGCGCTGTGACCGAATGGTATGTCGATTCGCCCCACGCTGTCGCACTTGGAGCAATGGCTTCGGCACGACTCGTTGAGAAGCTTCTGCTTCTGTGTCGACGACAAACGGTAGGATATCCCAAATGTTCCCCGCGACGTTACTGGCAAAGACATCAGGTCAACTTGTCTATGTCGACAACCGGTCTAGTCTGCGCCCCTTCACATACACACTCACTGCATGGTCAATTTCACTGGCTATGTTCACACCCACGACATCCATGCTTGCGACACAATTGAGAATAGATCTGTGATGCGTGTGAGTTGAGACCAGGCTTTACGATTATTGATACAGCTACAGATACACTCGATCGGATGAAAACAACTCTAACACTGCAGACGGCTTCGTTAATACACGCATAACCGTTCCGCCATACATCCTTCATTACATCTTGGCAGGGACATCTGTATCGGGGTGGTGCAATCCTCAGTTGCGTTCAAGATTCCTCACATCGTCTCACTCACCCATATTCCTACATCGCTCCAAGACCCACCAATAAGACTGGCTAGGTGGCCGAACGCCTCGGCTCTGGCCCCGCCTCTTGCACTCGCCGCGCCACCCTAAGCTGCTTTCTGTGGAGGTCGAGATCGACGCCTAATCGGCGGTGTTGGTGTTGCAACGTCTTGATCTGCGTGTCAACGGTGCTTCGCTGACGCGTGAGGAACTGGATGAGGGCTTCCAGCGCCTCGATCGAAAGGCCCTCGTGTGTTTCGTCGGTGTCTAATCCCGTCAGGCTAGTGTCGGATCCGCTGTTTGACATTGGTACCTCCTCGCTGCTGAGGTCGGTATCGTGCCAGCCATGCGTGTCGCATGCGAACGTGACGTGGCGGTTAGATCTCGTGTCCCTGGCCTCGGATGGTGCAGCCCCGATGTCGGAAGCAACCATTGAAGCCACTTTCGATGAGCGTAGTATCCCCCCTTTGGTACCCTTCGGCCCCTCTTCCATCTTGGCACGCTTCCTCCTCGGAGCGCCAGTTGTCGACGTCGGAAGCCGGTGCTTCTCAGGCAGAGCTTCTGGCGACTTGAATGAGAGCCTCCTTTGGCCAGGCGTGTCGTCCTTGTCACTCTCGTCATCCGTTATGTCATGCGTCGACCTAGCTACCCATTGAGCGCCTTGCTGCTTCCCCATCGATGGAGGTATTCGCAGCATGAGCCGCTCTTGTCGTTCGACGGTAGGCATGACCGTCCCAGTTCGGTTGTCGGAGGCGTCGGACGGTGAAGAGGCCTCTGTTTTCATTAGGAAGCTGATTAGTGAACGATCGCAAGGATGGTTTTCACTGAGATGTCACTCACTGCGTTTCTTCGATCCAGTCAGGGATAACCCGTTGAAGTAACATCCCTTACCAGCCCGCTTGCATGTGCCACAGGTAAAGGAGCCCTTCTCTATAACACAGTCCCTCACGGTCCTCTTCGCTGACCTGCAGTAGTCGCACTGTGTGCACTGTGATCAGTTGAATACCCCTACTGGACGTGCAATGCAACGCGTACCTGCCTAAGATCTTGCCGGCGCATCGTCGTCTGTGGCACATTGATCTCCTTCAACGCGTGCGCGACATCAGTGTTGCCCTTGTTATTTGCGCCTTGTAGCGGCGAGTGCGACAAGGCTCGTCTTCGGTCTCATGGCCTTCCCTGGTGTCCTCCCGCTGTTCCACCTCGAAGGACCTTCTCCATAGTTTCTTACGTTCCACACTTGATCCTCAGTTCCGTCTGCGCCACTCCTCTCTGCTCCTATATCCGTATTACTAGCTCGATCTCCGCGTCCCCTCCCCGGCCAACGACTCTCATTGTCGCCGAGAAGCTCGGCCATTCCTCGTGAGCCCACTGTCTTGCGTCTTTGTTGAATTTCCTCCCTTTCACGAGCGCCGCGAGCACGTTGAGCTCATACACATCCAAGTCGGCTCCGACTTCTTGCCATCGTATATTCCGGATGCGACTCCGTATGCAGTCTGCGTGATTACGTTCAGCCATTCTCCGTCCATGGGGAATAACGAGGACGTACCAGATTCCTATGTAGTGCTTGTAACAGCGACTTCGCCTTGGTAAAGCCCTTGAGATCGCCCTTCGTTCCAGTCAGGAACCACCATTCTAGGACGTCGATCAGCCCGTCGCCGGACGGGATCGTGCTTGTCGACTTCGGCATGTGAGACGTTCAGTCGCGACAGTTTACGGTCTGTCTTAATACGCTGGTGAGTCGTCAGATTGTGAGAGATCCGAGATCGGTCTGCAGCCACACCAACACTTGCCGCCTCGTGGCTATGGACCGTGCGCGTCAATCAACGCAGTGCGATAGGCTCATTATTCCCACAGCGTGGTAACATTCGCGCGAGCTCAAACGACCCTTACATCCGGCTGTGATGGGCTGCATCGTTTGCGAACGATGCATCCCAATCGATCGAAATGTGATCCTGTCACCTATGATTGATAATTGGGCTGCATCGTTTACAAACGATGCAGGCCATGTCATCTTACCATAACGCTCGCTGTTATTGACGGTTCTGGCGACGCAGTATGCGGGTGTACATAGAGCGGCATGCATTAGGACATCGAATACTTAACAAATGACTACGAACGCGGGCAACGGAGGAACAGGACACGGAGACGACGATCCAAGTAATGATACATTTCGTACAGCAAACATCGACGTCGCCGGCAACTACCGCCGAGAGTCAGGTCGCGAAACGTAGATGACGCTGAAGCATCACGCACCTTCACTGAGCGCGAGGATGCTTGGAGGGTGCCCGGCCACGGACAGGACGACTTGGCGCAGGTTGATCCGCAACAGCGGCAAGACGACTTGGGCCTGGCTGTGTCTCCTGTGCCGCATTGCGTAAATCCCGCAGTCGCTTCTTGGCCTCTTGCAGGTTTTGTGTAAGCAAGGCGTGTGTCGCCTGCAGGGCAATCACCTGACCGGAAAGCGTGTCGCGCTCCCTTTCGATGTGCCTGACGACATACTCCAGCGATGCAATGTCGGGCGGTTCCCCACTCAACGATCCTACCAACCCGCTGTCGGACCCACCATCAGATTGGACATCTTCATCGACGTTTAGGGCGCCGAATCCCGACACCTGGGTCTCGCTACCAGGCGACCCGTGACGGACCGGTCCCCCAGTCTCTACGTCAGACGACGGAGTCACGACCGTCTGCGACGACGATCGTGTCGACGCCAATGTCGACGAGCGAAGCCTCTTGCCCTCACCGGTGGGCGCAGGTTTGTCGTCAGGCTTCGCCCGCTTCCTGCGCGGCGCGTCTCCCACTGAGTCCGTCAGTTCGCGTTTGGGACGCAGACTCCTCGTCTCCTTGGTTGAGACCACCGTCGTAGAAGCCGTGTCTTCTTCATCTACATCGACCACGGTGGCGGTCGACTGCGATCGTCGCGCCCGATGAACCGGCTTGGCCTTTGCAGCCGCGGTCGACGTGCGACGCGTCGCTCGGCTGGCGGGAACAACTTGCACTTCCTCCGGGGCCTTTCTCTTACCCTTAGTTCTGGACGCGGCGGGGACGTTCACGGCTGGCTGCGGTGTTGTCGCTTCTGAGGATGGTTGACCGTCAGATGTGCTCCGCTGTCCGGGCCCGAAACCCGACCATTGCACTTACTTTTGCTCTGCGTTCCGGTTAGGGAGTATCCGTTGTAGTAACACCCCTTTCCTGCGGTTTTACAAGTACCACATGCTACCGCGCCCTTCTCCAACACGCACGGTCTCACGGCCCTCGTAGCCGTCCGACAGTAGTCGCACTACACTTCGATTAACTCGACACCAACAGTCCGCACTTTTCCGAACACACACCTTTTTGAGCTGCTTGCGGTACTGCTCTGCCTTCGTCTTATTTCCTTCCTTTGCCGACTCAGCGAGGATCGACGCGCGTTTGGTCTTCGCCTGCTCAGATTTCCGAGGCGGAGACTGCACCTCATCCTCCCCGACGTTTTCATCATCGTCCTGCTCTAGCTCGTCCTGCTCAGCTTCGTCCTCGTCTTCTCCTCCATTCCCCGGCACTCCGTCGTCCTCGCTGCCAGACTGACCTTCGTCGTTGTCCTCGTTGTCGAGCTGGTCGCCTGCCATTGGATCGTCGACATCGTGGTTCACGTCCTTCCACAGTCGGCTCCCGGGCCACCTACTGTAGCCACCATGCAGGAGTTCCGGCCATTCCCGCTTGACCCACGCGAGTGTGCTTTGTTGAACGATTTCCCCTTGACCACCTCCATGAGATCGTTCAGCCGCAAAGACGCCCACATAGGCTCGAGCGTCCTCCCCGTCGGAAGGCCGATGAGAGCACCATATCTGAGCTGCGTGCAGAGTGTCAGGTCGCCGACCAATAAGGATTGGACAGCATGACGCACCAGCAATTCTCGGATCTCCTCCACCACATCTTGGGTCGCGTCGGCGGACCGCGGTCCACAGAGTTCGCTTGGTCGAACCAAAGGTCCAAGTTTCCCTCCATCTGTTCCTTGCGCGACAGTGGTTTGGCGGGCACCTTCGACATGGCTAGACGGCAGTGGGTGTAGATCAGGACGTAGTTGACCGAGTTGAGATTGGGAGCCTGTGAACCGACGAACGCCACGCCAGCACCGTGTTGATCACGGCTCGCCTGGCAGGCGCCTCGTGCCGGTCATGTGTGACCGGACGACAATCAAACTGATCAATCGCCGCTTACAAAGAGAGACTGATACGTCGCGCCTTCCAAAAGGCGTGCCGTTTGATCGCGCGGTGCCACATCGTTCGCAAACGATGCAGCCCTGGGCCTCCGCGGCCCATCGGTATGGGGAAGGTCGCATACCACAGCCCAGTGCGTTGTCGATCGATGTGGGTCACGGGATCCATTTTCCTGTTGTGCTCACTGTGCCTCCAACACGCCAGCGATGAAGATTCGACGCGCCAGTCTGTATTACAACGCGATAATGTGCATGTAGTACACCTTTTGGATTTGGGTATCTCCCGCGCATTTTAATTACACATTGAGATTTTCCAGGAATCGACATGAGACATTCCGATACGCGTTCTACGAACTAATCCACCACTAGGCATTCCCCGCCTTGCGTGCTGCCTCAAGCTCTGACAGTTCCGCCCACGCTTTGTCCAAGATTTCTCGTTCCTCAGCGACACTCGCCCGGAGCTGCTCCGTCCTGTGAACCTGTGCGGCAACATCTGCCTCCGCCCGCTTGAGGTCCTTCTGGTAGTGTCGCAACAGAGCCGCTGGCGATGGATCCATAGGCAGCTCCTCAACAGGTCGGTACAGGCTCAGGTCGACATCCGTTCCTGGGACGCGGACTTCGGCGCGATGCACGGGTGTATGCCGCGCCACCTCCGTGCCCGTCTTCAGCGGTTCCTCGGACGAGTCGCGCTCAGAGGTCGCCCGTTCCTTTCCGCGCGACAGCGCCCGTGCCTTCGGGTATCCTGTGCTTTTCGAGGCACCGGCACTGGGGGCGTCACTCGTAACGGCCTTCTTCTGTTGCTTCGGATCAGCCTTCGGTTCACTCGCGGTGGATCCGCTAAGATGCTCTGGAAACCGAGTCAGGTTGTGTCGCGAGTGGGACGGCATCGCTACGTCGGCAGGGAGGCACTCACTGCTCATATATCCACTGAGTGACCCATTGTCGAAGAAACAACCTTTGCGCCGCCTCTTGCATTCCTCGCATTTGAGGTGGCCTGGGAGCACAACACAAGGCCTGTTGACGTTGACTGCCGATTTGCAATAATCGCACTGTGCTCGTCACACATACTCTGAACGCATTCCTTACGCATCGAGGTGAAGATGCGTACCTTTTGTCCGGCTTGAAGGCGGCTTCGCGCCTGTTCCGCGATGACCTCTCTCTTCCCCGTCGCATTTGCCGTGGACCGCTTCGGCGCAGACCCACCTGCACGTCCGTCATCCAGCACGACATTCGACACCCGGGCTTCTCAGGCTTTCCCCCACCGGCTTGCGAGTCCTCGCTGACTCGCACAGTCTTCGCCTTTCCGAGTACCCCTTTGTCGTTACCTGCGGGTTCGGATGTCCTGTACAAGCCGTCAGTCGCCAGAATCAATGCCGCGCTTTACCCTGACCTACCTACGGCTGATGCTACTTGTTATGGTTGTCATGAGCCCTTCGCAAAGTGTTAACCAATGTTCGATGCGGCCATGCTGCGACCACTTTACCTATATCCTTCTCGTCGAATTCGAACCGTGTTGGAAGCACGGGAATTGCATTGGCGGGCGACTTCAAACTTGACCAGTGCTTTTCAATCCAGTGGTCGACTTCCTTCGGTTGCTTCTGGTTAGCCATCGCGGTCGCAAACGCCTTCACCGCTTCCCCGATGTTCTCCTTGTCGCCCTTGGCCTTCCATGCTGTCCTGTCCTTGTACAGATCCTCTTTCACTCCGTAATTTATCTGTCGTCATCAGTATCAGGTCGTCGTGGCGTCACTACACGGAATCGGGACGTACCAACGCGTCACGCAGAAGCCTCAGACCGTTGATTTGCCATGTCACCGTCCCGACGGCGAAGACCTTCTTGTCAATCGCATCCAACACCTTTCGGACGTGCGCTATGTGCGGGCGTGGCGGCGGGCTTGCGGTACCTCCAGTGGCAACTTTGGTGTGAGGCGGCATTATTGTTGGAAGAGCGGTTAGGGGGTGAGCTATCAAACACAACGGGTGAAAGTCGTCCGGGAAGTGTGGCGGGAAATAAGCGCTTTGTGCAAGACACAACAGACGCCCGTAGTCGACACCGCTGCGGTGGCGCACCTGGGCCACAATCTGTGTCGACTTCACTGGTCGGCTTGGATGTCGGTAACGGATAGCTGCGCGAAGTGTAGTATAGTGACATTCCACATGCGCCGCATTGCATGCTAAGCCTAGATACGGTTGCTATACAATCCGTTCGAGCTCATTTGCTACTTGTTGCCTTTGTACGTCTTACACGTCCGATAATGTTACAATTTGATGACATGTTGGGGGACAGTACCCTTATAGCTACAATGCGTAATACACCTCCTTACAGTACTACTCGTCGTTATCGTATCCCAGTTCGGCTATACGGCGCTCACAGTCACGGAGGTTCCTCTTCAGCGTTGCCTCCTTCTCCTTCGCCGCGGAAAGCGCAACATTGGCACGTGCGAGTTGCCCCTCAAGCATCTCCAGCTTCATCGTATGCTTCGCGACGTACCGCCTGAGGGCATCCTCGCGGGTCTCGTCACCAGCCTGCGGAATATTGGGACTGCGTACAACCTCACCAACCCCGTGGCCGATCGAGGATATGCCCTGCGCATCCGAAGACGCATGCGTCTGTCGTACTCTCTTGGGATGCGGGGGGCGGTGGCCGATTGAGGCCGCTTGCGCTTGAGGGGCGGAAGATGGACGTCGGAGTGCCGCCCCTGTGTCACAGCTAATCCAAATGTCGCAGGCCGAGGCACTGTCACGACACTCGAGGGTTCATTGTCGGGCGGCGTCGCAATGGCTGTCGGGAATGTATGCGATGCCACGTCATCACGCTGCGGCCGCACGTCGACTTGTCGAACACTGCACTGATGTGAATAATGGTATGTCGGTCATGGCCTCGCGACTCACTCACAGCGAACACCCGGCACCAACGAAAGACCCTGGAAAGTGCAGTCGCACTGAGCCTTGACGCAGTTCCCACACGCGACGCTACTCCTCGGTTCGAAAGTACACCTTCGAGCAGATGACCCGGGCGCGAGGCATTGATCACACTAAAGGATTGTCAGATACAATTAGATGCTCTTCCCCGTCGGCTCTATATGACAACGTACCACGACAAGCCGCGCCTTCATGACTCGCGCGAGAGCGGAGACATCGACCGCAGATGTTGCGCTGGGGTCCACATCTTGAACGCGCCGGTCGTTTCCCGTGGTCTCGCTCATTCGAAGATGTTCCTGGACCCCGTCCGAGTCTTCTCCTCCCTCTCCGGAGTCGACCTCCGCCCCAGAACCTTCGTCTGAAAGCGGCTCACATGGATCCGACGACGAAGGTGAGTCGTCTGACCCTTCCCAGGGCTGGGCTTCATCGTTCTCTGTCCAGTCCTCGTCGCTGGTTTCTTTCCCGCCCTTCCTCGACGATTGACCTTCCACCGCCAGTCTTGTCTGTCGATTATCGGTGGTTCTGCTTCGGGAGTGTGTGACTGTCTGGTGGGAGCGCAGGTGCGACATCGAGGAATGGTAAAGGTGTGTTAAAGCGATTGCGGAGGACTGGTGGACGAGTGTGGCTGGCTCCCGACGCAATGACCACGTGTCTCATCATTAGCGCTCGTGGCCCATTTGCGATATTCCCGGACTGCGACAAGGGGATGACATCGGCCGACGATACGTCAGGAGTATCGTTCGTGAGCGATCCGTGGGCTTTCAAGGCGAAAACTGCCTACATTCCACGCTCCCAAGTTGTCCGTGCTCTTGTCGCGTCATTCACTCATCTTACGTGTATCCTCACAGCGAATGCTCATTCCATTCGCCAATGTCGATAATGTACGATGAGTAATACAGGTGAGATAAAACATGGGTCGACAACTTCGACAACAGACGAGGTTTGCATAAATCGAGCGCACCACCTATGAACTTTCCCCGCAACCGATCATATCCCTGGCTTACGCTCCTTCGCCGCACACGCATCCATCATCCACCATGCACGTCGCGACATGAAAGAACGGGTGCCGACATCGACGTAGACTGCGAGCGGGGCGTGTGCGATGGACCGAGGTCCGGTGGAGTGCACAGTCAGCGGTGCACGCTCGGCGATCCGGGCTGACTGCGATCACTTGCCAACTCCTCCGCCTCGTCCAACGTTGCGATGTACGCGCGCAAACCCTCGGCCTGATACTCCAGGACCTGCATCCGTGCATTGATGTGTCGGAGTTCATCATACGCAGCTTGGTACAACCTGGTGCCTTGGTATACGTCCATCCGGGTGCCGTTCGAATGCCTGACTTCAGCGGAGGAAGCTACCATTGCGATCGCCGTAGCGCATCTGGCCATGACACCTCCGGCTTGGGGATGCTGACTCGCCCTCGTCCTTCTTCGTCCCCCGGGATATCTTGCAAGACGTCGTCGTTTTGGACAGTATGTCGACCGCCGCCCACGGCCGCTGTCTCGGAACGGCTGCGACGAGGGCGTTTGGTGCGGTCAGACGGCTGTGGGCTCTCGCGGCCTTCCGCGTCTTCTCCAGTATCTTGTGGGGCTTCCACCGCCGTGTCACCCTTCTCCTCTTCAGGACGGCCAGCTGTCTCCTCCTCGCCCGTTTCGACTCCCGGAGCCAAGGTCACGGAGGGTCCATCCGTCGACGTCGCCGTGTGCTCGACCTCCGCGGGTCCCCCATGCGTGACGCCTGCATTGGGAGCCGCTTGCACCCCGTTCTCCTCATCAACCGTCGGTTTAGACGGCCCCAGCACTTCGACACGCTGTCGCTTCGCGTGGCCTGGATTGTGTGAGCCTGCATCGTAAAGTACTGATTAGTCGCACACACCGTCAGATGTAACATATCGCCGCTCTCCCGTGTTCCACGAACATGCCAGTTGGTTTCGAGGCACCGTGCACACTCCGACGCCCCCGCCTCTACAGTGCACTGCGCTCCACTGGGCAGCTCCATGCAGTTGTCGCACAGCTGTAGTCCAACGTCAGCGCGTGTGATAAGAGAGTGAGAACGTCGTCGCGTACCTGCTCGGATGCTGCGCGGAGCCTTCCCCAATCTCGCCCTCCTCCATGTCCGTAGCCTTTCGCTTTCCACTCGCTTCCCTCCTCATTGGCTCTGAATCTGCGTTGGCAGAAGGGGCTACCTGTTTGACTATTTTCACCTTCCTCCCCGGTGGTCCCGGTGGTCCGAACTTCACGACTGCTCCGTCGAGGGCCACGATCGGTGCGACCTTCTGCTGGTGTGTTGCAGCCTCGGGCCGTGGCGCGCGACGCTTCATTTCAGACAGCTGGCGTCAGGTCGCAGTGCAAAGAACAGGAGACGTAACGTACCGCTCCTCTCGGTGGGTCGGTCGCGGTATAGATCACACTGTCAGTAGGGAATGATGGTCCCAACCATGCTTTCAAGTCTACGGGGCCCGCTCGTGAACCTTCTCATAGCGTCCTTCACTGCGGTCGCCAGCTCCTCAGCATGCGGCTCCGTGGGGTGGTTCCCTCGATGGGCGAGGTACAGATCCTATTTGGTCATCATTTCAGGCCATACGTCGCGGCCAGTAGGTTCGTCACACTCACCTGAAGCTGCTTGTACCCCACTATCCAACGGACCAACTCATCTCCTCCCTCCGGCACAGGATTGATCCGCAGATAGCGCATCACCTTCTCCACGGGGCTTAGAATACCAAGGTGCGACATGTCGAGATTGACGGGGAAGGATGAGAATGCAGGTCGCCCGAACGCGCGACTGCGACTGCTCGGGTATGAAGTGTGGCTTCGGCCTTGCCGTTTTTGGAGAACAATGCCACGTTTAGCGCCCGATCGGCTGATTAGCCGCTCGTCGTTCCTCGTTCTGTGGCGCACGAGGGAGTCGCATATGCAGGCAAAACTAAGTACGGAGCGAGATGTCGCGCGACCTTTCGTGTGAGCCACGCCACTCTGCAGAACTCATGACTGTATTTAAAGGCGGACGTCCCTAGGTACCTGCAGACATGCACTCCACATCGTGACGGTTGGTACCTACTGTTTGCAATCTACCGGGTCTTCCAGCTCCGCCATAATGAAGCGGACTGCCGTTGCCCGTCTTTCCAATGTCGCGATTTCCCTAAGGGTTGCGTCGAGGGCCGTCATCGCGCATCGACGGGCCATTTCGATTCTTCGGGATCGTCGGGAATGGCCTCTAGGTATACTACAGGGACCTGACGGAATGGCCGTGGGCTCGAGACGCGTTCGAGGCCACCCACTTGTGAATGGATCTCGTCCGGCTTCGTAGCGGTGTCGGAGCTGTGCGACACGGTGTCGCCCGCGCTCCCTAACGTGAGGTCTTGGGTGTTCCCTCGTTGGCAGCGCGCAGCACCTGGAAGCTTGGAGGGGACCCTCACCTGGCCATGCGCAATTGTCTCAGCCTAATTACAGCACGGTGAACGGTATTCTCACCATCATAGCTTTCTGCCGACATTGAGAAACCCTCCCACGTACACGGACACTCGTCGTAGCGACACTTCTCGCACGTAGTACTGCCTTCCGCGAGATGGCAATGCATTATGGCCCCCATTTCCCCAAGCATCGATCACACTTGGCGGACTGGTGAGTCTGTCGCGCTAGCGTTCATGAAGCCGCTAGACTGCTTACCTTTCCTCTACGCTCGTATACTTCGTATGCGCGACTCACCATCTCGTCCACGTTCACTTCTTCGTTTGTCTTCGTCGCCTGCATCGTCGCCTCATCGTCGCCTGCACGTCGCCTGCATCGTCGCCCATATGGCTTTCCATGTCGCGCCCCTTTCCCTTGGTGTCAGGTCGCCCTTTCTTGCTCCCGTGTGACCGCGTGCGTCTCTGGCGACCGCTGCGCGCCGGCCAGCGCGTCCGCCCCGCTGGGTGGGTGCCATGCCTTCCACACTCGCTGGTGACCCGCGATTATTGGCAGGCCTATCGATAACCAACGCCAGGGCAAACTCCTTCTCCTGACGTTTAACAGCCTCGGAGAGCTCTGGAAAATGTTCGAGCACCCAGTCCCTGAGCTCGCCGGTAATCCTGTCCGCGACATCGTCCGTGGCCTTTCGTACCATCTGCCATATTGCCTCGTCGCGTGGCTGGGCCATCGTCCTCTGTTTGTATAGCACCTTGGTATCCTTTCGGTTATACGAAGTGGTGAAGAACATTCGTTGTACATGCTTACTAGGACGTCGTTGAACTTGTCGACCCATTGCGGCAATTGGGAGTCGTCGTCGGGCACTGACTTGGCCAAGAAACTGGTGACCCTCTTTGCAGGGTTATTGGACGACGGCTGGTGCATGATGATGATGGCAAAGCGAGACGGCAGCACCGAGCATTCATGCGCGTGGTCGACGTCACGTATCAGTGCCAGATATGATCTCCTGCGTGTGTGTGAAGCACGTGGGTTCGGCGATCGCGAGGGTTTGATCTCCGACCTGCCGGAGCGCCCGAGTATCAGCCCCTCCGCTATTACGCGCATGCAGCGTATCTGTTTCCGCTACAATCCTTGGTCCATCTAGCGTACACGGCACATCAATCGTAGTGGATGAACTGACGGAATTCGTGTTACCATTTGTGAGGTTCATATCGGTATGCAAGCCACACACACGACGTCCATAGTGTTTGAAGTCGCACAGACGTGTTCACTCCGAGGTATGAGACTGTCGCGCCATCGCTATTTTCAGCAGTGATAGTGCGAACTGCTTCGTACTTTAATGGCCTGCGTGGCATCAGTAGCTTGCCAGGTATATACTGGTCTGCCCACGCTCGCACTCAGACTGCAGACGTGTCGCGGCATTCGATCGCTGCCACAAGTACACACACCGGAAGCATCTGGGCCTTGTTCCCGTCCGCCTCAAACCGCTAGGTCTATACTGAGATTTGCGGTTGACGCATGTTCAGAGGTCACCATACTGAGTCGCTGACGTGCGACACACGTCCCGCCAGCTATCGCCGTCCTTGCATCGTAATTTAACGTATCGACCTCGTCCGCCTTGATGCGATACGCCCCAACGGTGTATACCGGCTTAGGGCATTCGCCTCCTGTGCACCCAACACATTCAAAGATTCAGACATCCGGATGCCTATCAGACTGGCCTTCCTGCGCGTCCTGGTAATTGATGTCCGGGTGACATGCAATCGCAGCATCAGAGCCATACACACCCTTCTCAGATCGTCGCTGGGCATCTGCTGCGCCTATTTGCCGTTGCGGTTCCTCTATATTGTCATATAATAATCGCCACGCCTTGAACAGCAGCACCCCAGCAGGGAGATATACACTGGATGCTTCGAACGATACTTTTTGATACACATTGTCGAGCATTTTCGGCACCGGTGATCCCAATTCTAGCCCGTTATTCACTGATATTGTCGACATCCCTACTACCCTTCTTCCTATCCTAAATAGTTGCCGTACCGTCAACGTCCTCCATATCCTGGATAAGCATTTCCAATGAACGACGCTGATGCATCAATACAGCCATACGCGCGTCCAGGTGCAGGATCTCCTCTTTGGCAGCATAGTACGCGAACGTCTCCTCCCGTTCTTCCGGAGACGGTGCCTCTTGCTTCGACGTGTTCATTGTCTGCGATACGTCCCCACTGTGAGATTTAGCAAGCGCACGCTGTGGCGTCGAGGCCTCTCTGTCGCGGGGATCGGCGCCCCTAGATGCGACAAATGTCTCCGCCATGCTGACACCGACTTTGTGCGACGCGAAAGGGTGTTCATTCTCCTTTCGAGGTTTCTTCCCCGTGACCCTTTGGTCCGCTGAATGTCGGACGTTGAGAGACTGGATACATGTCGCTCCGTTTCCGACAATGTACGCACCTTCGCGCATAATGTCGCGCGGGCTCACGCGGTCCCACATGCAGTTCAACCTCTGGTCCAGACAGCTCTGGCAGGCTGTCGACCCCGGAGCGACATGACAACCGGCTTTTGTGGGCCGTGCCTTGCAATTGTCGCACTAAGAATGTTGGCTGTCGGCACAGCGGGGTGAACGGATCGCGATAGTCGACATACCTGATGGTAGGTATCCCCGCCGTCCTCCAGGCTATCATCGAACCCCACCTCCGATGCAGTGCGTTTGCCCGCCACACGTTCCGTGCTTCGCCCGGGGAGCGCTACGTGGTTTGAATGTATCCTCTCTCTGACCGTTTCCCCGCTTGGGACAGAGTCGGCCTGCGCAGAAGGCCCTCCCTCGACGCCTTGTTCTGCTGTGATGTCGTGATCGACTGGCTTTGCGTCTCGCATCTCTTTCTCCGCATTTCTCTACGGTACGGTTACCTTCCTTCAAAAGTGTCACTGACATTGTGTAGGAGTAACGCACCTGCGCCCTGCGCTTCTCAATTGGGTGGGACATCCAGGGATACGTCGCGACCCGCCAAGTGTGGTACTGCGGCGTTCCTTTGGCGTCCATCTCGTCCCATATGTGGTTCAGTGCCGCGGCTTGTCTAGCCTTGTCTTCCACACTGGTATTTGGCCCGCGACTCCGGGTGTACTCATTCTGGTAGCACTCGGCGGTGAGCTCAGGTAAGGCCGTATCCATCCACTCACTGATGCTCCGTTGAACTTCACTGTCCACTGCAGCAGATCCTCGCCCTTCGCTGGCATCTTCATGCGCTGCATCCACGCGATATACTTGTCAAGAGCAGATCCACTGGCAGTCGACGACATGGTGAGCAAGGGGAATGAGGTCGTGTGGACAGCGGGAGACTTGGTGGGCGGTCTGAGTCAAAATCGCAACCTGGCCGAGAGTCGCAATCCGTCTATTTGAATGCCCGACATCCGAGATGTGCACCCTAATCTCGTGCCGACCCGGGTGCAATTTGGCACAGCACATGCCAGGAGTATGTTGCGATCACCAAACTCGTATTTATCTAGATTGCGCACTGACGTAGTACGTGATGCGTTCTGCCCTCGTGTCTTACCAGGCAATGTATTCTGTTTTCCTATCGCACGGGCTACCATTACACACCTGTCATGAAGGTGTTCTGGTCGTTGTGCGTCACTTAAAGCTTAGCTTAATACGCACCGCGCTACCGTCGTGGTGTATGAATTCACCCTCGGGCATCTCTCTCGCGGGCTGTCGTTGTGCTTTATATTGTCGACAGCTGCCCTCGAATATGTGTACGCAGTCACAGGCATGTTTGGCCACCCAGCGTTGGCGTATCGTTTCCTTCCGTGGATAGACGCTAAGATGCATAGAGGATGTGTGAAATGCTCCTTGACTAAATCCTCTAACCTCTCAGATGTCGGAAGCCCCCGGACGCTGAGCCAATTCGTTAACCAACCCTACCAAATACTCTTTCCGACGCGCGAGGCCCGCCAGACGTTCCTCTACACCTCTCAGCTCCTCCTCGCACACACGGTGTAAAGCCCTCTGCGGCACGTTATGCAGACCAATTACCTCTGGCCTTGAGTCCCCGGAGCTCCCGATATGTCTGGTTGGTGCGTTTTGCATCTCTGTCGTTCGTGGAGCATCACCTCCAACGGGCGTGGCCAACGGTTCCAAAGTCCCCGTTCTCGAGGAGCTGATGTAAGGGGCCTGGCTGAGTACTCGTTTCTTCGTAGGCCGCAGCGCCCCTGTAGCACCCACTTCAGGACATCGGCTCAAGCCCCTCGTTGACCTTCGAGAAACAGTTACTCACATTCGCACCGAACGTCGTCCAGCGTCACGCCGCTCCACATACAGCACGATGCGCTGTCCATGCACGGTTGGCATGATGATGATCCAGTGGCGACGTCGCATTCGCCATCTGTCTTCCCGGCCGTGCAGTTGTCACACTGGTTGGCCCACGTTATGAGGGCGTATGCGCGTGGTGCAAGTGCTAAACGTACCTCAGTGAAATCGTGGTCAAGGTCCGTCGCCTTCCGCTTGCCGCTGGTAGATTCAGTCGAATGAGGCTGATTTACTTTCGACGTCATGGATCTTGCGTTGTCAGCGTTTTCCAACATCATCACACTGGGACCCCTTCTTGGACGGCTTCGCCGTTCGTTTTCGTCTGTGCCAACCCCTCAGGACTTTGGCCGCTCGGTATCCCCTTCCCTGCGTCTTGCATCGTCTGTCGCAAAACTGTTATTCATGTTTGCTCCCTACCACACTCAGTCAAATCATACCCTAGCTTTCCATCGCTCAAACAGTTTCGCCGCGGCTGGGTATGTCGCCCTAAGCCAGGCGAAGAATTCCGGGCTTCCTCTTTCTGCAAAAGGCCGCATGATTTTGTCGTCGAAAGCGATTTTCACCCTCGCATTCTCGAGTCTTCGTTCCTCTCTTGAGCATCCCTTGCCATACACGTCCTAATCTTGGTTAGATCTGAGCGCGGCTGTTCTGTGTTGTGCGACCCACCGTGGCCCACATCCATGTCTTCGTCCATATCTTCATATTCCTGTCCCCTGTGGGTACCGGGTTTCGCTCAAAGAAACCGAGGTATATGTCGGTCTTGGATCGCGGTTCCACACTCGACATGTCAGAGAAAAGCGGCGAGTGCGCCGGGCGGCGTGGTGTATGCGCAAAAGATCATAACAGCCACAGCTGGCCTCTTTGTTTAGTGGTTTCCATATAGGGTCGTTACCATAGGCGCCCGATGGCCTCGGACGGGGCATACAGTACCACCTGCCGCATTCGTGTCGCGTTGAGAACGGATCGTCGCGACATCTCCCCGTGGTCGAGCATGATTACGCGTCGAATCGGGACTGTCCGCGCTGTGTCGACAACATCCCGAGGGAATACAGTAGTAAGGGAGAATACTCGCGCGACACCGATTGTCTAGGAACGATCTCACACGTCCTCATCAGGTCAACGGTACCCACCTCAAGGGAGAGTGGATATGCCTTGAAGCGTGTCAGCCCGTTTGGGCATGTCATGATTCATGGAATGTGACATAGCTATATGACACCAGTCAAACGTCGGATATGTCCTCTAATGTGTCCTCTAATGGCCATCCATCATCAGTACCTGCAGTGATTTGCGCCGATGAGCGAGTACTTCCAGCTCGGCCTGAAGCCGGAGGATCTGGTCCCGTGCTGCATAGTACAATTCGGATGACCCCCTCCTGTCGGGAGTTGGGGAATGTCGGCGTGGAGTGGCGTTGCCGTTCCACATTCCTACTGGGTCTGTACGTCGCTCGCAAATCCTAAGGCTACCGTGCTTGACCGCCGCATCTTGGGCGAGATGTGTCGCGGCTAGCGTTGATTTCTTCTCAGGTATCATGGGAGATGTTTCGACATTCTCGCCCTCCGTGTGACTTGTCTTCGACATGTCGGTTGTCGGAGCGGTTGAATTGTGAACTGTTAACGCACTGAGTAACTTGCTGTACACGGGTATTACCTCATTTGAAGTCGTTCCGCTGGCCCAACCGCGACCACATACACATCAGGTTGTGGTCAATGCACCGCTGGCAAACGGAGGACTCCATGGCGACATGGCACCCGATCTCCGTCGGGAACTCTTGGCAATAGTCGCACTGTACAAATCCGACGTTAAGCCATTACAACGATGGCGTTTAGTGCCCCATCCATACCTGATCCCAGCCCGACCCCGGATGGTGCTCCCTACTGTGGGAACTTGCACCCAAGGCTGGTGCTCTTCCTGACTCGTTCTCCGTGCTTTTGGCGGTGGGGGGTGTGTCAGAGAAGGAGCCTGACTTTCCTATCGCGTTTGCGACGGCATCGGAGTCCACCTCCGCCGCCACTACCTTCGCGATGCACCCGACAGGTGAGCTATTGTCTGAAGTTATGATTGATGCGGCCAAATTGACTGCAGATTGTTTGTGCCATTGTACTTCGCGTTGGCCCCCCCAGTAAAAATGTAGGAAGCGGACGAACCTCGTTCATTCGTCTCTCAAGGTTCTCGGTGATCCATTCGTATTCTCGATCCCGCCAAACGGCATACTCGAGCGTCGCTTTAGCATGAAGGGTGTCCCAGACGTAGTTCAATGCTGTAAGCAATCGTAGGCTGTCTCCGCCCTGTGTGGTGCCGTCGCGCGACTGCATGTACACGTGCTGTGCGTCGTCAACTGTCGAGTCGCGTCCGAATGACTTTCATGGCCTTACAGAGACGTCATGGAACTCGCGCGTCCATTATTTCAGCTTCTCCGTCTCATGGGGAATAGCGTGACTCTGTATCCAGGAGATTTAATCATTGAGGGGCGTGCTGGACAAGCCTGAGGACATCTAGAGGGTAGCGCGACGATGTGTGTGCCACACAAGGGCTCGATTGTCATCCGTAGGCCACTACCACTCTTAAGTAAGCAGTATTGCGAATTGACTCTGATATCTAATCGAGATATGACAGGAAAGATAACCGAGTTGCCGATAACGTTACGGCACGATCCAATAGCTCTGGTCAGCAAACGTCGGCGTGGCGATAGGTCAATGTGAAGCACGTCGGCCATTACGTGCTGCTTTGCATAAGTCCTTACGAACCACACTATCAGAGGACTATCGGTGAAGCAGCCTATCGGTGGCAGCCCCCGCTTGCACCCCGCCCCCTCGAGTGACAATCATTCATTAACTGCGGCGATGAGGTGGGAGGGATTATATCCGGCGATGGAGATATCTGTGATGGATAGATGTGGCCGTAAAGGCCCATGTGGCGATTAACTTGGCCATTAATATGCGTTAGCCATGGAACATATCGGAATGTTGCTACAGTGGTGGGTATCATACACCATTCGATCGACCGACCCACGCACCTGTAGCGGTACGACAGGTGGGTATCGTGTGCCGACATTCACGGATGGGGTTGCATCGATCGCGATCGATGCAGGCATTATCAGCCTTGGTGTGGAGATTCATACGTTTCCCGCTCGTTACATGATTCCTCCAGCCCCGCAGTCCAACCGCTAGTGTCGCGCCTTGCCAAGGTCGAATCTCAACGCTATTGTCCCATCGAAGTGCTGTCATGTACCTGCGTCACGCGCTACAAAGGGTTTGTACTGGTCGCAATGATGCTCCTTACCGTCCCGACGCCTACGTCTGTGTCGCGACATACTTCGAGAGTTAGGTTTGTCGCGACAGCACATATGGTTCCATTATATTGTTATAGTCCCCCGCCAACCTACACACCATTCTTGTAAAATGTATCATAAGCTATTAGGCTGCCTACCATGTACAACCGTATCTCCCTCATACTACATAAGTGACGCTAGTTCATACGTCCGGTAACGTTGCTGTCCCCCCCGGCCTCTCGGTCTCGATGATAACTCTGTGGAATCTTTAGTACTGCATGTCAGCGACGCACCGTGGAAGTATATCCATTACCAGACCACCGCCTGGCACGGCTATCGAGCTCGCGATTGTCGGGATCCGACCGTGTCGACCACCTATAATGAAGTGAATGCCGTTAGTAAGAAATGTACCCAGGCAGACAAAGTCGCCCCCTTGCGGTATATCTTCTTGCAATGCATCTGGTGGATGATACCACACGTCTCTGTGGCCAAAACACGTCACTGATTCCGTCGGCCGCACGACACATGCGACACTACCCCACCTGCGACATCCCGGAATCTCATTTAGAAGTACACAACAGTTGATCCGATCGTACGTATGTGACAGATTACAAAACGCTCATTCCTGCTAATATGTGAGCTGAAACTCAAGTTGGGAGCAACGTGGGACTCACCGATCCTAAGCAGGTTACTTCCGACCCGTCGTCGCGGTCCCTCTCCCATCGCGACGCTGCGATCGAGGATCCTGCCCTCGCCCGACACCAGCGCCATCTCCCATCTCTCCAGGGTGACGAATTCCCCGAGGTCCCGAACCCAGACATGGCTCGACACCGCCTTGAACGAGGGCTTCTTGCGCAAGGGGAGTCGAAACGCAGTCCGGTAGTACTGCTCGGGCACGGGGATGTCGCGACGGGCCCAGTCAACGGCCCGCCATGCAGCTTGATCGCCCTATCGGGCCGTTCTAATCCCTTTACCAACCACAGATAACCGAGAGACTCACCTTCGACAAGTCCAAGGAGCTCGTCAACGGCGCGATCCAGAATCCGGTGACGGTCCCGCTCTCCAGCCCTTCGATCCGGGTAACGACGGCCGGTCGCACCTTGAAGGAGTTCCTGCCTCCATAGGCCTCGGCAAACTTCGGGTCGGAGACGCGTATGCGGACGAGACAGTGGGGGATGGGAGCCGGCATGATGTCAGAAGGACGCGGAGCTAAGAGCGATGTGCGACAACAAAGGGGAGGTGGAAGTGCGGTGGTCGACAGTAAGTCGCGCGACACGAGAGTCGGTAGCGCCCAATCGACTCTCGACAGAGCGTCGCGCGACACCGAAAAGCGCCCAAGTGGCGTTCGACAGAATGTCGCGCGACGCGGCACTCGCAAGCGCCGGCACGTTCTTCGTGACGTCGCCGGTTAACCCCCTTCTCCATTCTCGCGCTTTCGTCCCTGCGATGTATGTGAGTCTTGAAAAGTGCTTACGGCCTGCTCTACATCTCAGAGATACCTTTTCTACGGGCCTAACGGCCACGAGAGCTATTCAAAGTCGGGTGTGCGATGGCGCGACCGTGCCGACAATCTGACAGTGCACGCAATCATTCCTCGAGTGATATAAATCGACAGTAACCACGGACCCGACTATGGCTTGCCACGGCTATGAGCGACATCGATTGACGGAGAGGAAGTCGGAACGGAGTGGGAGAGTGCTGCTCAGGCACGGGGATGTCGGGACGTGCCCAGTCGACGGCCCGCCAGGCAATGGTGTCTCCCTATCGCCGCCGTCTTGAATGTGTGTCGCCACGAGAAATAGAGGTAATTCTCACCCAGGCTAGGTTCAACGAGCTCGTCAATGGTGCGATCCAGAAGCCGGCGACGATGTTACAATCGAGGTGTTCAATCTTGGTAACGATGGCCGGTCGAAGCTTGTGCGAGTTCTTAGGATCCCTCTGTAAGCGGCTGAAAACCTCGAGCATGCGCACCAGGCGCCAGGGGATAGGAGGTTGCATTATGTCGGACGGATGGTAGATAGATAGCAGTGTGTCGCGACAACGGAGGAGGCGAGGGAGTGGGCGTGGGGGGTGATCGCCAGCCAGTCGTGCGACACGACAGTCGGCAGCGGACAGAAAGTCGCGCGACATGGGACTTGCAAGCGCCAAAGTCGCAATGGATAGGCAAGTCATGTTACATGAGAGTCTCCAGTACTGATAGCAGACATCCTTCAATATCGCGCTCACTTTTGTGTGCAATTGTTTGTGAGTTTGATCAGTAGGTGTGTAGACCGGCGTGAAAGCAGAAGCTGCAACAGAGGCGTGTGCACCACACTCACAGGAGACAATCTATGGCCATGTGAATGTAACTGGAGGGCGAGGGGGCTCTGAACAAGTTTTGACCCACTCAACTGTTGAATGGAATTGTTTGGAAGTAAAGAATGCTCCTGTATTGCATTCTGGCCCACAGTGGCCAAGAGCAATTCCGTAGGTTTCATGTTGAATAGGGTTGCAACAGTGGTTGCAGCCCCTACCAATCCTGTCAATTGTGGTCTACTCACTGTTGCAACGCAATGCCCCAAGCTTCATATAGACAATGTATGCCTAGATAAGGTTGGTGTGGTGGCCATCAATAATGTGGGAATCCAGTGTCATTGAGTTTGTGCATCAGAGTTGCTGTTAGTGTGAGAATAGTTGAGCCACCATGTGAGCACTCTGACACAAACACCCCACGTAGGCGTGAAATAACCATACCAAAGTGATGCACACACTACAGTGTTGCTTAGGGATTCTGCTGTGTAACCCAGAGTGTCTATTGGTACTCCCTGTGCATGTGGTACCTGCCTTCCAGGGAATATGCATGCTCACGGTTAGGGTCCTACTGAGCCACTTACTGTACTGCATGAGGTAACAAACACTCTAAGCTCCCTCAGAGCTTGTACATTTAGTGAATATCACATGTACAGAGCATTAGTACAGCATGTGAAGGGGTTTGTCTAAACTCAGTCAATCAATCAGATATGAAACACGAGAAAAATATTTCCTCTAAATCACTCAATGATGATGGTTTGACCATATAGTTCTAAGGAGCAATGTCAGTTGTGGCTCATTCAGTCAACCAAAATTCAGGTAGGAAATGATGAGAAATAGTATTACTGAGGAACATCAGCTCAAACCTCATAACTGTACAATTGGTGTGCAAGCATCCTGAGGCATTTTAGTAGTGCAAATGCCTAAAAATTCTCAGTTAATCTACAGATTATGTGATTTTACAATCTGAGATCAAGAGTTGATCAATCAAGCTGTGCTATAATATTTGGCCAAACCACTTGGTGACTCATCTTGAGGGTAGAACAGGCTATTGGTTCCTGCACAGCCTGATTTGGGAATTGGCTGTCATAAAATACTCACCAAGCTTGTTGAATAATTATAATAGCTCATAAGCCCATCTGTGTGTCATCACAGGCTTTGAACAAATTGTTACTGTTCATACACACTGTGACCTGGTCTCTTTTGCTGTGGTGCTTGCAACTGTAGTATCTCACACCTGATATGAGTTCAATGAGCTGATGAGAACTGCTCTTGCCTTGTATGAAAGGATCCTACCTGAAGAAAGCTCTGTGATGATGTGGGAAGTCAAGAGTCCTTGTGAGAGCTTATGTTGTAGCAATCTCTGGGAGGTATTACATTGTGCTGAATGACAACTGGAGCCCAACAGAACTTGGGGCCTTGGCAATTGGTCCTTGTAAAGCCAAAATGCACACTTTTAGAACTGGGCACAAAGCAACATCTCACATCTCTGTTAAGCACTGAGTAGATGGTAGTAGGATGAGTGCACCAACATTAGAATAGTTAGGTTAGAAGACTAGTAGCCTTGGGTGATATGGTAAATAGAAACGAGGATGATTCTTCATTACAGAGGAATAGTAACAAAGTAGTAGGAAGGTGTAAGGGATTACCAATGTGGGTAAAGGTTTGAAGCCTGGTCACATCCAAGTCTGACTCTAAGACTGACTGACTCTCTATGCCCAAACCCTTATTGGTAGTGCAAAGCTATACCAATTAAGGGGCTGTTAACAACAGAAACCAAGAGTGCAGTGTGCAAGTCCAGCAGTGGTGTATGAGACAGTCTTGCACAGAGGAAAGATTCAATTGTAGAAGTATAGATCAATATTTGAGGACTCTTGCTACAACTTGTATACATGTACATGATTCCCAAATGTTCTAAGTATGTTATGTATTTGAGACTATCCTGTGCTACTAAATCTGTCCCACACAGCTCTACTCATCCACGCTCTGCTGCCCCAACCCTGTCCAATGAGTCAGTATACAGCCTTGCTTTGGCCGTCTGCCCGATTCCCACAATCTGAGACTTACCGGTCATTGGCCACTTGGGCAAATGAGATCATCACTGAATAGCCATTGTTTCCCGAAGGGGGTATTGGGCTAATCCTGATTGTTGGGAATGTCTGAGAGCCTTGTGGTTGTGGCCGGAGAATAGCCACACAAAGGTCAATACGACTGGTTGCAAGGTATAAGAATAATAACCAAACACTGCACAGTGCTAAGCTGACTTTGGGAGTGTCAGCTGTTTGGCCATGCAGTGTTTGTTGTGTTTCTTAGGTGGTCTCCTTTGCTGTACTAACCAGAGCCACACTGGGAACTTGCTAAACTTGAGTAAGGCTTGTGGCTGTTTTCTTTCTTTTGGTGTTTGGGCAGAGCCAAAACACCAAGTGTGAAAACAGTGGCATGCCAAGACTATCAGTGTTTTGTGTCAAGTGTCAAGTGTTGGACAATGACTCAAGTTGAGCACACAGCACAACAACACAGACAGCAAGAACAAGGGCCAAGCTTTGGTCATCTGTTTGAGTAACCAGTGCAGTTTGTGCGGAACTGAACTGAGAGTTTTCAAATCTGGTTTGAAACTTCAAGGCAGTAGAAGCCGAGCCTGTGGAAATCAGTCGTGACTAGAAGTGTCCTCTTGTAGTCACGACTTTTACCCAAAGCCTTGACAAGGGTGTTGTTCAGAACGACTGGCCTCTGTGCTTGGAGAGGACTTACTTACTAACGTGAAGTGCTCGAGCAGTTGTGTGACAGGTGGGAGTGGGTGTCAGTGTGCAGGCCCGAAGTGAGCAAGGTAGTTGAGGCTTGGAAAGTGAACACAGTGACAGGTAAAGAGGTGGTTCTCTTGGGAGTGTGGTGGAGTAACAGTAAAGTGCTTTGGACAAGTGTTGTTGCTGTACAAAAACTAGAGGGCTGTGTTACTTAGTGGGCTGAGAGTGAACAAGTTGAGGAGGCGTTAAGTCCAGAGACGTTGAAGAGTGACTTGTGAGTGCGAACGGAGTTTGTGTCCACTGCAGGCGGAGAGCTCACCCACTTGCACGGCTCGCTGGCGGCACTCCACCTACAGTGGACACAAACTCTGTTGGGCTCACAAGTCACTCTTCGGTGAGAGGCTGTACAGGAAGACGTGGAGTGTACAAAAGTGTTCCAAGTGTCAGTGGGAGTCTCAACTTCCAGGCTCACAGTGCACTGTTCTTAGCCCCCACCTGCAGTCTGTAGCTGTAGTGTACAACCTAAGCTTGAACTCTGTACGTGTGAACCCTGGCCCTAAGCTCCCTGTAAACTCTGTACACGTGAACTGCGCCTCAAAGTCACAGGTCTGAGCTTACAGTGAAGTCCACACGTGTGAACCCCCGCTGCCAGTCTGTGGGTCTTACACCCTGGGCTGTCAACTCCCACCCACAGTACACACGTGTGTGAACCCTGGCTCTCAGTCTGCACGTGTGAACCCCAGCCCACAGTACACAGTACACACACGTGTGAACCCCAGTCCCCTATAACTAGTATTCCGATGCTGGAGGGTCACCATACCTTTGGCCCATACAGATGTTTTGACCAGTGCACCCCATGTCGCGGAGAATCTCATTACATTCTCCATCCTTTGAGGCACATTACGTAATATTTCCATTATTTATCATCACTAAGTTCAGCCACAATTCAATGTACAACCAGAAGGTGCCCAGAACTTCAAAGAATATTACACAGGGGTTCACAGACATCCACACCCCCTAGTCTCATCTATTTCAGAAAATGGGATATATATGGTAGATCATATGTGGAAAGTATGGGGGCATTATATCACAAAGTTCTCCCAGTAGTTGAATAAGAGTACTTGGGCCCAGCCAAGTACAGCCCAGAATATTCAGATATTCACCCACAGTGCCAGGAACATCCACACCCGATGGTCTCATCCAACTCAGAAAATGGGATATATATGGTAGATCATATGTGGAAAGTATGGGGGCATTATATCACAAAGTTCTCCCAGTAGTTGAATAAGAGTACTTGGGCCCAGCCAAGTACAGCCCAGAATATTCAGATATTCACCCACAGTGCCAGGAACATCCACACCCGATGGTCTCATCCAACTCAGAAAATGGGATATATATGGTAGATCATATGTGGAAAGTATGGGGGCATTATATCACAAAGTTCTCCCAGTAGTTGAATAAGAGTACTTGGGCCCAGCCCAGTACAGCCCAGAATATTCAGATATTCATCCACAGTGCCAGGAACATCCACACCCGATGGTCTCATCCAACTCAGAAAATGGGATATATATGGTAGATCATATGTGGAAAGTGTGGGGGCATTATATCACAAAGTTCTCCCAGTAGTTGAATAAGAGTACTGGGCCCAGCCAAGTACAGCCCAGAATATTCAGATATTCACCCACAGTGCCAGGAACATCCACACCCGATGGTCTCATCCAACTCAGAAAATGGGATATATATGGTAGATCATATGTGGAAAGTATGGGGGCATTATATCACAAAGTTCTCCCAGTAGTTGAATAAGAGTACTTGGGCCCAGCCCAGTACAGCCCAGAATATTCAGATATTCATCCACAGTGCCAGGAACATCCACACCCGATGGTCTCATCCAACTCAGAAAATGGGATATATATGGTAGATCATATGTGGAAAGTATGGGGGCATTATATCACAAAGTTCTCCCAGTAGTTGAATAAGAGTACTTGGGCCCAGCCCAGTACAGCCCAGAATATTCAGATATTCATCCACAGTGCCAGGAACATCCACACCCGATGGTCTCATCCAACTCAGAAAATGGGATATATATGGTAGATCATATGTGGAAAGTATGGGGGCATTATATCACAAAGTCCTCCCAGTAGTTGAATAAGAGTACTTGGGCCCAGCCAAGTACAGCCCAGAATATTCAGATATTCACCACAGTGCCAGGAACATCCACACCCGATGGTCTCATCCAACTCAGAAAATGGGATATATATGGTAGATCATATGTGGAAAGTATGGGGGCATTATATCACAAAGTCCTCCCAGTAGTTGAATAAGAGTACTTGGGCCCAGCCAGTACAGCCCAGAATATTCAGATATTCATCCACAGTGCCAGGAACATCCACACCCGATGGTCTCATCCAACTCAGAAAATGGGATATATATGGTAGATCATATGTGGAAAGTATGGGGGCATTATATCACAAAGTCTCCCAGTAGTTGAATAAGAGTACTTGGGCCCAGCCCAGTACAGCCCAGAATATTCAGATATTCATCCACAGTGCCAGGAACATCCACACCCCTAGTCTCATCCAACTCAGAAAATGGGATATATATGGTAGATCATATGTGGAAAGTATGGGGGCATTATATCACAAAGTCTCCCAGTAGTTGAATAAGAGTACTTGGGCCCAGCCCAGTACAGCCCAGAATATTCAGATATTCATCCACAGTGCCAGGAACATCCACACCCGATGGTCTCATCCAACTCAGAAAATGGGATATATATGGTAGATCATATGTGGAAAGTATGGGGGCATTATATCACAAAGTCCTCCCAGTAGTTGAATAAGAGTACTTGGGCCCAGCCAGTACAGCCCAGAATATTCAGATATTCATCCACAGTGCCAGGAACATCCACACCCGATGGTCTCATCCAACTCAGAAAATGGGATATATATGGTAGATCATATGTGGAAAGTATGGGGGCATTATATCACAAAGTTCTCCCAGTAGTTGAATAAGAGTACTTGGGCCCAGCCAAGTACAGCCCAGAATATTCAGATATTCACCCACAGTGCCAGGAACATCCACACCCGATGGTCTCATCCAACTCAGAAAATGGGATATATATGGTAGATCATATGTGGAAAGTATGGGGGCATTATATCACAAAGTCCTCCCAGTAGTTGAATAAGAGTACTTGGGCCCAGCCAGTACAGCCCAGAATATTCAGATATTCATCCACAGTGCCAGGAACATCCACACCCGATGGTCTCATCCAACTCAGAAAATGGGATATATATGGTAGATCATATGTGGAAAGTATGGGGGCATTATATCACAAAGTTCTCCCAGTAGTTGAATAAGAGTACTTGGGCCCAGCCAAGTACAGCCCAGAATATTCAGATATTCACCACAGTGCCAGGAACATCCACACCCGATGGTCTCATCCAACTCAGAAAATGGGATATATATGGTAGATCATATGTGGAAAGTATGGGGGCATTATATCACAAAGTCCTCCCAGTAGTTGAATAAGAGTACTTGGGCCCAGCCCAGTACAGCCCAGAATATTCAGATATTCATCCACAGTGCCAGGAACATCCACACCCGATGGTCTCATCCAACTCAGAAAATGGGATATATATGGTAGATCATATGTGGAAAGTATGGGGGCATTATATCACAAAGTTCTCCCAGTAGTTGAATAAGAGTACTTGGGCCCAGCCCAGTACAGCCCAGAATATTCAGATATTCACCCACAGTGCCAGGAACATCCACACCCGATGGTCTCATCCAACTCAGAAAATGGGATATATATGGTAGATCATATGTGGAAAGTATGGGGGCATTATATCACAAAGTCCTCCCAGTAGTTGAATAAGAGTACTTGGGCCCAGCCAGTACAGCCCAGAATATTCAGATATTCATCCACAGTGCCAGGAACATCCACACCCGATGGTCTCATCCAACTCAGAAAATGGGATATATATGGTAGATCATATGTGGAAAGTATGGGGGCATTATATCACAAAGTCTCCCAGTAGTTGAATAAGAGTACTTGGGCCCAGCCAGTACAGCCCAGAATATTCAGATATTCATCCACAGTGCCAGGAACATCCACACCCTAGTCTCATCCAACTCAGAAAATGGGATATATATGGTAGATCATATGTGGAAAGTTGGGGGCATTATATCACAAAGTTCTCCCAGTAGTTGAATAAGAGTACTTGGGCCCAGCCAAGTACAGCCCAGTATACTGCAGGATTGCTCTCCCTCCCTACTCTTCTTTCCAGTCAAAAAATTAGACATATGTAGTAGATTAATTGTATAGAATATGGGGTCATCTCATCCCCTTGTTTTCCCTCCAGTTGAATAGCACAATGCCTACAGGGTCAGTCTTTATCCCATTATATTTTATTCTACTTGTCTAAGCTTGTGAACCGATAATTCTTTCTCTCTATGCTGTTAGACAACGTTGTCCTTCCATATGGTTCCTTTGTCATTATCTATGGGAATATTCTACGATGTTGTGTACGATCTGTTTGAATAGCTGTACCAGGGGCTGCTAAATAATACGATTGATCAGCACGGATTATCGCCCTAGAACTGGTTTACTCGCCTTTCTACTTGTTTGTTCCCTGTCATTACCCCGAATATATTTCCCTCCGCCATATTTCCGCCTGCCGTGACATGGAATTCCGGACTTTGAGGCTATCTACGCGTTGGGGGACTGCCCGGCTTGTGTGGTGGCTGCCCGGTTTGGGCATGTGGCTGAGACCACGTGCGCGCATACTAAATCGGGCAGGAGAGCCAAACAGCGCCACAGTGTTCGACTCGCGTCGTGCTCTCTCCACTCGCTCTTCCTTCCTCCTCGTCGCCCGTCTCGTCGTGCTCTTCGACCCCTCCGCCGTGCTCGCCGTCTCCTCCGCCGCGCTCGCCGCCTCCGCCGCGCTCGCCGCCTCCCTCGTGCTCGCCGCCTCCCTCGTGCTCGCCGTCTCCTCCGCCGCGCTCGCCGCCTCCCTCGTGCTCGCCGCCTCCCTCGTCGTCGCCGCCATCACCCTCTCCGTTGGGTGCCGATGCCGTGATAGCTGCATTCGCAGGTAAGTTGCTACGCTACGCAATCGAGCAACGGCTCACTCGTATCTGTAGGTCGTTGGTCGCCGCGTCTCCCTCATTCCCTCTCCATCGCTCGCCGCCCGTCTCCTCGTCGCCCCCGCGCTTCTCCGCACACGCTGCGGTCGCCGACGCTGGTTGGAGTTGGTTAGGGGTTTAGCGATGGGTTGAAAGCTGCGGTACGTCCCCTCTCTCTATTTCCTACATGTCCCATGTCGTGGCCGGTGAGGGCTGGACTCGTCCGCCCTGACCGGTAGAGGCCCATCGCCCGTTCTCGAACGGCAACGATGCCTCTCCTCTGCGTTCGCCTTCGGGCGCGCAGTTGCACGGCCGCTGGGGCCTAAGCTAACTACTCTTTAACCCCCTGGCCCGCCTCGTCGCCCCGGACCCGCACCCCGCACCCTGGAACTGGACCTGGCCACCCCTGGACCTGGACCTTACGGCGGACCTGGACACGCACCCCCTTCCCCATCCCTCCCTCATCGTATTCCCACTCGTTGTATGCGCGCGCAGCTAGTTTGCTGCTCCGTCTCCGTTACTTATCCATAATTACACGCTGTCGTTTCAGTAGCCGTAGCCGTAGATACCATGTAACGATCGGACCCTTCGCATTTCGTGTATCACGCGCGTCGTCCACATTCGACCAAAAATATATTCGTCTAGAGACCTGGCTCGCCGCTCGGACCTTATGTCCCTGGTCTTCACGGCCCGAGGGATGTATATGCGTCTGTTGCCGCTGTATGCGCACACGCATCTCCCCATTCTACGCGGAAGCACAGAAAATGACGTCGACACCGTCGTGCCCCGCCGTTCGGCTGTTCATATGCGTCTCTCCGCTCCAAAGAAACTCGACGCGAGTCGACCATTTCGTCCCCCGTCATCGACACGCGCGTTCCACGTCCCTATTGATCTGCGCGCGGTGCCTGAGCAGATGCCGACTCTTCCATCTCACGGAAGCCTGCCAGCCCTCCGCCTTCTCCCCCTCCGTCCGTCAACAATCTGCCCTTTTCGGGACACGCCCTGTTGTGCAGCCGCCGACACCTTGTCTTTCATGTCGCCTCCGAGCTCCCTGTCGATCAGCGCTGCGCCGTTTCCCCAATGCGTCATTCCCCGGCTACGCTGACCGATGCATGCGTGCTCGCCCACCGACGCCGTCCACGCAAACTCCACGTCAATTCGTTCTACGTGTACCGACCTTGTTCAAGCCCAGTTCCGGTTCGCTTTACCACTGCCAAAGTGATTCCCGGACGCGCGTTCTGGACCTCCCTTCACCTCCCTGCCCGGCCGCCGCCGGTTCATATTACAACGTCGCACATGGGCCGTATCCCTTCGCCTCCCCCTCCCGTTACTTCTCAACGCTTCAGCATGCCTAACAAGTATGTTACAATTCTCTCCCACCCCGTCTATGCGTCTAATCATCCCTCAGATCCATCTTCTGCTCAAGATGTGGGCACAACGTTTGGGCAGCCAGCCTTGACGCGCATCGTCGGCAGCGGCACCAAGCCTGTACCGAATGCGTGTACCCAGATGGCGAACGCCTTACGTTGGAGAAGGATAATGAAACTGGCAAGTACCATTGCAGGCGCTGCAATTTTGCCCACACAACAATTCGTTATATACGCGTAAGTCTCCTCTTCTTCCTTGTTGTCGCAATACTTAACAGTCTACAGGAACACATAGCGTCGTGCTTTGCGCTCGCAAATCCCGATGACGAAGACGATGCGACGATTGAAGCACTGCCGCCCGCAGACGGGCTAGGTCCACGGCCGTCCCAGCCAGCATGTCCATCGCAGCGCCCTCCGTCGCAGCACCCTCGTCGCAGCACCCTCCGTCGCAGCACCCTCCGTCGCAGCACCCTCCATCGCAACACCACTTCGTTCTCTCCACCGCTCCGCTACTTTCCCAACGTCCCAGTGCGTCCTCGGCTCCCCCCTCGCAAGTTCCAATCCCATGCCATTCCGATGATCTGTTTGCTCCACTACCCTCCCCGTCTCCCGTCTCTCGCTCTCCGCCCAAGTCGGATTTGCCTAACTCGTCGCCTCCTTCTTCCACGCCTTCGGGCCCTCGTCCGCATTCTCCTGACCCGCTCATCGCCCATCTATCCGATCTGCCGTCTCCTGACGACGCAGAAGACGACGCAGCCGACGAGGACGATCCGGCACCGGTCGTCTTACCTGGCGTCGACACGGTGGTCACGCCTGACTTCCAACGCTGGGGGATTGTCGTCAACACCACCCACGACGTCGTAATCTGCGTTAGCTGCCACAAAACCATCCTCAGAGGTTCCGTCTTCACGCACCTGAAGTCCCACGGAATCTTTGACATCCATGCGCGAGATGTCACCGAGGCCTTGCATCCGTACCATACGAAAAGTGCCCGCGCCGCCATCGTCCCTGTCATTCCCGCAGGCGCCTCTACCATCCCTGCGGTCTTCGGCCTCAACGTCCTCGAGGACTGTGCTTTCTGTTCCGTTTGCCATCGAGGGTATGGCTCTGTCGAGTCTCTGAGGAAGAACCATTTCGCCGTCTCGAAATGCAACCCTAGTCGTCACTTTCACGAAGGCCCTGGCCAAACGTTTTTCACCAACAACTGTCGCCGAGTCTTCCCAGTCGTTCTTCCCGATCCTGTCCCTGCAACGTCCTCAATCAGTCTCTTCGATTCCTTTCTACGCACCATGGAACCTTCCGATCCCGCTCTGGAAGCGCTTTCCGAGCCTGCTAATAACCGTTCCCTCAGCCGCTTTCTTGCCCGCGAACGATGGGTCGACGTTATCCGTAAATTCTCGGTCGATTACCTTCATCAGCTCATCGACGAGGAGCCGCCCCATCCCTTCCTTGAGCCCATACGCGCTGCTGCCCACGCATATCTCGAGAAGGTCGTAGAAATCCTCGCACACACGTCTCCACAATTTAAACGGCAAATGGCACAGTACGGCGAGTAAGTGGTCTTAGGTTATGTTTCCTTCCCTTACTGACGTCTTTCAGCGGCCCATACGGCGGTGCATTCAGCACTGTTCGACCAGGCACAGCGATGCACTATTCAAGATACTTAGCGCGGCTCGTAGTCTTCGTTTTGCGTGCGCAGGAGCCCACCGACACCGTACACGTCGTACCTTTCTCCGAAGACCAGCGCATTGCCGGTGAACGTTTCCTGGACGCTCTCCGCTCAAAGTCCAATGAAGATCTTCCTCGACTCCTCCACACCCTCCTCTATGGTCTCGTCACGCAAACACCCGCCGATGCGAGCCTTGACTCGTTCATCTTCGCCATCACGAATTTTCAAGTCCTCAGCTGCTTCTCGTCCAAGAACGAGTTCTTACGTACGAACGACATACGGAGGTTGAACGCTCAGCTCATCTACATCATGCGCTCTGTGCTTTTCACGGAACTGGTGTCGCGTATGCAGGCCGATAACCTGCAGTTCTACCCGTACGTGTCCTTTCGTCCCATCTGGTCCGTCGACTCATGTCCGTTGCAGAGTCTACCACCAGCTCCGACCGTTCCTCATTGCGGAGGCGCAGACGCCGTTTGCGTATTCTGCCGCGGTGTCTGGCATCCTCCGTAGCATCGAGAGTCAAGATGACATGATGCCACAGTTTCAATGGAAGGATTTGGAGCGCAAGGTTATCTTGTTCCAAGACATCGAGTTCTCACACGCGTCGGTAGCCACCGTTGTTAGAGGTGCGATGGCCGAGTACGACACTCTGCTCTCGTCGAAGCTGCTGTGCGGCAATTCCAAGGACGACCCTGCGTTCAGGCTCCCCGGGGATATTTCCAAAATCCTCGACCAACCGCAAAACCACACGCCCGGTTTCTGCTTCTTCGATGACACTCGCAATGACCTCTCTCACCTCCAGCACGCCCTCCTTCGTCGTCTGGTCGAGCCGCACGGCGTATCCGGTCCCTTCCACTACGTCCATAACGATCGCTTAGTATGGGTAGCTGATACGTGCTTACAGTTCCTCCGCGATGCTCACGAGGCCGAGCAACGACTGTGCACCATGATTCACCTCTCTTACGGTCAACCCGCGCGAGGCGAGGAGCTCGCCTGCATGACTTATCGCAACATCCCTGCAGGCTCTGCTCGCGCTCTGTACGTCTTGCATGGTCTGCTCGTGCTTGTCGGGGGATACTGGAAGTGCGCAGAGCAGGTACGTCGCCACTCCCCCGCTGCTATGCTGTCGTATTCACCATGTTGATAGACCGGTCGCGACAAGGTTATCGCTCGTGCGCCCGCTCCCGATGTCGCTCAACGATTGCTCTTCCACCTCGCCGTCATACGTCCCGCCCAGCTCACTCTCGCCCAGATCTTCCTTCCGAAGGCCGATGCCGACAGATTCAAGTACTATCTTTTCCCCGGCCTGCACAAGACAACCACTGGCGAGGATGTCTCGGCGTATATCCGCTCGGACATGGAGATGCACCTCGGCGCTCCTATTGGCGTCCGCGACTACCGGCAGCTAGTGTCTGCCCTTACGAGGTGGAACCGCGACCCACACTTGCAAGCCCAGTCCGTACACGCCTACGAGCACCAGCGCGGGAC